TACAGAATGAAGGCCCACCTTGACAAAGGTGTCAAACCTTTTGCATTACACAGCAAAGTGACCCCGTTCTAGCCTGGTCCGTGCTGCCCAGCATATTTATGCAATGGGACACAACTCAGTGCAACGGAATAAAAATAACAATCAAGTGTCATTTATGAATTAATAACAGAAGAAAAACTCTGCTGGAGCTAGTCCAACATCCTGCTTCCCACAGCAGTCAACCCTTTGGAAAGACCGCAGGCAAGGACTGATGCCAACAGCCTGCTTTGCCCCCCACCCACCCAATCTACTGGGATTCTGTGGCATGCAGCCTATAAGCATCAAGTTTCCAGCCCCCCACAGGCTGGTGTCTTCCAGATGTTGTTGGACTTGCACAGCCAAGGGCTAGAGATGATGGGAATTTCAGCCAGCAGCATCGCAAGGACCACATACCCACCCCCACCCACCCCCCGATGTAAGGCCTAATCCATGGACTCAGTAAGAGTCCTTTCATTGATCTCTGACAATGTTGTTGTTGTTGTTGATCATTTATTAAATGATCAACAACAACACACTCTCTTGTGATAATGTCGCAGCTGGCTGCTCTGTCTCTGTCTCTCCCTTCTCTTCTCCCAACACCTTCCACATTGATCTCTGACAATGTTGTTTCATTGATCTCTGACAATGTTGTTGTTGATCATTTATTAAATTTGTATACTGCCCTTTGTCCACAGAAGAGTAGCTCAGTCACCCAGGAGGTAAAAGCGGCGGCGTTAAGGGGGAAAGTGGCCCAGATTATTTTAAAAGTGGTTGTGGTGGCAGAGAAAGTGGAGAGGTTAGGTGAGGGTAGTGGGGGGAGGGGGAAATGGCTGGCAAGTGTGGAGGAAGGGAAAGAGAGCTGGGAAAGGAGGGGAGAATGACCAGCAAGTGCGGGGATGGGAGTGCCTCTAAGTGGTTGTGTGAAACAGCAGTTCTGTGAACAGAGCAGTTGTTCATACCTAGATCCATTTTAGCCAATGGGAGCATGTGACAAGTTTATCACTTGAGCAGCATGGAAGACAAGGCCAGGGAGCATATTGCCTCCACTCCTGACAGATCCATTGATGGCTTGAGGGAAGAGTCAGGGCAGCAACCTCTGGTTTCCCTGGAGCTACTGAAGGGCGGACATGCCCTGAGGGGAGGCAGAAGCCAGGAAGCCCAGGCCAGGTCTCTTGTATATAATCAGCCTGAGGGCACTCTGTCACTCTCCATTTTAATATCATTTATTGGTTTTAGCTTTTTAAAATAATAAAATGCCTTGTGTGGGCCTTGGCAGAGGGGCAGTATACGAATGCAGAACACAAGCAAACAAAACAAGCATCTCCTTTATTTTCTCCAGGATATTTTTCTCCAGACAGTTTGAAAAGGAGAGTGGCCTAAGTGCTGGAGAAAATGGCACTGCTAGTTTTGTTCGGCATCCTCAGTGGCATCAGCCGGGCAATAAGGCTAAACAGGGTCCTCTTACCCTGGTTTAATCCTGCACCGAAATGAAGTCTGGGGTGATGTGGCAGAGTAGAAATGGGATGCACCTCACCATGGCAATGAAAGGAAAGCCAAGAGTAAACAACAACACCGTGCCAGACCTCCTGTAGGCTTGTTATTTCTCAGAGAACCTCATTTATTTGGAGGAAAGATCTTTCATTTTCTTGGCAGGGTTCTCTGGGTCCCTTTTTTGCCGCCATTTCTCTCCCTGGAGAAGCAAGCCGTCGCACAGAGCCTGCTTCTCCGTCTCACTCTCCACCCCTTTCCCGCTGCCTTCATTCTTTCCCAGCATGAAATTGCAAAGACTGTTTCTTCCCGGCTCTGCCTGATGAAATTGCTTTTTATTTTTGTACACCGAGATACAAAAGATCCCCCTTTATCACTCGCCTGCAGCTCCCCGTCTCCTGGTTAAGCGACTCTGCTCATCAAGCGCGCCTGACAGGCGACGAGTCATAGGAAGTAGCCTCCCTATGAATAGGCAGCTGAGCCTCGGGTTTTATTCTCCAGCAGGAGGCGGCAAAGGGGGAAAGGTCTCCTCCATTAGTGGGCATCTGTCTTCCTGAGCAAGCAACAGCGCCCCTCCTGTTCCATTTCATTATAAAGAAGTTGGGAGGAGGGAGGCTGCTTTCACCCAAGCCCGGTGACAACTGGAATAGTTTATCCTAGGATAAAGAAAATTTGAAAAATGCAGCCTCTCTGCTGATTTCACCTGATGTTTACACTCCGAGTCATACAGTGTCAAGTTCTGACCCAAGTTAGCCCTCCAAAAAAGAGAGAGTATGTACAGTTGTGTGTGGCCATCACAATGTCAATGATGTCAATATGTCCTTCAGTGATATGTTCGTCACTGATGATCCACATGATCTTTCAGTATTTTATTTTTGTGTTTTTATATCGTAAACCACACGCTGATCCTCAGCTGAAGGGGAATATAGAAATAACAACAACAACTATGATGATGGAATAGCTCACTACTAAATTCGGTCCAGCTTATCACGTACTTCCTGCCGGTGACTGACTGATTCATAGAATCATGGGACAGAGTTGGAAGGGACCATAAGGGTCATTTGGTCGAAACCCCTGCAGTGCAGGAACCTTGTGCCAATGTGGGGCCTCAAGGCCACAGCCATGAGATTAACTGAATTGACTGGAAAGCTATTAAATCACTCTTACGCAGTCCTTTCCCCCCCAAAAAAAATTGTTTAGGGGTACTCTCATTTCACCTGCTCGCTCTCGCCCTCGCCCCCTTCCTCCCCCCAACTGCCTCCCAACCCCTGGACAAGGGAATCGAGGTGGCAGTGGTGCTGAGAGGACGGGAAGGGTGATGGCGGGGTTGGCTTGAGTGAGAAGGGGCGAGTGCTCGCCGGCTGGCTGTAGCCTGGCAAGAGGAGGAGGAGCGCTATCGCCTCCACTGAGGCCGCCCTAGACTTCCCTCCCTGGGCACTGGTGGGGAGAATGACAGAGTTCCAGTCTGCGCTGCTACTGCGGAGACAGCTGGCATGTTGGTCCATCTGTTGGTTGGTTGGGGCAACACAAAATGTTTAGGGTTACACATACCCCTGCATCCCCGCAGAAAAAAGAACTGCTCTTATGAATGGAACAGTGATCATAAGCCACTTAGTGCGCCCCCAGAGTTGGAGAAGTGGAACTGGATGTGAGCCAATCTGCAGCAGCACGGGGCAGATGATTGTGTATTGCACCCTAGTCTTGAACAGGAAGCAACTTTATGATTCTATGATTCTATGAAATTTATAAAGTCCAACCCCCTGCAATGGGGGAATCTCAACTAAAGCATCCATGACAGATGGCCATCCAACCTCTGCTTAAAAACTTCTAAGGAAGGAGAGTCCACCACCTTCTGAGAGAGTCCATTCCAAACCAGCTTACTTCCACATAAGAAATATATTTAGGATTGCAGCCTTTTAATTCTTGTGTACCAAACACTTTGGTACCGTAAATAAAACATAATTTCCCTTATGTGTTTCACCTAATGCCCTACTGCATTGTTTCCCAAAGTGATACTTACTACTCCTCACATGAAAATAATACTAGTTTTAATAAAACTATTTTATCTATGAGAAAGCAAAATAAAAGTTACTGGTGTGTGCCCTTTGAAACCCTTTCATGTACCCCCACTGTATGCATTTGAGACATTTGCATGCGCAAATGACAGCTTCGTGAATAGAAATTCAGGGGTTTGTGTGTGTGTGTGTTACAGTCATGAGGAACCCAAAAGGGTAATGTGCACTGGGTGAAGGCATCCCTGCCCCATATCTGATGCACACAACACCATGCAAATGTGGCCTGGGACACAGCAGGGCAGGAGGCTGATCTCACCGCATTTTAAGTCACCAGTGTGAGCATCCTATGAGCGTTCGCCTCTACATCTTTGTGATTTCTTCTCAGTCAATCAGCAAAAGCACAAAGACTCCCGCACTGTCTCCTTCAGAGGAAACTTTCCATACAAAGGTCACCACGGAACTCCCATTTTTCAGCAAAGGGTAAATGAACAGATTCTGTGCAGTGAATATTGTACAAACCTTGGGTGATGCTGGGCAAGGCACAGACGACTTCTCCACCTACATCTGTTCCTGTCCCCTTTTGATAATGCTTTGATGAATGAATATTGAAATTGATAGATCAAAGAAGGGAACGTACTAAAATTCAATTGAAAGAGATGAAAATAACATTATGCATCATTTGAGGCAGCCAGAGATGTCACAACAGAAAATGAATGTAGAAAAATAAGGCTATTTTCCCCCTCCTCCTAAGGAGCCTGCATTAGAGTGTGCCAGGCTTACTATTCAGTAGAAATGTATTGATTTTGCTTGACTAATTGGGCTGCTCATATTAAATATAATCTCAGAAATGTAATCTTTGCCATTCCGTTAAATGTCAACCTCGTTTGGTTGCCTATGCTTGCTAGGATGGCCACTCTGAAAGGAAGATGAAAGAGCTGTTTTCTAGCAACCGTGTTGGCCCCTGAACTCTCAGAAAGCCCAAGGATGCACCCACGTGGCTGTGTAAGGAGGCAGGCAGGCATCCACTTGATCTCTGTGCCTACTGTCATCTTGGGTCTGTTCTGGCTCCCAACATTGTCTACCCTGCAGGTGGCAGTACTTGTGGGACCACCACCACTAGAGAAGCGCAGTGGTGGGATTTGGACTTGGAGCCTGTTAAAATGAAGAAGTGTGTTCTGGAAAGGAAATATCTGCTTCTTCAAGATGCTTCCACTTGAACTGTGGATTTGGAAAACAAGTGCCAAACCCACATACTGCTGACATGTTTTGAACAAAGGGTCACCAATTTAATGGATATATTTGTTTCCATAAATAGTGGCTGCCTCTTCATGAAGGTTATTCCAGGAAGTTGTAAATGGAGAAGAGCAACAAGTTGGGAACCATGTCAGGAATAAAAGAAACTGTCGAGTCAGAGGTCACGTGTCCCTCACATATTGCTGGAAGAACAGTCTAGAAATCAAGGATGGCTTTGCGGCAGAATCAATAACTGTCTTGGCAGACTGAACACTGTGCATCGTAGACAAACAAGGCAAAGATTTGTTCAACAGGTGGTAGAAGGTGTTTGCTGCACACACTGCAACTAACTCTGTTTTGTTCTTTTTCTGCTTTGTTTTGAAAAAACAAACATTAATGAAAATGATTAACATAATTTTCCAGTGAATCAGACAGTGTCCACACATTCACAGAGTGACTGTACTGTTGTGGTCAATTGTACTCCTTGGAAGCAATAAATATAACACATTTTGCAACTATCTGCCAGGGGAGAGTTCTTCCCCCCCCCCCACTGCCATCTGTATGGATATTTTTCCAAGCCTTTTGAGCTCTAATGGAGCTCCTCCTCCCACAAGTCGCTGGCTTTGTTGCCCTTTGAAGCACTTGCAGCCCCATCCCAGATGTGCTTCTTTGGCAAAGACACCGTCACAAATCTCCTCTTGGGACCCATTGAGCATACTGGGACTTCAATCCTGGTAAATACGTGCCGGAATGCAACCTTGGGAGGTCAGAGGGCTATGACCATCTTGACAACATTTTCTCTTTTCCCCAAAGTAGAGAAACATTTCTTTTTGCTTCCCTGCTGGGTGGTACCAGTTTGGGTGGTCCATGGTTGTTGTGTTTAGTTTCGGGGCTGATGTAACTGGAATTTTCTGCTGCTGCTGCTTAAGATTAAAAACTTTGGTATTTGGGCAGTGTTCAGACCCATCCCACTCTCTAGCCTGCTGTCTTCGGCTTATGATCCAACTAGTCCAGCATCCTGTTCTCAAACTAGCCAACCAGATGCCCGTGGAAAGTCCAAAAGCAGGACCAACACTATCCTCACTTGTGATTCCCAGCAACTGGCATTCAGAGGCATCCTGCCTCCAACAGTGGAGGTAGAGTATAGCCATCATGGCTAGGAGCCATCAGAGGCAGATTTAGGGCAGTACAACCAGTTTTGCCACACTGGGCACTGAGCCTAGGGGGCGCTGCAGGGCATCACAACTATTGCGTAGTGAATTGAGCAGAACAGAAGGCAAGGGGTTGCTGAATTTTGACCTCTCACAGGTCGCTGCTGAAATTTGAAAGACCAAAGTCCGCCCCTGTATCCATTGATAGGCATATTCTCCATGAAACAAATGCAGTGGTACCTCTGGATGCGAGTGGAATCCGTTCCGGAGCCCCGTTTGCATCATGAGCAGAAGGCAACCCATGTCTGTGCGTCTGCACGTGCACAGGATGTGATTCGCCATGTCTGCACATGCATGTGATGTCATTCTGAGCATCTGCGTGAGCAGTGAAACCCGGAAGTAATCCGTTCCATTATTTCCGGGTCACCACGGGACGCAACCTGAAAACATTCAACCTGAAGCGACTTTAACCCGAGGTATGACTGTGGTTGCAATCTTTCTCCCAGATATACAAAGCAGGTGGTAGAGAAACTAAAGCAGCAACTGTTTTGTAAGCCCAGCCTTTTTTTTTGTGGTGGTGGTGGTGGGGAACAGACTGCAAAAGAGAAATAAATATAGATAGAATATGTGCTTGCGAAGCTTTTATGTAACGCCAGCAATTTCCCCTTCCTGTTCTGGAAAAAAAAGAGGAGGCCAGACTTTGTGATGCAGGCTGGGCTTTGCTCTTTCAATCGACTGAGTCAAATGCCATCAAATTACAAAGAGCCGCACAGAGATCTAAAGGACACATAATGACAGTGTTCTATCCTTCTCTGGTGGTGGGAAAGAGAGGCAAAATTGTACCAGGGTTTAGATGGGACTTTGATAGCAGTTATTAATGGAGATTTAAGGGATATTTTTAAACCACAAAGCACAGGTGCAACACTAAACATGCATCCACTGGCAAGGGCTAGCATGTTTTCACTTCCTCCCCCGCCCCCAGCCCACCGCCACTCTGGCTCCTCTGAGACAATACCTGCTAGGTAGACAAATGGGTTTATGAGCAAAAGTAAATAAAAATCAGTGAAGTTTCTTCTTGCAGATAATGTCATGTTAAATAAATATTCCAACAGCATCACTCTTACAAAATGTAAAACTGAAAAAGAGCCGCTTGCTACAAAGAGAGAGAGACAGAAAGACAGACAAAGAAAGAAAGAAAGAAAGAAAGAAAGAAAGAAAGAAAGAAAGAAAGAAAGAAAGAAAGAAAGAAAGAAAGAAAGATGTGAGGGAAGGGTGTCTCTGTTTTGAAGACCCAGAAGACTTGGGGACATCTGCCCTATTGCCTTGTATCAGGAACAGTAGACATAGCCAACTGCTTCCCATTGCTCCACGCAGCAGTGGTCCTTATCGTGCTGTGAAACATGGCTCACCACATGGATCAGTCAGTTTTCTATAGCTTCACAAGTGGGCCAGGGCTGGTGGTGTTCTGAGACAAAGCTCTTGGTACATCAAGGGTAGCTCAGGCAGAAGAATGTGGGCACCCTTTTACACCCAGGTGTCTATTTCCTGGGCCTGGTAAGCTAAGTCGTTGGCTCTGTTCATTGGCAGCAGTGGTGCTGATGAGCACCCACTCCTCCTTTGACAAGCATTCATTGCGCACAGAAAATAAGCCGACTTGGTTCTCCCTTCCAGAGTCCCTGATTTGAGACTCTTGGTGCTTTACCAGATGGCTCTAAAAGAAAGTTCTGTGGTGGCATGGAGCTAATCACCCAATTGGCATGGCAAACCATTCCATACAATTGTGTTGTAATACTTTGTGATCTATTTAATTGTTTGTTGCTCTTCTCACTAATGGTGCTCACAGGTTTCTTGGCCACTGTGAGGACGACTCGGCTGGACTAGGTGGACTTTTGGCCTGGTCCAGCAGAGCTTTCCTCGTATCCTTATGTGTGGTGCCCAAGTAGGTAAATAAGATCAGGTTGAAGCAGCTTGGGCTGAAGCCCAGAAAGAAGAAAAAAGGCCTCAAACAACAACCGCCTCACCGGCTTGTATTCAAAGCATTTGCCAGCAGAAACACAAATGAGCAGCAGACTGAGTACCTTCCCATCTTCTGTCATCCAAAACAGCCATGAGGGGGCTAAGGTTCCCTTTGCTCCTTTGGCCTAAACGAGCTTCTGTGACCCAGAGGAACCTGTTGCCATTTGCCTGCCTTTTTCTATCACTTCCTTCTTGTGTGCTTCTCAGGTCTGTGCACTGAATGGTGATGAACTGTCATCGCCATAGCAACAGCTGTTGATTTCCCAGTCCCCTTAACAACCCAATGCAGGGTGATGCAAAGTGTTTGTTTGTTTGCCTGCTTGCTTGCTTGCTTGCTTGGCGTCTCTGATGTGTCTGTAGAATCAGGGCTGTTGAGAACTCCTTTCCAATCTCCTGACTGTGCCTTGACATCAGAGGTGACTGTTGTTTGTTGGAACTTGTTCAGAGTAGAGGGTTGTACTACAACAGGGACACATTATGTTCTATTCAACTTACTTTTGAGTTGTTCCACTGTTAAGGAGAACTAACAGGGTCACACTCCCCTGTCTCTCACCTGACAAGAGGTCAACAGTCAGGACAACCAAGGATGCTTCAGTGCCAAAACCAAGTCTGAAATCAGACCAGAATGGATTTAGATAATCTGCTCCTTCTAGGCATACCTGCAGCTGCTTTGCCAGCCCTCTCTGAAACACCTTGCCCAGGATGGGAATATTAGAGACTGGACAGTAGATTTCATAAACCTCTGGATCCAAGGACCTCTTCAAGAGGGGTTGCATCCCCACCTTTTTCAAGGCAGTGGGCATCAGTCGCTCCTGTAGCGAGGCATTGAGCACACCCTGGCCCCCTCCAGCCATTCATTCCCCTTTGCCCAGATTTTACCAGCCATGATGGATAGGGACCAAGAGGACATGGAGTCAGCCTCACTGCTACACAAGTGTCCTGTCCACATTCTTGGGCTGCAACAACTGAGACCAATCCCATGACCTGTAATTCGACTGTGCTCCAGGGACATCCAATACTCCTAAACCCATTTTGGAATCAAGTACAGAACAGAACTGAGTAATTCCCCCCCTCCAAAAAAAGGTGATTTGTAAATCTCTCACAGTAGGCTATTGAGTGGTCCATGGTCACTGATGCTACACTGATCTGGATCAGCTGGTTTACCAGCTGGAATGATGGTTATGAAAATGGTTTCCCTAAATAAGTGAAGGAGGTCGAATCCATTGTTTCCACTAAAAGGTGAAGGAGGCTTTGAGGATACAGTGATGCAGACTGGAAGACACTCTTACCTGAAAGTTCCCTTCCACACACACAGTAGAAGAGCATCAACTCCAAGTATGGCGTGAAGACTAGATAGAAGCGAGAATGATGAATATGGTTCCTTCTCATAAGCTTTGAGTTGTTTTCCTCTGTTCATCCTTCTGTGGAAGGTCTCAGCCAAACCCCATCCAGAGGGAATCTGTGGGTGAAGCCCCTCTTATTGAAAGCAATAAATCCATTCATTTGTAGCTTCAGATCTAGGCCACGCAAAGTTACAAGGCATAACTGATCAATCGTCTCTCTTCCTTGTAATGAATTGATCCATTGCATTTCAATAGATTGGCTTATCACCAAGACTTCATTTTCTGAGAATTTCCAAGGTATATTAAAGGGAGTACAAAACAGCTAAGAGTTCAACAAGCAGAAGCTTGTGCATGGTGAAACCTTTGTTTAGCAGGCTTAGCTTGGTTGCTTTCTGCTCCATTCCCCAATATAGTAAAAGGCAAATTGCTCTAAAAATAGCAAACAAGTGTTCATGTTTTCCTTCCAAGTTACATGCCCAACAAACATTGAGTCCATCCGGCACCTATTTGGCAGGGGAGCGAAGTTGGCATAGAGGCCAGGCAGGGCTTGGTTCAAGTTAGTGATGTGACTCAACCCTTGGCTGCGATGTTGAGGATGACCATGATACTTAAATTTGTATGGCACTTTCAAATTTCTGATGAGCTATCGTTCTCTCATTACAGTTCCTAACAAAAGCCATGTAAGGTACAGCAAGTATTATTATCCCCCATATTGGAGATGTGGGGTCTGAGGCTTGAGAAAGTGGCCACGTCGTGAGTTTATGGCAGAGCTAAGATTCAAACCAGGGACTTCCTGATTCACAATTTCTAAGTCACAGTACTGTAGCATCCCTCCTAAAGAAAGATCCTCAGGTTGGGAAGCAGGTTTTGCAACACACCCGCAAAAGCTGTCAGCTTTATAAAAGTTCTCCACCTGGGTAGAGAATGTTAGTGTAAAAAATAGTGTCTTGAGTTGTTGGGAAGAGGGAAGGTCTCTGGACTTATTTCTCTGAATAAGAAGTATTAAGCAAGATGCTGGCACAGTGTCTATTGGCTGAACTGTTTGCCTCCATAATTGCAGGTTGGCTATTCTACATGGGTGGCGCTGTGGGTAAAACCTCAGTGCCTAGGACTTGCCGATCGTATGGTCGGTGGTTCGAATCCCCGCGGCGGGGTGAGCTCCCGTCTTTTGGTCCCAGCTCCTGCCCACCTAGCAGTTCGAAAGCACCCCTAAGTGCAAGTAGATAAATAGGTACCGCTTTATAGCGGGAAGGTAAACGGCGTTTCCGTGTGCTGCGCTGGTGCTGGCTGGTGCTGGCTCGCCAGAGCAGCTTCGTCATGCTGGCCACGTGACCCGGAAGTGTCTTCGGACAGCGCTGGCTCCCAGCCTCTTAAGTCAGATGAGCGCACAACCCTAGAGTTGGACACGACTGGCCCGTACGGGCAGGGGTACCTTTACTTTATTCTACATGTAAGTGTCTGGGGTCAATTTTACACTTCATGGACTGGGCTTCTTGTGGATCCAATCAAGTGGAGCTTCCTAGCTGCCTGAGTGCTATGAAATTCATGGCATTTAGTCTTATTATTATACAGGCACCCAAATCTCAGTGGCTGCTTCCCAAGAGGGTCCCTTTTGTCTCTAATTATACAGGCAGTATTATGTACACATGAATCACTGACTTTGCAATGCCTCTCAAAATAGATAAATGCCTGCAAAAGTCGGGAATGAAACCCAGTTGTTTACAGCAGGCAGGGCAGGTATTTTGGGATGAATGGTTTCATTCTTTCCCATCTAATTGCTTTCCTCTCCAACTCATTCACAGAATGCCAGGGGTGAGACCATTTTCCCATTGCGAGTGACAATGGATTGGCTGGGGACAGACAGAAACCAAGTACCGGGTCTGATATTTTTAGGAGGGAGCTGGATTTTGCCGCTGTTTTTATAAGGATGGTGGAGTGGGGAACTATTCTGCCTCTGAATTGCCTCCTTTGTTTCTGCCTGATTGATTTCCTGGAATTCTTACATAACTGGGTTGCCACTTAGAAAAAAAAGAATAAGCAGCACCTGTGTAAATGAAGTCAGCAGTGCCTGCAAAGGAAGATCTGCAAACAGGAGGCTGCTTTCTTAGAAACCCATCAGTTTCCAGTTTATGTGTAGTTAAAGCCATTAAACTTTACCATCTGGCAGCCTGAATTGCTACCATTATTATTTTTACTTTTTACTCCTTTTTTGGAAAAATGTTTATTGTTTACTTTTTTGCAGTTTCACTGGGCAACAGAACCTGAGAACCATCCAAGTCCCATGAAATACACATCCATTACTTGCTGATGTTATAAAAACAATGCTGGGGAGGAGAATGGAAGGCTGCCCTCTGTGGAGTTAGACCATTGGTCAGTTTAGACCTGTATCAACTGCAGTGACTGGTAGAAGTTCTCCAGGCATTCAGAGAGAGGTTCTTTCCAACCCTACCTGGAAATGCCAGGGATTGAACTGCCTCATACTATATGGATGGGAAGGGCTGTAGCTCAGTTGTACTACCTCTACTTTGAATGCAGACGTTTCCAGGCTCAGCCCCCAGCATATCCTGGTAGGGCTAGGAGAGGACCTTGTCTGAAATCTTGGAGACTTGCTGTTTGTCACTGTAAACAATACTAAGCTAGATGAACCAATGCTTTGATGTAGTATAAGTCAACTTCCTATGTTCCTGCTTTCAGATTTGGAGGCACTATGCCTTTCTGGCTACCAATTGCCAGAGAACAACACTGAGGCGGCCTATTGGTCTGATGTTCTGCTTATGGGTATCCCCTAGGTATCTGATTGGCCAGTGTGGGAAGCAGGCTGCTGAAACAGATGGGCCTTTGGTCTGATCTGACAGGACTCCTCTTATGTCTCTCAAAGGCAGAGAGGTCCACCTTCTGTAATGGTATGATGAACAGAGCTTAGGCTCAGAAAATACATTCTGGATGACTGCAAGGCAGCCTTCTGATTCAGCCACAGTGTGGAGAGTGCACATGGCTGCATCTTTCTTCCTCGCTTAAGATGTTTGCGTGCCATTTCCAGCATTGGTGCTGTTGTTTGTTTACCAGTTTTGTACATACATATATAAATATACAAACGAAAGGGTATATTTAAAGTTGAATTTTGCATTGATTGGCTTGATTTCATTGCTTGATGTAACACTGATTGGGCAATTAGAGAGCTGAAAGGATAATCACTTGTTCACTCAAGAATGGGGAAGCAGCTGTTATTCCATTTCTTAAACTTCAGCAGAAGCGATGGGGAAGAATGATGCAGTGCTTTCCTTTCCTGGTCTCATTCACAAATGAGAAATGGAGTGGGTGGTTCTAGTTATTCATCCCAATCCAACACACACAGAGGGAGGGAGGGGGGGGGAGAGAGAGAGAGAGAGAGAGAGAGAGAAATTGAAATCCTGTGGCCATTTCTGAGCAGGAGAAGGGTGCTGGATTTCCTGGATTCCCACTGAATACTGGCAATAACCTCATTGGATCAGTATGCCTGCTATTACAGTCGTGGTATGGCGCTTTCAGTAATGGGAAGGGATGGACCAATCAGACCATTTTTATTTCTCCAAGCTTCTCATTTTTCCAATCTGAAGTTCAGTCCTACACATTTCTACATCCGTTTACACTTATTTTTATTTTTTTAAAAAGAAGTCATTATGAAAATCCATCAGCATTTTAATGCAAATTTATCCTAATATGCCCATTTCTAGGTGCAATTTTGCTTAAGGTACACATCTTTGCAAAAATAAAAAGAGTCCTTCTGGATCAGACCAGCAGGCTATCTTCAGTTCTCACAGTGGCCAGTCAGATGCCTATGAGAAGTCTGCCAGCAGGACCAGTGTGCAACAAACCAATGTTCCAGCTACCAGGAGGAGTGAGCATAGGAAAGTACCATTGCCCATCGAGCACAGTATTGTCAACACAGACTGGCAGTAACTCTCCAGGGTTTCAGATGAGGGCCATTCCCAGCCCTATCCGGAGTGGCTGGAGATTGAACATGGGACCTTCTGCACACAAAGCAGATGCTCGGCCACTAAACTACAACCCTTCCATGTTTCTCACACCCTCCCCAGAGCTACCTGAAAAGCGAAGGTTTTCCTCACCTACCCCACAAGTCCAGCCTGTCATAATGAAGGGAGCTTCTGTAGGTCATACCTACCAAAAGATGTACTACAGTGGTACCTCGGGTTACATACACTTCAGGTTACATATGCTTCAAGTTACAGACTCCGCTAACCCAGGAATAGTACCTCAGGTTAAGAACTTTGCTTCAGGATGAGAACAGAAATCGTGCTCCAGCGTGCGGCAGCAGCAGGAGGCCCCATTAGCTAAAGTGGTGCTTCAGGTTAAGAACAGTTTCAGGTTGAGAACAGACCTCCGGAACGAATTAAGTACTTAACCCGAGGTACCACTGTATTCTAAGACTGTAGTTGCCTGCTGTATTCCACAGCTTCACCAAGGCTGTGTGTACTGTAAACAATCTTTTAATCTCTCCTCAGACCCAGGAGACCAATCAGAATTTCCAAGATGGTGGAGAAATCCTCCGCCTAGTTGTCGGAGTCACCAGTCCTCAACACAAAAGCACCCACCTTCTTTGGTCCGATTCACTTTCTCATCTGTTCACTCATCAATCTGTCCCCGCCTATTTCTGCATTTAAAAGAGAATTTTTAAAAATCTGTGTGTATCTTAAATGTTCTCCTAAAATACAGGTCTAAATGTATATTATCTCAAAATACGCATCTTAAAAATAGATTTGAATGTGTGCGTGTGTATTTGAGGTGTGAACTGTGTTGAAATTTGATGTTCTGATCCGTACATTCTTCTCGGAGGTGTGGAGCAGATCAATTCATGTCAGAACCCACAAAGATCAAACATGTAGAAATCTGAATGAGTTCCATGGGTTTAACTGTGCTGCATGAAGAAGTATTTTCTTTTATCCGTCCTGATTCTTTCAACTTGCAACTTCATGGAACGCCCATGAGTTCTCATGCTAGCAGAGAGGGAGAGAACTTTTTTTCCTGTCTCCTCTCTCTGAGCCATGCATAACTTTATAAACTTCTATTTTGTCACCTCTTACACTCGCCGTTTCTCTAAACAAAGAAGTCCCAGTTGCTGAGAATTACTTCTGAAGTTACCCATTCAACAGGGTTGTTGTTGGCACCCTCCTGTCTCAGGAGACAATGGAGGAGTGTGCCTTTGGGGGTGAAGTCAAATATTATAGCGGCAGAGAGGATATTTTTATACAGAAGTCTTTCTACTTCCCTCCCTTCAAATGGTAACTCTTTCCTTCAAAAAAATCAATGTTTTTTCTTTCCATCCCTTGCTCTGTGTGCCATATATATATCTATTCCTACCAGTCACTTTTCCCTCAGCAGAAGGACTGGATTGCTCTAATTGGTTTCTGCTTTGTTCCAAGATATACACCTCACTGACCCGGCTTACCCTCGGGAAACATTTCGTTCTAGCTAACCAGGTGTGTATGAAACTCGGCCTTCTCAATCCATAACTCTGATGTATCAAAATAGCCCAGTGCTTGTTTAATACAACACATAGGTGATCACAGAGCCAGCAAGTCCTATTCTCACAGGGTCACCATTTTGTAGTGCCTGTCTTACAGATGAATGCCTCAGTTCTGCCAGCTGCAGTGTTGCTGGTCACTTTCCCCCAAGACTGCTGTAATTGCTCTTTTGTTGTTGTTGTTGTTTAGTCATTTAGTTGTGTCCGACTCTTTATGACTCCATGGACCAGAGCACGCCAGGCTCTCATATCTTCCACTGCCTCCCGCAGTTTGGTCAAACTCATGTTCGTAGCTTCGAGAACACTGTCCAACAATCTCATCCTCTGTCATCCCCTTCTCCTTGTGCCTTCAATCTTTCCCAACATCAGGGTCTTTTCCAGGGAGTCTTCTCTTCTCATGAGGTGGCCAAAGTATTGGAGCCTCAGCTTCAGGATCTGTCCTTCCAGTGAGCACCCAGGGCTGATTTCCTTCAGAATGGATAGGTTTGATCTTCTTGCAGTCCATGGGACTCTCAAGAGTCTCTTCCAGCACCATAAGTCAAAAGCATCAATTCTTTGGCGATCAGCCTTCTTTTGCTCTTTTAGCTCTTTTAATTGTTATACTTTTTAATAGGCTTGTTTTATTGTATATTTTAATCCTGTGTGCTTTTAATGTTGGAATGATGGAATTGCATTAGTGTGTCTTTTGATTACACATGGATATTTTAGAACTGATTTGATATTTGTAAACAGCTTAGAAGACATTTTGGCACGCAAGCAGTGTATAAATGTTGGAATATTCTAGAAGAAACTTGAAAATGGTCCTGAAGAAGTTGCTAGGCAACAGAAAATTTCCCCAGCAACAGGTGCCTTTATTAGGGCATGTGATCAACTAAGTCTGGGTCAGTGTAAATGAGCATGGGAAGGAGTCAGCATTAGGTCTCTGGCTGGATGGCTAAAAGTGAAAAAGATTATGTTGTGTTCTTTGTTTTTGACCAGTGTAAAGTTTTGTAAATAATAAAATACACTGAAAAACAGAACCAAAGAGTGTTTATTACTGTAATGGGGATTTCACTAAGAGCTGGGGTGCTGCTGCTGTAAAGAAGTAAAAGATGCAGGAAAACTCTGTAAAAGGAACTCTGCTGCAGAAATGAAAACCCAAGAGTAGATGCTCACACACCAACATAAAATAATTAAGTAATATTATTGCTTGTAAAAAAATTGTACCTGTCGCCCCACCAATTGTTCCTACGCTTGGTCGGCATCCTGGGTTCATACATCTTGGTTGGTTTTCTGCTTGTTGTTTTGTGCAGGTAGGTGACCCCTAGGTGTGGCTTGCATTTGGTATGTTGACCCATTTTTCAACACAAGCTTTATCAATACATGTTTGGTCCTTCAAATTGTTCATTTTGTTTTGAAATATATCTGGGATGCCTTTCTGGACCTTACCCATCCTAGATGGCTTGCAGCTACCAACAACACAAAAAGAGGACATCAACAATATAAAAGGTAAAACTTTTTTTACATAAAAATAATAACCAATAAGACATACTCACCCAACCAATAAAGTACTTTTCTCTCACACAGCAATAGTAATCATAACAGTAATCTGGCCAATAAAAATAACAATTATGAAAAATCACAAGAAACCAGCTGGAAAATAAGTGCCTTTAAAACCTCCCTAGATCCCTGAAGAAAGACAGTTTGCCACAGGTCCAGTGGTAGAGAGAGCCAAAGCTTTGGGTAATTCCAGGGCAACTGACCAGCCCTTTTCATTTGAAATCAGTTGTTGGAATAGAAACATGGTGCAATCTTCCATTCAGCTCATAAAGTCATGATTTCTCCTTTGTGGTCAGCTGAGCTCAATTCCTTCTGAAGATTCAGTGGGTGGGAGAAGTGCACCAAAAATGGTTTCAAAAAAGGCCAAGCTTCACTTCTTCTTTTGTTGGATTTTTATTTTTGTGCAGATCTCTTTTCCTTATCTGCAGAATCTGCCGATCTGTTTGCTTCACTTCTGCATGAAAATCCTTCTTGAAATAGTATTTAAACAGGCATTAAAAAAAAAAAAAATTCCCACAAAACACACATTTCTAACCTTATTAGCAAGCCAAGGTCAAGATGTTTGCTATAAAGCCCTTAACCGCTTGGGAACCAGTTTACTTGACCCCAAACATTTGCACACTCAATCCTTTACATCTGTGGACCTGAGACTGTTACAGGCACCACGTATTACTTGCTCTGCACTTGTGAGATATTGACTCTTTAGTGTTGTAGCACCTAAACTTTGGAACTCCCTGCCTACTGACATCCAGCAAGTGCCTTCACTGTACAAAACATTTCTGGTTAGAAAAACCTATCCAGACATGTAGAAGTTACAAGTGTTTTATGTAACTGCTCCTGATTTTAATAACCCTTTGAATATTTTTAAAAATATTTGTTTTTATCGAGAATCTAAATGTTTTCAGAAATTGCACAGAGGTTGTAAAATTTGTTAAGTAAAATTAAATAAATTATTTGGATATGATTATTGAGCCAAGGATGTAACATGGAAGCATGAAAGACTATGGATAAATTGGATTCTCATCTGCACTTCTGTCTGGGAAAGAGGGAGTAGATCAGTTCATAATGGACTTTGTAAATATCAAGTTATTCCTGTATCCCCAGATGGAGCATCCATAAATGATGACTAAAAATGTCTGTTACCACCCAGTCGTGTGCGTCTTGTAAAGTGGGTCTTTTCAAGGGAAAAGGAGAGCCTGCAGTCGCCAAACAATTCAAATGAACTACATTTCTAAAGACTGTGTCATTCACTCTGAGCATGATAATTTCCTGAACAAGATACCACATACAAACTAATTCATGGCTTTTCTCTGCTGCTTAGGATCTTCACAAATAGACTCAAATCAGCAGAGATATTTATGTATTTGTTATTAACATTTAACTGTGGATTTTACATAATAATAAATAAACAAACACAGTGATTAAGCAATTCAAAATGCACCCATCAGATCTTTTACATAATAGAAGTGATACAACTCAAGCAGGTGGTCTTATTCAACTAACTATTGAATGTAGTCGTGTATCTCCATAAGCTCACAATGTCATGATCCCCTGGAGAAAGCAACTGTGATTAGGCAGGTTAATCAGGTTATAATTAGATAATTATATCTGCAGCGGAAAAAATAAGCAATCTAGATTAGTGTGAATTCAAGCAGCATATAGTGGGGAAAAGGAAGAGGAAGGAATCTAAGGTGAGTTAAGGAAGGTATGTTTTTAACAACCTCAAAGGACTCAATACATTTAAGTTTCAATGTACAGGTAGTTATCACTTTGAGATTTAAAGATTCAGCTACTTGGCATAGCAAAGGTTGAAGCTGCATACCAACTTAAAGTCCAAAGGCTGCCATAATCTAGGTGGTGCTTCCAGACTGCCACTGTTTTCAGGTGGGGGTTCAAATGTTTATCAGGAAGTTCAGGTTGTGCAAAGAAAGTTGATTGGAAGCTCCTGTGCAACAAAACTGCTTCTTCCCAAGACTGGACTTCTTGTGATAAGATAAGTGATGGGAGAATGCACAAGACAGTGTGGGATAACATTTGGTGTGACATCGTCTAACCTCCCTGTAAACAAATCAGGGTGAATGCTCAATAGACAGGTTGCCTAGAAACGACCTAAATTCCATTGAACTTGCAAAAAGTCAAAACTGCTTCCTTCTGAGTAGATATGTATAGGATTGCACCCTAAGTGCCTTCTAAAAATGATAAGCCCCATGTTTCATCAGTGTGTACAACTGGACTGGTAACATACTACACAAGAAATTCATTATGTATTCATATGTACAATTCCATCAACTTTGTCTTTTCATGGGTGATCAGATCCCATGGGGTGCTAAAGCAATCATTCTGCCAGCACAGAGAGTTCTCTGCTGATACAACAGAAACTTCTCTCTCTCTCTCTTTCTCCTCCCCTTGTGCACTTCCCAGATCTGTTCTAGGGGTGCTCCCAACCCCCTAGAGCAGATTTGGGGAGGGTGCAGGAATAGTGCAGGGGAAGGTGAGCAGGGGAAAGTCCTATTGTGCAAGCAGAAAACCTTGCAGTGACAGGACTCACTAGAATATCACCTTATGTGTTTTATCATTGCTCACATCCACAGAATAAATTAGGGCATTTCCAGAAGAAATGCTCGTCCTGATTAATTTGGGGTGAGGTTAGAATAAGTTGTCTCAGGTAAATATTACCCCATGCTAGGAAAGTTTTGTCAATTTTGACATTTTAATGTATTTTTAATCTTTGTTGGAGGCTGCCCAGAGTGGCTGGGGAGGCCCAGCCAGATGGACAGGGTACAAATAATGAATTATTATTATTATTATTATTATTATTATTATTATTTTGGGTCTCTCATTTTTCCTATCTTAAATTCAGTTCTCCATATTTTGCAGCAATTTACTATTTTTTTTAAAAAAAAAAGCTCATGAAAATTCATCAGCATTTTTGTGTGAATTTCTCTGAATAAATACACTTTTATGTGCAGTTTTGACTAATGTGCACATTTTTGCAAGTTGTTTCCCCATATGCGATGCATTTCTGTGTGCTATTTCCACTGATGCGTTCATTGTTATGCACACTTCCCCAAATATACATTGGTTGGAGAACTATGTCACAAAGTTCAGATAAGTGCAAATTTCAAAGGATCACTGTTTGGTTCACCTATTGTTCCGGAAAGTGCAAATTTGATGGTTTCCATTTTGCATGAACCCTGATTCTAATTTCTCTTCTATCCCTATCCCATACTTTGCCGTGCATCTTCCTGTCACTTTGTTGCATTGAAGGCTGATCTTTTCAGGAAGCAGGTTTGTTGCATAAAGCTTCCATATGTGCAACCTGAATTTGCTGGTATGCGATTGCACCCCACTAGAAAAAGCAACAGTCTAGAAATGCCCTTAGAGGGAAAAGAGATGTAAATGAACCCAAAGGAACTGAAAACTGCAGCAAACTATGCTGTATGTGCAGTGCTCTGTACAGGACCCAGTACTAAATAATGGAATAATGGAGAATTCCTCTCCAACTCCTAACCAGTGCTCTCTAGAGATTTTGGACTACAACTCCCATAATTCCTAGCTGCTACACACTGACCAGGGCTGATGGAAGTTGTAATCCCAAACTCCAAACCTGGAGAGCCCCAGGTTGGGGGAGGCTGCCTTAATGCACAAGTTGCACTACATAAACAAGACCAGGTGATTTTATTTCCAAATTCCAGGGAGACATTCCGAGGAGGAGAATCATAGAAGCATTCCCAGACTTGTTTTGAAAGTGATGCTAAATATAGACTTCTATAAATGCCCATTAAACACGGTGTAATCATTCAGATGCTTCTGGATGGCTTTGAAATCTTTTGTCATTTGCCTTTCCTGAAGCATCACCTTCCTGTACATTAATAAGTGTTTGTTGCATGTGGGTTGAATACACAATTTCTGAAATGTGTTTTGGAGCTGAAATGAATGACGAATTGTTCTTAGGGTTGTTCCCCATTTCACGTGACAGCTGGAATCAACACAACCTGTTGCCTAGTTCACTTATTTTTTATTTTAGATATTGAAAAGCTTGCTTAGTTAGTTCACAGTACCGTTTATGGCGCACTCACTGCATTTCCAATACCGGATTCTTAATCTGTGTTCACATGACGTTGCCCAAAATGCATATGTATTCTATGCCTTGATGGTACTGTTCCGCAGGTTGTTTCTCAAACCGACTTCACACCAACTGAAGTCCTCCAGCCTTTCCTTATTAGTAGGGGTGCCGTGTTTGGAAGAGCAAAAAAGAGGACACATTTGCTGACTTTTAACTATGGATCTGAATGGGATGCAGGTGGCACTGTGGGTTAAACCACTGAGCCTAGGACTTGCCAATCAGAAAGTTGGCGGTTTGAATCCCCACAACGGGGTGAGCTCCCGTTGCTTGGTCCCTGCTCCTGCCAACCTAGCAGTTCGAAAGCACATCAAAGTGCAAGTAAATAAATAGGTACCGCTCAGGTGGGAAGGTAAGCGGCGTTTCCGTGCACTGCTCTGGTTCGCCAAAAGCAGCTTAGTCATGCTGGCCACATGACCCGGAAGCTGTAGGCCGGCTCCCTTGGCCGATAAAGCGAGATGAGTGTTGCAACCCCAGAGTTGGCCACAACTTGACCTAATGGTCAGGGATCCCTTTACCTTTAACTATGGATCACTATGATGACTCTCATTTTACATACGCACAGAAAAGAGGATGCGTGCTGGAAAAGAGGACATAGCCAAAGTTTGAAGACATCTGCATCCCATCAACACCACCTAGGGTGCTCACAAACAGAAAATAATATGGCACTATTAAAACTGCGCTGGTGTGAACAGCTGGAGGGTGGTCAGAACTGTGAAATTAACAAAGAAAGAAAGAAACAAAAACCCAACACTGTGCTCCAAAGCAGTAATGACCAGCCCAGGGGGGCATGGGCATAGCCTAGATTTTTGTTACGGGGCGGGCAGGCTTTTGTTAGGGGGCACAGAACCTATTTTTCGCTCTATATGATGCACCCGACCATAAGATGCACCTAGTTTTTAGAGGAGGAAAACAAGAAAAAAAAATATTCTGAATCAAATGTTGTACAGTGGTACCTCGGGTTAAGTACTTACTTCGTTCTGGAGGTTCGTTCTTAAACTGAAACTGTTCTTAACCTGAAGCACCCCTTCAGCTAATGGGGCCTCCTGCTGCTGCCATGCCGCCGCCTTGCGATTTCTGTTCTCATCCTGAAGCAAAGTTCTTAACCCAAGGTACTATTTCTGGGTTAGTGGAGTCTGTAACCTGAAGCGCATGTAACCTGAAGCATATGTAACCCAAGGTACCACTATACTAACTATTTAATAAACAACCGGTTTATCAGAATCATATTACAACCATGTAAAGGGAACAGCAGTCAACAGTGGCATTAAGAACCATCATCACTGTCCTTAACAAATGAAGAGAGACTTTAAGGTTTGAGTACTCTTCTAGTCTTCTGTGAACCCGAAGAACTCATGAGTCCCTCCTCCCACCAAGCGGTAAAGCCAGCAAGAGCCGCAGACCCGCTGGGCAGATCCTGTCAGCAGCAACAGCTCTTGCTGGCTTTACAATGAGCCAGAAGGAGGGATGGAGGGCAGCCTGTCAGTCCCTCCTCCCTCCTGCATTCACTCCATAAGACGCACACACATTTCCCCTTACTTTTTAGGAGGGGAAAAGGTGCGTCTTATGGAGCGAAAAATACAGTAAGTGTTTTTATTGATTTTTATTGATTATTGGGGGGGGGCAGCTGTCCCATGCCCACCCAACTACGCCCATGCTTCCTCCTTATTCTAAGGGTTGCCCTTTCTAGAACTCAGCAAGGAGGAATATGAGAGCAAAGCTTGAATCATTTGGTGCTTTCTGTCATTTGCTCTCTCCCAATGGGCACCAACCAGCGCTGGAATTTGCAGATACAGGCTACATATACACTACACTTTGAGGCAAATTTGAAGGGGGTTCAACTTGATGACCCTCGTGGTCCCTTCCAGCTCTACAAGTCTATGATTCAAATGCTCGAACCTCAACTTAAAGTATCCATGACATTCTTTTCCTCAAAGAATTCTGGGCCCTGGAATTTACCCCCACAGAGTTACATTTCCCAGCAACCCTTGACAGCTTTCAATACCCAGAATTCTTTGAAGCAAAGAAGGTGCTTTGAACATGCTTTAAAGGTATAGTCATGACTTAATGGAAAAGGAAGCATTGAGCAAGATCAGGTCAGGATAGGGAGCCTTAGCTTTCGTCCTTTGCCTAAAATATAACGGGTTCCTGGTAATCATTCCCCAGCTCTAGGCTGCCATCTGCAGGACATACCTACTTTATAAGGGAATTATACAGTTTACTGTGTTGAGTCTGGCTGCTTCTCAAAGGAAATCTCTTTCAGGGCTTTTGAAAAGAACATAAGAGCCTGCTGGATGAGGCCAACAGCCCATCTGGTCCAGTATCCTGTTCTCACAGTGGCCAACCGGATGCCTGTGGGAAACCAGTAAGCAGGATTTGAGAATAATAATAATAATAATAATAATAATAATAATAATGTATTACTTATACCCCACCCATCTGCCCAGGCCTCCCCAGCCACTCCGGGCAGCTCCCAACAGAATATTAAAACACGATAAAACATCAAACATTAAAAACTTCCCAAAGCAGGGCTGCCTTCAGATGTTTTCTAAAAGTCAGGTAGTTGTTTATTTCCTTGACATCTGATGGGAGGGCCTTCCACAGGGCGGCTGCCACTACCAAGAAGGCTCTCTCCCTGGTTCCCTATAACCTCACTTCTCTCAGTGAGGGAACCACCAGAAGGCCCTCGGAGCTGGACCTCAGTGTCCGGGCTGTACGATGGGGGGGGAGATGCTCCCTCAGGGATACTGGGCCGAAGCCTCTCTCCTCTCTTGTGGTTTCCAGCAACTGGATTTCAGAAGCATTGCTGCCTCTGACTGTGGAGACAGAGCCTAGCCATCATGGCTAGGCCCTGTCCATCCAGTTTGGTAGCCATCGCCGCCTCCTGTAGAAGCAGGTTCCATAATTTTATTAATTTCTATCACGTCACCCCTTTCTTGCCTTTTCCCTACAGCTGGCATCTTGACAACAGGATTTAGGAGAGAGCTTGATCCTGGCCATATTGGCTCCACTATTAGAATGCCCTTTTAAAAAATCCCTTTCTGTAGTTTGACGAAGAATAAGAATAACAAAACAATTTTGAAAATATATATCAGGCTGCTGAAATACTTGGATACTCATTCTGGATATAGGATACCAAAGCTAGGACCCTGATGTTCCAGTTTCTGATTGCTCCAGAAGCTGTAGCTTCGGCGGTAGACCGATGAACCGCAATTTATACAGAGAGGGAATCCCCAGGTATGCCCGCCCCCCATCATCTGACTGGACACCTCACTGGTAAACTGATTGCAAGGAGAGTCAAGCTGCTCTCAATATATTTTGCTCCACTTTGCATGGAGGCAGGAGTGCCAGCTTGGCTCCACGACTGTGAGTGCTTGGGGCCATGGATGCCATGCATCATGTATTGCCCTGGCACTGAAATTTGTAGATGCCCTGTGTTGGGATACTGCCAGGCAGATGAAGGCATCAGGCAGGCCTCCAGTTGTCTCCGGACGATCACTGGTCTCCCGTGGAACAGCATCAGTCAATTAGCGACACAAGCCTCAGAGACGTTCCAAGACCCATGCACCCTTTCAGCAGAGTGTGCAAGTCTCCACAATGAAAGATGCAGACAGAGAGAGTGCATTGTGTGCAAGTCTCCACAATGTGCATTGTGTGCAAGTCTCCACAATGAAAGATGCAGACAGAGAGAGAGCATATTTACAGCTTTATTCAACGTAGTTCAGAACAAAGGAAAAACATGACTGCTTGCCTCCGTGTCCAGGAAAACAGCCACAATACAAAAGCTATATACAAAAAGGCATGTGACACACAACAGCCTTTTCCCTTTTAAGGTGGAACAGAACTATATCCTAACACCCTGCCCCTTCTTGGGGATTTTTGTGGGTGCTCGGGCACCTAGGGCCCGAGAGAGTTGGCACCTGAAGCTGCTTGTTTACCAATTATTTATTCTGTAGTACTCAGATTTATTTATTTAATATGTTTATTTGGAGTACTTGTACCCCACTTTTTATCCAAATAGGCTCCCAGAGGGGCTGACATACAGTCCATTAAATCAAGGCTAAGTCTGTCCCCACCGATGAGGCATGGTGAGGCAACCGTCTCCAGAGGCGGGATCCGGCCTCCAAAGATTGCATCACCTACTGCCATGGGGCCAACAGCAGCTGCAGTATACTCCTTGGAGGCCAATCTGCCACCTCCTTGGCAATGTCCCCAAAACGCTACCTCCACAGCAGCATCTGGTTGAATAGATGTCAGGGATTGGACTGAAGAGGAGTGGTCCCCCCCCCCACTTCTCCTGCACCTTCCTCACTTCCTCAGAACAGGAGGACAGTATAGATTTAGAACAGTGGTTTGCAGAAGGGTCTGCAGAAGGTAGAAGCTGGGAAATGCTGGAAGGGGAACAGCAGGAAGAGGAGGAGAGACAGCTGACAGTGTCCATGGAAAGCATTCCTGACCCCCCCCCCCCAAGACCAGACGGGCATTGAGGGTATTAGAACAGAGAGCTCAGAGGCAGAAAGCTCAGATTAACCAAGGCAGGAGTGACGTTGAATAAGGGAGACGTAGGGCGGTGCGACTTTACTTGGATCAATGCCATCATTAGAAAGGCTGCATTCCTTTGTCATTCTCTGCAAACATTGACAGTAGGCCTCAAGACAATGGCCTCAAGACAGAAACCTGCCAGGCTAACGGCTTTTCCCCGGGGAGGCGCCTGAAAACAAATTTCCTAAGGCGCTCGCTCGCATGGCCTAGAATGTTCTGCAGTTCTGCAGGTTTTTTCCTGTGCCCTTTTCCCAAGCCGCTAAGCCGCATCGGCTGATGGCTGCCGCCAACAGCCATGCGCTATCAGCTGATCGCTGCCGCTGACCAGCTTAGCGCGCCGCTTTATCAGCTGATCCTGCCGCTATCGCACGCTGGGCCGCCATCAGCTGGGATCCACCAAGCCTGCCAAGCCCCAGACACTAATCCGCTAAACCTTGCTAAATGGGGCTTGAGCCAAGTAAGACGAAACCCGCAAGACGAAGAGACTCGCGGAACGGATTCTTTTCGTCTTGCGAGGCACCACTGTAAATTGTTTGGTAAGAACTTTTATCCTTTCTCTGATTCTGGGCTGCCACCATGGGAGGGATCTGATTCCCCGAACCTGACAACAGGAGGCACTGCTCGTCTCCTCCCATCCCCTGTTCTAGAAGTTGATATTTATTCCCCCCCCCTTTTCTTCCTGGTGTAGATTTTCTTCCCAGGGGTGGATGGGTGGAGACACACCATTTTGTGATTTGCCTCAGGTGCCAGAATGTCTTGGGCCGCCCCTGAGCAAGTGAGTCCTTGCCCGCGGGCTTACAATCTAAGAAAAATATGACACACATGGGAGAGAGGACAGGGAGTGAAATGTCGGGAGGGAATCAAACTCGGGCCTCAATTCTTAAACTGTTGTTCTTACAATGACCAGCCTCCACAGTTCAGAGGTAGGAGGTGCCAGATGGGGCTGGCTTTGGGCAAAGTGGATGTGCTTACATTGCTTTCTTTAGGCATATGCCAGGATGAATTAAAAAGCAGTGTTGTCAAAGTGTGTGCAAACACCTTTCCCGCTTCCCTCTCTTCCCTCTGCATAGCTCAGTCTGTTAGAGAGTGGTACTGATAATGCCAAGGTTGCAGGTTCGATTCCCGTACGGGACAGCTGTGTATTCCTGCACTGCAGGGGGTTGGACTAGATGACCCTCAAGGTCGTTTCCGACTCTTCTACAATTCTGTGATACCTAATCAGCACCTGCCACATAAAGCTATGACCTGGGCTTGGTCTCTTATGTGTGCTTGTACTGAGCATATTTGGATGGATTAGTTTAAACTGCTTTAGTGACATCTTATCTGCTAAGCTGCCAGGAGATTCCCACCAACATTTCACAGCTGGGACATTGGGTTACACTAAGAAGAAGAAGCTCACCGTGAACCGTGAGTAAAACAATTGAGTAGAGTTCAAAGTGAGCTTGATGGATGCCTCAAAGAGAATGCTGGGAATATTCACTTCAAAACACAACTAGAAAGCATAGGGTGGGTATACCTTTACTTGGGTTATACGTTACTTCACACACACACACCCTTCTCTTGTTCCAAACTCTTATTGTCATCCCTTCGACAGAGCTGGCAAACCTATGGCCCTGCTTATGTTGTTTGACACCAACACCACAGCTTTCACATCCTTGATTTAAATACTGTTATGGGAACTTTATCCCTTCCAGGTCTTGAAATCCCAAACAATAGAGAAGCCAGGAAATGCTTCCACAATTTGAATTTGGTGTCGGTTCTGTCCATGGTGGAGCCACTGCAAGGATCTCTGGAAGCGCGACACTCCCGGAGGTAAGCTTCATCGTGATTCACTAGGTTGTAGCTGGGCATCCTTTGCCTGTGTAGAATGTGACCATGTCACTGTAAAAGGGCACATAGCACCAACACAATGAGGCCTACTATGAAAACAGAGCCTTGGAGACACCTGCAAACTGCAAGATTAATGGGAAACCTAGTCCCAGAATTGATGGGTTAATATGGCATTCAGCATAGTTTTAGTTTTCACTGTTTTTAGGCAGGTGCAGCTGACAGGGTGGGGTGAGTCCGGGCGGCTCCACAGTGCCAGTCCACTGTTCCATCCAATCCTGGCATTCCAAAAATAGCAAAGGCTGTTTTTGACAGGAAAATCAGCAAGCAACAACTGTGGTTGGCACAAAATTCACTAGATGTCACTGTCACACCACACAAGCACTGGGTAACTCAGAGACAGAGAGAGAGAAAGAGAGAGAGAGAGAGAGAAGTTTGCCTCACTTCCCCATTTGTGTGTTTCTATTCTTTTAAAAAAATGTGTGTAGAGAGGTAGCAAAGAGAGAGTAGTGAGGTGCCCCTTTGGCAAGGTCATAAAATACACATGCAAATATAAGATGCATGAACTCTCGCAAAGGTCCACAGAGCTTTGCAAAACGAGTACAATGATAATTGCTGCTGACTGTTTGGAAGTACACAAAACCCTGTTTTGCACAGTGTGGAGCCATGAACACAGGGAGAGGAAAATAAGATTTTGCTGGTGTCCTGGCCTCTGACCTCTGTGTACTTAATGATTCTGTGCATGAAGCCTACAAGCTGTGCAGCCCTGTATGTGTAGTCTTGGATCTTGTAAAAACTGGCATCCCTGACCATGTAAAGAGAGCTTATGCGTGTACTGTTTGTACATGCGCAGCTTCTGTGTATAAAGTGGTAGTGAATGAATGCAGTTGTGGATTGGGATATTAGGTGCAATACGGTTCACCTTCCAGACATTCAGTGAACGGGATTTCAAACCACATGTAAAAGGCAAACAGCACATGAAACCTGCAGTGTTATGGCTGCTTCTCTACACCCATTCCAGCAAGACGCTCCCATGAAAATATATCCTCACTCTGTTGCTATAGACAGCCAATGTAGTGCAGTGGTTAGAGTGTTGGACTTAAGAGCAGGGAGACAAGGGTTCAAATCCCTGCTCCACCATGAAACTCACTGGGTGACCTTGGGCCAGTCACTGCCTCTCAGCCTAGCCTACCTCACAGGGTTCTCTGAGGATAAAATGGAGCAGAAGAGAGCCATGCAAGCTACATTAAGCTCCATGGAGGAAAGGTATATAAATGTAATAAGCAGGTTGTGTTTCCATACATATATGGATGCACTAGGGCAGGCTTCCTCAACCTCGGCTCTCCAGATGTTTTGAGACTACAATTCCCAGCATCCCTGACCACTAGTCCTGCTAGCTAGGGATCATGGGAGTTGTAGGCCAAAAACATATGGAGGGCCAAGGTTGAGGAAGCCTGCATTAGGGGCTGCCGTCCCTGTTCACCAACCCTGCCTACTCACCAACCACCTTCCCTCACACCTGGCCAATCCCTCTTCCCTTTATCCCACTCACCTAGCCTCTCATAGCTCACCCAAACCTCCCCTCCCCTCCCCAGCCCATTCCCCTCCCCCCCAAGTTCACCCCAACCTCCAACCCCCTTTAAAAGAGGGGGGACTTCAGATAGTGCTTGCTCACTCACCTGTTGTTCTGTTGCAATACTGCAGTTGGCAGGGCCACCTATTGGCAGCCACACAAACTGCAGTGTGACAACAGCCTTACATTTTTTATGCGTATAGGAAGATGTGCTTATGAAAGCATTAAGCTTCTATCCATTGTTTTTTTAAAACACAGACACAGTCATTGGTATGTTCTACACTCCCATCTTAGCAGCTTTCATTATTGACCTGGGTTTTCCTCCCCAAGCTACTGAACACCTTTGACTTTGCTTGGGGATGGTTGATCAACAAAGCTGTCACAATGATGGATTCCCCTTGAATTATTGCTTAATTAGCTAAGCTGGAGGTATAAATCAAGTGCACTGCCAATTGTCTTATTCTGCACACAGGCGGCCATGCTCAGCCTGGCTCTAATGAATTATTAGCTCCTGCCACTGAGAAATTGCAATATGCAATCTCAAGTCTGTAATGGGAAAAGAAATCCAAATTCACATGTAGGGGCCAGAACCTGGAATAGCTTTACCACAGATATTAAGCGATATGAATGTGAGCAGTGCCACTGACCTCAACTGGAATATACGACCCCTAACTATGTTACTTTCTAGCTAGCCCACCACAGAAATACAGAAATGAGAAAGGGCAAAAGCGCTGTATCAACGACTGCCTCCTACAACATCTTCATTCTATTGAATTGCAGCGTGGACAGCCCAATTTATTATTAGGTCACAGGGAATGGCTCAAGTAGATAAGAACTTGGTGATATGGTGCTGAGCCTCTGAAACTTTAGGGAGCAGTGGAATTTGTGGAAAGGTTTTTTTCTCTGTGTGTGAACTCTTTGGCAGAAAGTGGTGGTGATTTATTATTTTTCTACGCCACTTGGGCACAAAGAAACAAAGTGAGTTTCCCTGAAAACTTCCAAAGAATTTGCACACCCTTGGAAAACTAAGGAGGAGCCCCTTCCCACCTGCACATCCTCTGCCTGTAATGTGGTGTTGAATCAGAGGCGATTTTAGGGTGGCGTGACCAGTGCGGTTCCACTGCCGCCATGCTGTAAAGGTAAAGGTAAAGGGACCCCTGACCATTAGGTCCAGTTGCAGATGACTCTGGGGTTGGGGTGCTCATCTCGCTTTATTGGCCGAGGAAGCCGGCGTACAGCTTCCGGGTCATGTGGCCAGCATGACTAAGCCACTTCTGGCGAACCAGAGCAGCGCACGGAAACACCATTTACCTTCCCGCCGTGCTTTTGAACTGCTAGGTTGGCAGGAGCAGGGACCAAACAACGGGCGCTCACCCCATCACGGGGATTTGAACCGCCAACCTTCTGATCGGCAAGCCCTAGGCTCTGTGATTTGGACCACAGCGCCACCCGCGCCCCACACCAAAACTATGCTGTAGAATGGAGTGTGAGAAGTGGGACACGTGTCACACAGAGCCCAAACCCAGCCACTAAATTTGGGTTGGGGATTTCATCTTAGCTTTATACTGTGATGCTGCTGTTGCAATGTCCCAAGTCTTGTGGGGTGGGAGAGAGGCCTTGCTCAGTGTCTTCTGGGAGAACCTCTTCCTTCTCACAACAAGGAGAAAGGAGCAGCTTGTGGTGCCCAGAAGCTGATTCTGAGCTCGGTTGCCACTTGAGCTTACCTTATAATCAGTTCCGGGTACCATTTAAGGACCTTCAATTTCTGCACTTTGGTGCCGTCACATAAGCAGAGCCTGTTGGATCAGGCCAAGGCCCATCTAACCTGGCACCCTGTTCTCACAGTGGCCACCCAGGTGTGTATAGGAAGCCCACAAGCAGCACCCGAGTGCAACAGCACTTGCCCCACCAGCAATTCCCTGCAACTGGATAGGGTTTAAGGCGCCAGAGTGCCTTGATCTAACAGGGTTGAGTCAGAGGGATGTACCACATCGTCATGCATGTTTTCAGTCTCCACTTTGTGACCCATAACAGCCCACCTGTTTCCTTCCGCAGCAAAAGAGCGAGCAGAGGGATTTGCAGCCAAAGCCCCAAAACCACAGACTGAGTTGTTAAATGTTGGAGCCAGGTGAATCTCCGCGAATGTCTATGCATTGCTGCTTTAATGGAATTTTAATGAAATGCTATAGAATTTTCTGTTTATTTGCTTTCAAAGTAAGCTCGCCATGGATTATTGAGTGCAAATTACACAGGCAGCCTGTGGAACTGCATTCTGCACTGATTAGCTGGTATGCAATGCAGCAGGTTATGAAGTATTAAAAAAATCATCCACCTCTTACTGTATGCATGCATGTGCAGGCGCACACAAACACACACACAACTTTAAATAAAAGGGTTCCCAGAGCAGCTTATAGATCAATATAAAAAGGAGAGAGAACCTCTGCCCCCAGGCTTACAATCTTAAAGACATGACACACAAGCAACAAGGGAATGGGGAGGGCAGAGAAGAGGAAAACAAGAAAATTGACTCTTGAAGCTATGCAGTTGGAGCATAACTCCTAATGGGATGAAAACAGCTTCAGGGTGTGGGGCAGGGTGGCAGCGAGGCCAAGGCTTCCTGGGCAAATCCCAAAGAGCACCTCATTGGCTTTGCCAGAGTACCCACAATGCCCTGGGCTTGAAGCCATCCTGCCCCGTCCCAGTAAAGAGCAGGAAAACTACCAGAGATGGAAGGAAGGAGAAGTGCCAACAAGAGAAGAATGGCAGACAAAACTGATGGAAGTATGCAGAGATGGCAAAACTGACAGGGAAGATCAGAAACCAGCAAGATCAAGTATTTTCAAAAGATTGGAGTAAATTCCTAATTTATTGAAAAGACCACTGTAAACAGTTAAAATCATTGGCAGGATGTAACGACACTTGTAATGTGGAATTAATTATGGTAACAATGGATATATAACAGATGGATTATGGTAAAAGATGCAGAAAATTTTATTTTAAATATGGAACCCATGGAGGGAGGGAAGGAGGTCCGAAGCTTCGAAAGAACCTTTTATTTTAATGTTTGAAATGGTTAAAGTTAAAATGCATAAAACTATGTAAAACCAATAGAAAAACTTTATTTTAAAAAAGAGCAGGAAAAATACATCCCTCATCAGCTGGTTGATTCCAGTAGTTTAACCACTGCACTACATTTGGATGTGCTCCATAGTTTCAACAGTGGCTACTCCCTCTGCCGCCCTGCCATCGTAGAGAGGCTGCAGTGATGACACAGCCACTTCACTTGTCATTCTTCATTTGTCATTCTTCACACCTCTTCAGCTTGAAAAAAGAAAAAGAACAATATATAAACATCAGAAGTGTACACAAGAGTCCCTCCTGATTTTCATTCTCAATGAAAGGATTGGGCCGCATTATGGAGAGGGTTCATTAACGGTGGGTAACACAATCCCAGGCATGTTTGTTTGGAAATAAATGTATTCCATTTCATTCAGTAGCACTTATTCCTGGGTAAGTGTGCACAGGATGGCAACTTGAATCAAGTAGCACTGCTGAGTAGGGATCTCGGAGGAATCTGTTGAGAATGGCCTATCCGGTAGATTTCCTTCCATCCGCCCACTTGACTCCCATCATAGACTAGAATCTTGCTGTGAATGCTCTTCACCTTAATTGTCTACAAAAATGGCAACTTATTTACATGTGTATATTCTACGTGACTCGCCCTCGCTCCAAGTGTACTGGGATGGCACCTTGTCCGGGAAGGGGAAATGGTAGCAACAACCCTGGCCTCTGATCTGGGGCTTCCGTCAAAGTGGTAAGAACATATTAAGTGAGCTTCTTGTTGGTGGAGGATGTGGTGAAGGTGGCGATTTATATTTTCAGCAACTTGTAGCATGCATTTCGAACAGCCAACCAAAGAAAGTGAGCAGGGGCCATCAGGAAATGCACTTTCCATGCTAGGACTTCTTATTTAACAGATTGAATTCTGCAAAAAGTGTACTTCCCCAATACACTGTTTGATATTAAAGCCTTTAAGAAAGAGGTTTTGGAAGGGAAGCTTTATATATAACAGCATTTGTTTAAATGCTTACCAGCATTTATAGAGCGTTGTCACTTGCTTAGCAGTACATTGTCATCGTCATCCACTAGGAGAAAGGGAAGGACAAAAGAGAGGGGGAAATCAATGCATTTATAAATTCACAGTAAAATGTAGCAAGAAAAATAGGGCTGCATTAAATGTCAACATATTTTTATTCTAAAGCAGAAATTGATTTTTCAAAAGTGGTGGTGGAAACTGTTCCCCTCAGTCCTGTTATTTGTGAGACCATTTCCCTCTTCAGTCTTACTTTTCTGCCATTATCTGATTTCCCCCCTCATAACTGCTGACTTGATTTCCTGTAATAACTCTAGACGACCACATCTCGCACCAACAGTGCTTCAAGCTCTGTTGATTAAAGGCAATATTGTATTTCCCTCTGTTAAGAGACAGTAATTGCTGCTCAAGCAGGTCTATCAAAAACAGGCATTAAGAAATTATAGGTAGCAATACCAAATGGAGACCACTCTCTAGTATTATGCAGCTAGCGGGGGACCTTTTTAGGGACAAGGTTCCTGAAATGTCAATGGTGGCGGCAACAGACAACGAGCTGTCACATGTTGCATTTTAACTTTGTGGACAAATTCACATGCATTGTCAAATATCACACAGCAGGGATGGGGAACCTGTGGATCTCGAGGGTTTCCTCTTCTCCCCTTCCCCTCTTCCACCATGTACACCTCACAAATCATCTGTAGGATCAGAAGAACCCCCAGAATGGGGGTGGGGAGAGAGTGTTTTCTCTGGCAAGCAGAATGCATGTTCTGGTGAAACCATCTTCTTAGTGCTACATTACATTTCACCAATGGTGTGGCTGTGACCTTACTCTTGTTTAAGTCTCATTGAAACGCATCCATTCTTAATGTTTCAGTCTTATGAGTATTGCTATTACATGGCCATGAAACTCAGACTCTGTACACAGTTGCTCTGGATGCTCATTTTGTTGCATTAAAAAAAAATTCAATGAAAATTAAAATGTTTTTTTTAATAAAAATGACTAGTCCCATGGACTGCAAGAAGATCAAACCGATCCATTCTTAAGGAAATCAGCCCTGGGTGCTCACTGGAAGGACAGATCCTGAAGCTGAGGCTCCAATACTTTGGCCACCTCATGAGAAGAGAAGACTCCCTGGAAAAGACCCTGATGTTGGGAAAGATGAAGGGCACAAGGAGAAGGGGACGACAGAGGACGAGATGGTTGGACAGTGTTCTCGAAGCTACCAGCATGAGTTTGACCAAACTGCGGGAGGCAGTGGAAGACAGGAGTGCCTGGCGTGCTCTGGTCCATGGGGTCACGAAGAGTCGGACACAACTAAACAACAACAACAATTTTGTGATTGAGGGGAACCAAAGTGCTTCTTAACACCCTTGAGGTTAATTGCAGGAAATAAATCTCTGCCAAGGTTAAGAGGGCATTTAGGGGCAACATGAAACTCTGCAGGTATACAGCACGTACCAAAAGTTACATGTGAAGCAGGCAGTTGCACACAGGAACCTGTTTTCCCAAGTAACAGCCCAACTGTAGTTCAGTAAATGGTGCATTTCTTAAGTAATGAAAGTAGATTGAATCAGGTGGCATAGAGACTGCTGAGCCAGCGCCCAACGTTAGTTCAATAGCCTGTGACTTTCCTGAGGCTGTCATTGAAACCTTAATGATGCACATTTTCCCCTCCTTGCCATGCTTGAGATGGTTTTCCTCCACACTCAAAATAGTCACGTCTAGCACTGCAATCACATGCGCTTGTGGACTGGACCAGCTGCTACAGGGGAGACTAGAAGTTGCCTGTACCAGGTCAGTGAGCCTAAATATATATTACAGTAATGGCAATGTGATTAGCAATTGCATTGTGAGTTTTTGAAACACAAAATAAATAAAAGGCATGGGTGCTGAGGAGGAGAGCTTTAATGTAAAACAAACAAATGAACAAAATGAAGTTAACAGACTTAAATAAGCTTAATAATCAGGCTATGCATACACAAAAAATAGTATCTGTGCTGCCCATAAATGTGTTAATACAATTTTATTATATAAAAATGGAGTTGAACCTTATAGTAAAAAAGATGGGAAGAAACAAAAATCCAGAATATAAGAACTCTGTAATGCAATAATTAAAACAGATAAGTCTATAAACAAAACCTATGTCAAAATAATATTTCCACAACATATAAAGAACCATAGAATAATCTGGATCCAAATAAACAGTGTGTGATTTATGATTCTTCAACGCTATTCTTTAGACAGCTAAAATGTCAGTAGAGGGTGTTCTAGATGGATTAATACATCTATTTAAGTCTCTTGGACGTGACCTTTTCAGTTTTATTTTGCTGTTTAATGAGCCAGACCTTCTTTCTGATTGTTAAGGGGAAGTTTAAGCCTCCCCTCCCCAGCTGTGAGAGCAGGGTAGTGCTGAAGTTGGAGCTGTGTGGATACCCTGGCAGAGCCAATCCAGTGCTTCTGTTGGTGCATCCACAGAACCTCAACTCGTTTCCACTCTGACCCATTCTAGCCCCATCCAGGAAAGTCACAGTGGCTGGCATTGGAAGGTAAATTCTGCCCCACCACACTGGCCACCTCTAGCCAAAGATTTGGGGGCTTTTGTTTGTTTATTGACAGTGAATTGCATTGACATGTCTTTGTAGAACATCTTGGGTGGCTTGTAAGATGTAACATTCGCACTGAAAATGCAATTTTCTTCCTCAATGCTGAATTAACCAGATATGGTGATTTTTAAAATTTATTTTAAATCTTACTTCTACTTTTACTTCTACTTCTTTTATTATTTTATTATTTGTACCCAGCCCATCTGGCTGGGTTTCCCCAGCCACTCTGGGTGGCTTCCAACAGAGATTAAAAATACATTAAATCTCTCTCATTTGTTCCTTAAAGTATAAACGTACAGAGATCTCTAGAGGTATTACTGGAGATACTTTGGAGTGAGAATTCCACTCTTGAGCAACCTCATCAAAGCATCATGTTCTGCATTTGAAAAACCTCAATTCTGAAGTATTAAGTACCGAAGAGAGAATAAAAATCTGTTGCTAAGCCCCCTTTTGCCTTCATTTAATGGACTTGCTGATATGAATAGTTCTTGCTAAATTGGCAAATCCTGAAATGTGAATCCATACCTCAAGACACAATGAAATATGCATTCAAAATCTGCTATGAATGCCTATTCCAGTTTAGGTTTTGTGTTTCGTGTTCTCTCCCCCCTCCTTTTTTTTTAAATAAACCTGTTTCAATCTCATTTGAGAAGGAAAGGCATTTGGTTTCCAAGGATAAAAACAAGCTACTACGAACAATAACGGAAAAGAGGGAAATGGAATTAAGCACCACTTGCCTGATCTTCAGTGAAATAGATTCCTTTCCCATCTGCAGATAAATTGCGAAATGCCTCTAGAGAGAACAAAACAAAGCTTCAACTTGCAAGAAAATAGAATAGTTTGTAAAACTATAGGGGGGGAAGTGGTGGCTTCTAGCATATATAAAACCATAATAAAACATTTGAAAAACTTCCCTATCTAGGGCTGCCTTCAGATGTCTTCTAAAGGTTGTATAATTACTTATCTCCTTGGCTATGCGGTTGCATAACTTCCATACCCTCCAACATGTCTCTGATGAAAACAGGGATGTCCTAAGGAAAAGCGGGACATTCTGGGATCAAATCAGAAACTGGGACGGCTTCTGTAAAACCGGGACTGTCTCTGGAAAATAGGGACACTTGGAGAGTCTGTTATTGTGGGAGCCTTTTTTTCAGCTGCACCATATGGTTTATGTGCTTATTTTGCTTAATGGTTAATCCAGCCCTGTCTTTCTCAGACATTCTTTCTCTCTTTCTCATTTAGGTGGGCCCGCTGTGCTATGAAGGCTCCCATCATGCCTGCCTCCACCATCTGTCTCTTCAGGTACTTGCTTTTTGTGGGGAGAGGGGGAGCGGCTGGCTGTAGGGCCCTGGAGTTGGGCCCTGGACTCCGACCCTAATGGAGCCACAGGTGTGTTCAAGCGCCACCGAAATGAACAGAAACCGCCTAAGAGGACAGCTGTTTCTCAGAGACATTGGCCAAGTTCATGCATGATGCTAAATCATAGTTTAGTGGCAAATGAGTCTTGGCAAGCCATGAAAGCATAAGAAGAGCCTACTGAATCGCACATCTAGTCCAGCATTTTGCTCCCTCAGTGGCAGCCAGAAGCCTATGAGAAACCTACTATCAGGACCCAGAGTGCACCAGCACTCTCACTACCCAGAACTGGGATTCATACCAGCATTGGGCTTGTGTGTGTCCCCTCCGCTTTTCTCAAGTTCATCCACGAGGAGGAGAATGGAAACATTCACCTGTTGTTTTTTTAAAAAGCAGAGTTTGATGTTATGTCCAAACCAGAATGTGTCATTAGTTTAAATTATGGCTTATTGAAGAAAGCTAGGATCCGAAACCATGGCTTGATTTTGATTTCGTTTCAATAAATCATCGTTTAAACCGATGTCTGAACCGGGCCACTGTGTCAACACAACTGCGTGTGTTGTGCAAAGTACCCAGTATCTCAAAAAAAACAAAAACAAAAGACTGCTCTGTATGAATGCCACATGCTCTTTTTGCTAGCGTTTTGTGTAAAGTAATGTCCACTTATGCACACTGCAGAAATAAATTCTGCTTGCAACATCCTTTGTGAGAAAGGGGGTGGGGAGCGTAGAAAAAGGAGCAGCTGGCCTTGTTTGTGGCTTTCTACTAGTCATAGTGAGCTAGAAGGCGATACGGAAGATGGACTCAAAAAGGGATATTCAGCCGTTGCAGTAATATAGTAAGCATCCTTTTCCTGCCTCTAGCTAAACTGCAGGCTTAGGAGACCTAGTATTCTCAGAGTAAAACGGTACATTAATGTTATGGTCTTAACTGCGATTTAATCTCCACCTCCATTTTACAGCAAGTTATAAAGGGGGAGATGCATTTGATTTAGTTGTTATTACGGTGGATTTCCAGGGACCATGAGTAATGGTCTAACGAGCCTCTTTATTTATTTAACTATCTGTCCTCAATTCGTATTATCGATGTGCTGCCCTTTATTTCCATTTATCAGTAATCATCTCCTGAGTAAATCCCACTGGCAGCGCTTTCAAGTGTTTGAAGAAATGCATAATATGTTTTTAAACTTTCAGTAAAATAAAAATAGAAAGATTATTGGTGGATTTCCCCCACCCCCAACCCCCCACAGGTTCTTATTCTTGGAATTTTGATTTTTCTTCCAATAACTTTTAAAGAAGTAATAATAATAATAATAATAATAATAATAATAATAATAATAATTTATTATTTATACCCCGCCCATCTGGCTGGGTTTCCCCAGCCACTCTGGGCGGCTTCCAATGAAACACTAAAATACAATAACCTATTAAACATTAAAAGCTTCCCTAAACAGGGCTGCCTTTAGATGTCTTCTAAAAGTTTGGTACGTTATTTTTCTCTTTGACATCTGGTGGGAGGGCATTCCACAGGGTGGGTGCCACTACCCAGAAGGCCCTCTGCCTGGTTCCCTGTAACTTGGCTTCTCGCAGTGAAGGAACCGCCAGAAGGCCCTCGGCGCTGGACTTCAGTGTCCAGGCAGAACGATGGAGGTGGAGACGCTCCTTCAGGTATACTGGACCGAGGCCATTTCGGGCTTTAAAGCTTTAAACACTTTGAATTGTTATGTTTTATTCCTCCACTGACACTGCAAGATGCTTTTATCAAACGTGTATAATTTAAGTTGGGATTGTATTAAATTTTAGCATCTTCTATCTTGGAAATGTCCTGTGTCCTGGCAGGGAAGGGGAAATCTCCCAGGGTGAGAGGCTGAGGGAACAGGCAAATGTTCCCAGGTGAGTGATTAGAGGGTGCATCTTTCTCTGTATGGGATAAAAGTTAGGCTATATCTGTGAGAGAGGACCCTGTACTCTTCTAGCACTTTTCTTTTTCTTCTTTTCTCTTTTCTACTGCTTTTTGCTTAGATTTGGGGGGGGGGGGTTAATTGCAATGTGAAAAGTTTTAATAAAACTTTTTAAAAGAAAAAAAGAGAAAATGAACAGTGTCCTGCAGTTTGATTTCTTATTTTTTAATGTTTCTGCCAATAAAGCTTGGAGATTTTTCTCATTGGATTTCCAGAGGTATCTGGTAAAATCCAGTCAACGGCAAAGATCACTCACACAGCTTGAGCATTCGCTTTGCTCCTGCATATTCCCTTTCCAGAGACACAAGCCGCTTTCCAGACAGTGGCTTGTTTCTTTAGCATATGAAAATTGTCCATGTGAGTTTCCCTAGGCACCTTCCAACCTCACACTTCAGACAAAGAGAACCTTTTAATATAGGTCTCCGTGCAGCTTTCATATGTCTTCATGTCACCATCTCCCCTTATTTTGCCTCTTTATTGGAAGAGTCCACTTTTGAAGGAAGGAAAGGAAAGTTTTGTGTTTGGTAATTGCAAACCAGCTAAGAAGCTCCAGGTGTATAAGAAGGCATACATGATACTTCCTTTGTTTGAAATTGTTGGCATATGACAGATACGCGTTTCAGATGTGCATTCAAGTGACAGCCATAAAGCATTTGTGCTGTGTCCCTTTGAACTGGATGTGCAATCAAATGCACATCTCATCAACATCCTTACACAAATGTCACACTTAGCATATTGTTTATGCATGCCTAGAGCTGGGTCAAAGCCAGAAAACAAATGTGTGAAGGTCACTCTCTGCGTTGGATGTTTCCATCCTTGGATTTATTCCTACTTTAAAAATAAATAAATAAAATAAAATAATAGAAATAGCTGATTTGAAGTCAGACATTCAGGTGCTTTGCCTATCCATTGCAGGCAGGCAAGCAGGCAAACCATGAGGCAGTTCCTCAAAACACACACACATTCACACAAATAATAAGAGCTTATACTTCACAACATGTTTTAGGGAATGGAGTTGGATTGGATGGAGTATTCAAATGCTTGAATTATGCTCTATTTTACAACAATAATATTTTGTGTCATTGCTCTGTTTAAATCTACATTCCAATTATTTTTGGACTCCACCTGCCCTCAGCCCCAGGCAGCATGACTGATGGTCAGAGATGGTGGAAGCCTATAGGCCAAAGTGCACTTTCTGATCCTCAGAACATTCAGTCAGTGAGCCACCTCTCCAACAATGGATGCCAAACTACTGCATGAAGTGAAAATCCTTAAAACGTATTAGCAACTAAGGAAATGTTTTTACGAACATCCATTGTGTGTAACTTACTTGCCATGGTCTTAAGACGAACCATGCAGCACACAAAATCAGGAAAGTTTATCCTCATCAAGGAGTCACCATATCGCACGGTCATCAGCTGGAGGGTTGTGTCATTGATGAACAGACCTGCAAACAGCAACAGGAGAAGGCAAAGGAAGAGATGATAATATATTTAAAAAGGAAACATTGTCCAGTAATGTTCACCAACTGCAGAGAATGGAGTGTTGTCGACTTCCTCAAACATTCCAATCAGGGCCACTTCCTTTATATATATAAGAAAAAAGTTTATATAAGAGCCCAGAATCTGGAAAGAGCATTGTGTGGGTGAACAAGAGTCACAGCTTTACAGCACACTTGCAGGAATGTCTTCTCTGCCTCATTGATTTCCAGGTAACCAGGAATAGGATGCAGCCTTAGGCAACTCAAACACTAAACTCATGGCAAGGGGCAGTCAAGTGGGTCCCTGGCTGAAGGAACAGGACCTTAGGAGGGCTCACAATGGCAACAGGAATCCCTGGGGTGCTAAACTGCTGCTTAGTATTTTCTCTCCTGTCTGCTTAGAAGGCAAAGAGGAAGAGAGAGAAATGAATGACATAATCCTGGGCCCGGAAACAAATGTTTGCAATTCATTTGACTTCGGCATATCAGTAATTAGATGCAGGATTTATAGGGTCGAAGGAACCTCTTCAAAGGAACCTAGAATCTACTGACTTGTAAAGTGCAGGAAGAAGCAGCACATCTTAAAGAGGGCTATGCTTTCCCCCAGATTCTGCTCTTGGGGCAAAAGAAGCTGACTTTGCCATATTTATATTCATACTACTTACAAAGACACACACGCCTCCCTTTCTTCTGTTCAGTGCCTGTACTGTTTGCTGTTTGCCTTCAAGGACTGCACAGCATGCAATTTTCCTCCCTGTGTTACACTTTATTGCCTTTATTATCACCATACCTTCCTCGCACCTTCCTTTATGCGGCACATTAGTGATAAATTCCAGATAGCGGCATTGAGAGCATCTGCCCCCACTCCAATTGCACACCAGGAATCATAACAGTCTCTAGAGGCCACCTAACTCCCCCTCTCCTCTCCTCTCCTCTCCTCTTTCTCCTTCTGAGCAATCTCACTTAAGTTTGCGTCTGTCATTTGATCACACTTTCTTTTTCACTCCCCACCCAGGGGAGGGGAAAAAGAATTAACATGTTAAAGGCATAATGCAGCTTAAGCAGCTATCTAAAAATCTAAATGCTCGTCACTAAGGCAGTGTTATTGGATCGTAGCATCCTCTGTGTGATGGATTGCATATATCAAGGTTACCAGATTTTTTTCAATGAATCTGGGGGCACTTTAATTAATTAATTAACCTGAAGCACTGTACCTCGGGTTACATATGCTTCAGGTTACATACGCTTCAGGTTACAGACTCTGCTAACCCAGAAATAGTACCTCGGGTTAAGAACTTTGCTTCAGGATGAGAACAGAAATCGTGCTCCAGTGGTGCAGCGGCAGCAGGAGGCCCCATTAGCTAAAGTGGTGCTTCAGGTTAAGGACAGTTTCAGGTTAAGAACGGACCTCCAGAACGAATTAAGCACTTAACCCGAGGTACCACTGTACTATGTTCGGGACGTTGATGCTGCAGTGATGGCGGTGGCAGAGGGGCGGCCGCCGCCTTGACCTCAACTGCCACGTTCCCTCTTCCTCCGAGGCTTCTTTCTCCATGAGCCTGGGCAGCCCCTGAGTTGTTGGTTCTTTGGTGGTGGTGGTGAAGCGGTGACCTGTGGGTCAGGCATGGAAGGCGGAGAAGGAGGGCCGAGAGCAGCAGCGGTGGTGAGGCTTGGGCAGCGCGATTCCTCCCTTCTCATCGCAGCAGCCCCAATCCCATTCCTACTTGTGTGCAAGCAGGAGAGGGCCGGGATCCCTCAGCTGGGAAGCGAGGCTTCACACTGCCTTTTGGAGCAGCCCCATCCCAACTGCTACTTGCGTGCAAGCAGGAGGGGACAGGGATCTCTCAGGCAGCACAATGCCTCCCTTCCCATCGGAGCAGCCCCAATCCCATTCCTACTTGCGTGCAAGCAGGAGGGGGCGGGGATCCCTCAGCTGGGAAGGGAGGCTTCCTGTTGCCTAACTGAGAGATCCCTGCCCCCTTCTGCTTGCACGCAAGCTCTGATAGGCAGCGTGAAGCCTCCCTTCACAGCTTAGTTGCTGGGGTCAGGGAGGGTGGAGGGAGCCCGGAAGCTGCATCTTAGGGCCCCTGCACCACCATCATATGGGGACTTCCAAGCAGCTCCTGAAGCCAGCCAGAGCCAACAGCTCTGGGGACATTAGATGAAATCTGGGGACGTTCCGGGGATGGAATTTGTCCGGGGCCTTATTCGCAAATCCGGGGACTGTCCCCAGGAAACGGGGATGTCTGATAACCCTGGCATATATAAATCTACCCACCAAAGGACTCTGCTGCAAAACATCAGGAACTGGGGAAGCTAAGGGTTAAGGTTGGAGGCTTGGTTGCAATTCCAGGATTGTTCAGCAGATGTCATTGCGAACTCAATGGATTCTGACTTCATGAAAGAAACAATCTTCAACATTCTGCAGAAGGCGCCAGAATTGGAATTCGTGATAGTAAGGTCTCTAGCCTATCTTCCCCATTCTTGTCTCTTCCAGGGCTTGTGACCAGGGTTTGTTTGCTATTTTTTAAAAAATAAATAAATGAACTACACCTGTCACGGCAACCTGACACACACACCCCAATTTAGTAGGTGCAACTTTTTCCATTCCTAATCTCCATATCAGGAGAAAAGCTTCACTTGCTATATTTCTGTTTTGGAAACGTTTCCACAAAGATGTATCAGATTTCAAAACTTAAATTGGCCTTAACTGAAAATACATTCAGAGTTTGTCAGCATACCTTCTTGCTCTGTTACTCTTCTCAAATTGGAAATATATAGGAATCCAGAATTATTTTCATCTTCTCTTTCAAAAATGTCCTGGAAAATATTTAAACCCAAGATAATATTTTAGGACATGGCTAGCATATCGATTCAGTCACTGGCATATGAATTATCATAGCTAGGGATGAAATTTTCTGAAAATCTTGATGTTGAGTTTATACACATAGGGTCCCCCCCCAATTCCCATCTCATTTCTTAATCCTTATCAGATGTGAGTTTCTGCCTGCCCCTCTTCAGTTAAAGCTATGAGAAAGTCTCACATATTATATCCATTATTACACAAAATATCTTATGTATAATATTACACATGTATGCATTATACATTTCACAGTAGTGATGTATGGAAGTGAGAGCTGGACCATAAAGAAGGCTGATTGCTGAAGAATTGATGCTTTTTAATTATGGTGCTGGAGGGGACTCCTGAGAGTCCCATGGACTGCAAGAAGATCAAACCTATCCATTCTGAAAGAAAGCAGCCCTGAGTGCTCACTGGAAGGACAAATCCTGAAGCTGAGGCTCCAATACTTTGGCCACCTCATGAGAAGAGAGGACTCCCTGGAAAAGACCCTGATGCTGGGAAAGATGGAGGGCACAAGGAGAAGAGGACGACAAGGACAAGATGGCTGGACAGTGTTCTCGAAGCTACCAGCATGAGTTTGACTAAACTGCGGGAGGCAGTGGAAGACAGAAGTGCCTGGCGTGCTCTGGTCCATGGGATCACGAAGAGTCTGACACGACTAAACAACTAAACAACAACAATGCATTATACACAGATTCTATATGCATATACAAAGTTCACAAGAGTAACCAGCGCATAAACCGATACATACAAAATGCTCATATATACTAATATAAAACTATGTTGCACAAATATAGTACAACATGGACCTTGGCTCTTTTATAAATATGTGTTGTTGTTTTATAATATAATTTTGTATATTACACATAGTGATTTGGGCATTTAAAAAAATAAAAGAAACCCAACAGAACATAAGTGGTTTGGGCATAAGTGAAGCTCAGTACTAGAGGCAACTCAGTTGTATGTAAAGTTTGATAAGGTCAGAACTACAAAAATTGTTTATAAATCCATTTAGAACAGCGTGGCACAGTGCAGTGAGGGTTTCACGCTATTATAGGGTGAAAATCTCTCTTCTCAGGAAAATGAGATCATTAACTATTTAAAAAGTACGAAAAGGAAGAAAACAGGAAAAGGCCAAAGAAGAACAGGGAAGCAGCTGAGAGTTTGGATTCATACAGTTCAGTCATACCTTATACTTATAGAGATTTCGCCAAAGCTTTTCAAACTCTTGCAACGTGAGTCTTCCATTATTACTGGCCTGTAGATGTGGTCAAGTTTTAAATACATTTTGATTGTGTTGCATATTAACAGATCAACTTGCGCACTGGCTGGTAGCCCAGAGTGGGGAAACAATCAAAACATTATGATTTGCCTCTCTAAGCTTTACGTCTTGCCTGGATTGAGCAGAAATATGGTGCTGTAGTGCACTTTCGGAATCGTCCCAAATCAGATGACAGGTGGGGTGATGGTGGCATATTTGAGAGTTTCCTATATTAAAAAATGAGAAATCCTCCCCGCACACAGACATAGGACACATCAGGAAAAAGCAGTATTAGAACCTGTTTGGCATTCTCAATTTGCATTTGCAGGCTGCTGAGAAATGTCACAAGTACTTCATGACTAAAATCCATTAAATTTCAAAACCTGCAAAGACTAAGAAACTACAGTCCCACTTCATCCGATGTATAAAGTGCTATCCTGAGTTATAGGTATATACCCTAATGTTTTGTTCTTTGCAAGGTGTAAAGATTGAGGTTAGAGGGAAAATAAATGCAGAAAAGTACAATGGTACCTCGGTTTACAAACTTAATCCGTTCCTGAAGTCCATTCTTAAAACAAAACCGTTCTTAAACCAAGGCACACTTTCCTTAATGAGACCTCTCGCCACCGGCGCCCTTCCACCTTTCGGATTCTGTTCTTAGACCAAGGGATACTACTTCTGGTTTTGCCGAATTCATAAAATAACTCATTTGTAAACAGAACTGTTCTTAAACTGAGGTACCACTGTACCTAAATTTTGTGGTAGTTCACAAAACCGTTTTTGATGACACAGGTATCCTGGCATTGGTAAGCCAATTCACATATATGATTCATTGTAATTCGCATGATGATTTCATTTGAAGTTTGAGGTTCCTTTGCTTCAGAATGGCCACTTTAAAGTCACTTAAAAAATATTGTAGAAGCCTTTGTTCCCCGATTTGCTTTGGAATATTGTCATTTCTGAAGTAAGATGGTGCCAGTTCTTTTGTCTATTATTTTGCACAGAGACTATTCTGGATTCACCTTTTGCAATCCCTCAAATCATGTATACTCCCCTATAACTCAGGATAAAACTTCATGGAACTGATGTGGTAGAATGTGTTCCACAAAAGCTTATACCAGATTACGTTTGTTAGTCTTTAAGGTGCCACAAGATGCTGTATTGTTTTTGCTGACAAAATCTAGCACAAGCAATTTTTTTTTTAAAAAGTTGCTACAATAAATTTTGTTTCCTGAATGTGAAACACCTGCTTTGCTTAGACAGTAAATACATTCATTTACTATGGTTGAATCTCCTTCTAAATTTTAACAATAACGGGAACATATATTTAGCTTGTATCTCCATATATATTTCACACGCCATTAAAAAATGTGTAAGATCTTCCATTGCTAATTAAATACATAAACAGACCTTAGCATTCCAAGTCTGGTCTATCAGGGGAGGCAGATTCAAACAAGTTTGTTTAAAGGCAATCTTTAGTTCTCTATGCATCAAGTGTTCAAAATATTAAGGGACCTGGACATGAAAGATAGTGGAATATTAAAAACAATTTACAGAAATAAATAATTGTCGCAATTACTTTGGAACAGAACATCTTTCAAACACTGCAATAATGCCCTTTGGGCCTTGTCATAGCCCAAGAGATAGAAATGGGAAATTGAAAACCACAAATTTAGAAACACAAAAAGGGCACGGTCCCTTGATTATTTGGATTTCTCTCCCCCAAAACCCCTCTCAGGTTCCACAGTAAAGACTTCCATCATTGCCAAGGGATGGAGGAGAAATTTGGTTCTGTTTGTTAATGCAAAAGTATCTAATTAGCACTTCTCAAAACAATATGTGAATTGAATTTTGCCCTTCCTTTGGAATGCACATCTGTCCAAATTTTGCAATGCAGTTCTCCAGCCGAAAAATGTATACAAAAATACATATACAAAATTGCAATATATTAGGCAAATATGGGGAAAATGTGCTTATTAGAAGAAATGCACACCAAAAGTATGATGAACTCCTCACTGCACTCAGAAATCTAGCACATCAGGAAAAGACTGGGTTAAATTCTGTCTGGCATGTTTGCTTTCCATTTGCAGGTTGTTGCTTTTTTTAACAAGGGAGAATGTTCAAGTATGCAAGTTCCCTTCTTCTGATTCATACGTAAAAGTGCAACAGTCTGGAAAGGGCTGTCTTACCCGATATTTGAACTGGTACTTTGGCTGTGAGAGCCCACACTAGATTAACAATGTGCTTTATTGCATACTCCTCGTCCCCAAAGGCAGCTATGGTGACCAGTTCTAATAGGCAACTTACTCAAAGTCAGGCAAATGTAAAAGAGACACACACTTCACAGTTTTTTGTTTGGTTTTTCAGGGGATGGTTGTGGTGCTATTGACCATCCGGTGAACTATTATTCATCCTGTGTTACCTGCGTCTTCTATTTAGATAGTTCACACAGTGATTTTACTGTTAACAAGACAACATTGGAAATGTAGAACAAAAGGGATCTTTGGCGTGAGCATAAATTCTATCACATTTGCCTTCCCTTTCTCCTAGACATCGGAACAAGTCTGGGCATGAAATGTAGTCAGATAGTTAGGCTTTTCTACGCAACATAAAGTCTTCTTGGATGGAAGATTGGACTGTATCTAGGTTCTGATAGGAAGTGATTTACAGAAGTAGGCAACATTTCAGGTGTTTCAGAAGAGAGTTGTTTTGATCTTGTCTTTCCTACCTGACATTTAATCAAAAAGGGGACCTTAGGGAGAAGAGTTTGGCCACTTATAGATTCCCTGCATATGCAGTGGGCAGATCTCATGGCAAATATTTACTTGCGGGGCTCCTGCAGTGGGAAGCACAGCCATAACTCAAAGCAGGGAAGGGCAGCGTAAGGAAGGTTTATTGCATTTGTTGAAAAGATACATCCATCAGAGCTAAAAGGCTCCTGCATGAATCGAAGCTGAATCCATCTCCGCTTCCCCGACTGGCCATTAGATCTATAAACGGATAAATCAGAAAGCAACAGGGACAAAGAATAAGGAGGTTAGGGGAGGAGGCAGGCATGAAACGGTCCACTTGTAACCCGTGGAATTTGGAGTCAAAGTGCCACTACTGCATGCTGTTTCACAAGTCACATTTTGCAAAATATACCAGAGGGGCAATTGGAAAAGGACTGGGCCTTGGAGTATTTAAGGTTGATTTAAACTCTGTTGCAGCATTTGAGGAACTTCAGTAATAGTTGCAAGGAATATATAAGAATTAAGATATACTAAGAAAAAGTTTAATTATGATAAAAGTGTGTATTGGCAATAAGTAATGTGAAATTGAAATATGGAATAGACGGGAGGTTGGGTCTTTAGTGTTAAGACCAATTTATGTTTTATCATTTGTTAAGAAAATTATGTGTCTATGGTTATTCCTGTGTGTAAAAAAGAAAAAGAAAAGGTTGACTGAAGAACAAGTGTGTTTGGACTACTGCCTCTCCAAAGGCCTCCTTCTCCCTCCAAACAGAGAATGTTTGCAAGTTATCCTACACTATGCACATTCGACACCACAGTTTTTAACCCAATTACAAACTAATGCCTGAATGCAACGATTTGAATGCGACTTCAAAATATGCACATTCACATTCCCGCACATTCAAAATATGTCCCTCTTTGTGTGTGTTTTAGCAACTGTTCAGGATACAAGACAGAAGAAAAAAGAACTTGAAGAAATTAGTTGGCTACCAGCAATGAACTTTACCTTTCTGGACTATTTCATTCAGAATTCCTTGCAGCTGTGAGGCATCCAAGTAGGAGGCCTAATAAAGAACATATGAGAAGGGCTTACAAATGCTACAAAAGTTGTATATTTTTTAAAACAACAACAACAAACTGTTTCTTCATAGATATAGAACTGAGAGGTTTTTCTGGGCAACCTGACCCATTCTTGATAGTGATTCTTCATTCCCAAGGCTGTTGAGCACTTACATTACCTCTACCAAAAATGGCTTGATTCTGCTTTAATTTTTATTCTTAGATAATTCCCAGCAGCTTCTGAGATTTGGGGAGTGGGGTGGAGGTGGGAAGTATTCTTATTATTTATTTCATTTATGAATGACTTCCCAGGAGGCATCCCATGAAAGCAAGTTACAATAGAACAACCTATTTAAAACAGTTGCATTTTTAAAAAAAACTATTTTAAACAACAGACACAAAATTGATTCAAATCCAAGACAGATACCAAATATTTTCAATGTTTCAGGTTTGTTGAAAGAGAAATGGCAAGTGCCCCAAAGACAAGAGAGAAAGCACTTGCCTGTCTGATATACAACAGGAAAGAGTTCCAAAGGGTGGGTTGCCAGCACACTAAGGGACTGATTCCAGTATTGTGTAGGATGGTCTCTGCAGGATGTACTCCCTTGCAGAATGTAGGGAATGAAGCAATCTTTTAGGTGTCCTAACCCTAAGCTGTATAGGGCTTTGTACACCAATACCAGCAACCTGAACCTAGTCCAGTAACTAATGGGATGCCAGTGAAATTCTTTTCAGAAGTGCCGTAATACGATGGTAATATACCAGCCCAAAGAGAACAATTAAGCTGTCACATTTTGCACTAGCTGCAGGCAGCTTCTGGGATTGTGGAGATCAAGATGTTCATTGGACTACAACGCCCATTTGCGTATTGCCTATTTATCTTGTGGACTGCCCTGAGATCTTTCGACAAAGGACGGTATAGAAATCTAATAAATAATACAAAGTAAATAATATTGGCCATACTGGGACACTGAGAGATCAATACAAGCTATGAGAGGCCACAGGTTCTCCATCCCTGTTCTAAGAAAATATAATGCTTTGCACTGTTCTTTTGGTATCCGTAGACGAGATCGCATGGAGTTGTGCCTTTGCAACGCTGCCATAACACCATGGCGTAAAAAGAGCTGAGAATTTGGCCTATTGCCCCTGCAGCTTGGAGTTGCTTGACTCACGAACCATGGAGAAACTTCCTTCATTGCCCTCGCTGCTCCCGGAGACAAACCTTGCGCATTATTCGCAGCAGGCAGTGTCATTTTCACCTTTTATGCATTGATATAACTATTAGCTGTGAGAGGTCTATTGTGCAGAGGCTTTTGGCAGCAAATTTTTCTCTTGACTAAGTCAAGGAGTCCTTTATAACAGTTTATTAAGCCATTAAGAGCATCTCCTGTGAACACATGCAGCTCAGCTCAGAAAGAATGGGAATCAATTACCCAAACATTGACTGATGTCTGCTTTCCAAACGCAGCAAGTGCAAACTGGAAGTAATTCTGATCACAGTAAAATATGATATACATACCCACATATATTTGTAGCCAAGGGTTACTGCTAATTGCTTGTTTAAGGAACACCTTTCTCCCCTCAAGCAATCAGCCCTCAGCCATCTATTATGTTTTAGCTGGGTTCCTTGCCCTATTTGTTACAGCAGCTGGCAAATCAATAGAGTTTTGAGAAACCCACCTGAGATCTGCATTTGCTAAAGCTGAATAAAGAGCAAGACGGGAGACTTTTATTTCCCAATTCTACATGCCATGTTGATGCAGACAATTTTTTTCCTTCCCCATTCAACGTACCTGATTAGCATATCTTAGGAAGATGTTTTCATAGGAGTTGTCTTGATTCCACTTGGGCACAACCTGGATCAAAGAGAAGTGTGTGCGTACAAAATCAGTCACAAAAATCAGTCAGCATGAGACAGCGTCTTATTTTTATTCAAACGACCCACAGATGTTTCAGGCAATTTAGAGTTAGCAACATTTGCACAAAAGGAGATTCAGTCACCTCCTCAAAAGTACGAAAGTGGGAAGAAATGTGATACAACAGAACTCTGTTCTCGGATTGTCAATTATCCCTCCTTAATTATCTGAATTCACTAAATTCCCCCCCTGTGACCCCATGTTAATTCTGGCAAATGTAAACTACATCCCTCCTATATCTAAACTCAGATTAACCACAAATAATTTGGATCTGCAAGCTCTGGGGTGGGCAGAGGACAGAGAAGGTTGCTCTGTAGTATTAATCAGGCAGGGAGCAGAGAAAGAGAAATCGGTGTTATTTTATGAAGGTTTTGCGCAATAGCAAGGATTCAGAAACGAAAGCCCCAAGGATGACTACAACTGGCAGTCTTTCACTGGCAGAATGTGCCAGGTTTATGGAGCAAAACAAAAGACGAAATGAGACAAAAAGGATAAGATTGGGAACTATCAAAGCTGGGAGACTTAGGGCAGAATGCTTTCCACTGGCTGAGGGGCTGTAGGGTTTGATGGAAGCCCTGCCGTGCCTGTGGAGCACGAGACAAATGCTGTTATCACACACACACACACACACACACACACACACAAGACACCGTTTCAACACCTCACTGGCATATTGACTCAGCACAGTTTTGGGCGTTTTATGGATGGTACAGGGGAGGGGCATACTTATGCTATATCCTGTGCCCCTTCAAGGCCATGCCCCCATTGACAGTGGAACACTCCTGCTTCCCAGCCTGTGCCAGCCTTCACCAATCTAGTATCTTTCAGACATTTTGGACTACAACTCCCTTTGGCCATGCTGGATAAGGCTGATGGGAATTGTAGTCCAAAGCATCTGCAGGGCACCATAATGGCAAAGTCAGCAAGCCACTGGAGGCTGCTGCTGCCAATGTGTTTTTTTGTTTCCCTTGCTGCATGCCCTGGGCTGCTGGGCAGAAGAGTCTTTCCCCTTCCTCGGGTTGTCCTGAACCCTCATCCTAGAAGGACTGTGTGTTCTCTGCAGCCATCCTGCCAAGCAGTTGTGTGGGTGCCATGTTGTGTAGGTTCCCCTTCCTCCCCATTGTGCTCATAAAATGGGAGCATAAGGGGCTCTGAAGCCAGGCCATGGGGATGGCTGAGGACTTCCAGTGGTGGTTCATTGCAATTTGGGGGCTTGGTGGAGTGGGACATTTTGGTGCCATCTCCCTACACAAAGATGCCCAGATGGAGCCAGTTGCTTGATTCAGTATACGATAGTTTCCTTTGCTTCACCTAAATTAGATTAATCATCCTGTTTACCCAATGTAAATAAGTTAATTGGCATGTTGAGAACATGAGTTGAGTGGACTCACTGAGAGTTCAGCACATTGTGAACCAGACATGTGATTGCTTAGTAGCCATGTTTGTGACTCCACATGCCCAGTTCACAACACCCTCCCCTGTATTTGTTGTGCCACGTTTCTTCCCCTCTTTAGACACTTTAGATTACAATTTTATACCCACTGACCTGGCGGTAAGTTCCAGCTTCCTTATTGGGACCTACTTCTGAGTACATAGGATTGTGCTGCAAAAGGAATTCAAATATTTTTATCTTAAACAGCCCGTCATAGAGATCTGCAGAACAGCACATTCAACTAAGAATTAGTACGCCGAGAACCTGAAAACAGTTTAAGTGATTGTCCTTTGAGGGTCATTTTGCTTTGCTTCAAGACAGATAAGGGAGCTGTAAGGCAATGAGAACAATTTTGGTGGTATGGTTCCCCGAGGTGCCCTCAATAGCTAAATTATAGGCATGACGTACCCAAAGTTAAGCACACGAGACCCTGTAATTTCAACTGAAGGAATTTGAGCATGTTTCTCCCACTGAAATCAAAGGGACTTAAAGGCCATGTTCAGAGGATCATGTATTGACATATTAAATACTTCAGAGTTTAAAGAACTGTGGCCATGACTTAATATTCCGGCTTGTTCCGAAGCTGTTAACCATTGTTCTATGGTTCCATGGTTTGGATGAAATGGGACACTACATTTAACTGAAGACTTCTTGGTTTGCATGAAGGAAAGAGGTAAAGGGGCTGCATGCACAGCCAAAAGGCTCACTTATACCCCAGCTCTCTAAGCCAAGACATGATTGTCTAAACACAGCCATCATATCCTTGTCTTTTGCTACATTCTGCTCTTTGGAAGAGTCTTGCTCCACTTCTAGTGCGAATTCTCCCTGTAAAGCAGTTTAAACAGCTACCAAATCATAGTTTGAACTTTCTTCTGTTGATCTTAAATCAGCTCTTTAACCTATTTTTCTCTCAGGGGGGTGTAAATGCTTCCAAAGATGAGGAAAAAAAGATTTGAATATACTTGACACAAATTTGGAGCCGGTCCCTTGACATTAGCAAGATCCATAGAATCATAGAATCATAGAATCATAGAATCATAGAGTTGGAAGAGACCACAAGGGCCATCGAGTCCAACCCCCTGCCAAGCAGGAAACACCATCAGAGCACTCCTGACATATGGTTGTCAAGCCTCTGCTTAAAGACCTCCAAAGAAGGAGACTCCACCACACTCCTTGGCAGCAAATTCCACTGTCGAACAGCTCTTACTGTCAGGAAGTTCTTCCTAATGTTTAGGTGGAATCTTCTTTCTTGTAGTTTGGATCCATTGCTCCGTGTCCGCTTCTCTGGAGACACTGTGTTTTTCAGAGCAACCCCAACAATGCTAAGAGTGTTATATTTTCTTCTTAGATATTGAGTATCACAGATGGGCCTTCAAATACATGGCATTCAGCCTGTGGCCCTCCAGATGTTTGTGGCCCTCCAGATGGTAAATGGTCGAAGATGATTGGAGGTATAGTTTACCAACATCTGCAGGGCCATAGAATCTGTTTTCCTGGTATACAGTACATACCCCTCAACTGTCCTGATTTAATCGGGACATCCCATTTTGGGGGGCTGTGTCACCTGACTCCTGCGAGATCACAGCCCCGAAAGACACACGCCCCGATTTGCCTCTGGTACATGTTGGAAGGTATGACAGTATGGCCCACATAGGTGGCAACTCCCTGGGGCCCTGGGTGCCTGAGCACCCATGAAGAGGCCAGGAACCCACATATTCTGCTACCAGGACATGGCACCCATGGCCTTGGGCACCCACGGTCGCAGGGCCAAGAGGGCACTCCTGATGGCCCATTAGTTGTAGCAGAGTAAATGGGTAAGATTTCAGTTCGCCCAGGCATAGGCAAACTCCGGCCCTCCAGATGTTTGGGACTACAATTCCCACCATCCCTAGCTAACAGGACCAGTGGTCAGGGATGACGGGGATTGTAGTCCCAAACATCTGGAGGGCAAGAGTTTGCCTATGCCTGAGTTAGACGCTCACAACCTAGGGCCTGATCTGATGCTTCACATAGACCCTGATCCACCCAAGGGCCAACTGGACCCAAATGAATTTGGGGCCCTTACCTAATGTTTTTAAACCACAATTAAACTCAAGGTCAGGATGGAGGTAGGGGAAGAAGGGGGTGCTCCATTCCCCTCCCCCCACACAACTGCATGCTTTGTCAGGGTTTAAAACCCTTATGAAATATGCCATTTGGAGGGAGCAGGGGAAACAGAAGATGCTGTGCCCCCCCACCACCACATGTTTAATTAGGGGTTTAAATTAAACTCCTAAATTAATTAAACATGTGGAATGGAGGTTGGAGGCGGAACAGTCAGTCCTATTGGGTCTGCTTTGCTTTGTGGAACATGCTGGCAAAGCAGACCCCTGCAGACAGAAGAATTCTATTTATTATTACATTTATGTCCCACCTTCCCTTCAGGACCAGATGCACAGCCTGGGAGTCATTCTGGACTCACAGCTGCCCATGGAGGTGCAGGTCAGTTCTGTGTCCAGGGCAGCTGTCTGTCAGCTCCATCTGGTACGCAGGCTGAAACCCTACCTGCCCGCAGACTGTCTCGCCAGAGTGGTACATACTCTAGTCATCTCCTGCTTGGACTACTCAATATGCCCTACATGGGGCTACCTTTGAAGACCTTCATTGGCTCCCAGTATGTTTCTGAGCACTATTTGAAGTGTTGGTCCTGACCTTTAAAGTCCTAAACGGCCTTGGCCCTGTATACCTGAAGAAGCATCTCCACCCCAGTCATACAGTCTGGACACTGAGGTACAGCTCCGAGGGCCTTCTGGCGGTTCCCTCACTGCGAGAAGTGAGATTACAGGGAACCAGGCAGAGGGCCTTCACGGTAGTGGCGCCTGCCCTGTGGAACGCCCTCCCATCAGTTGTCAAGAAAATAAACGGCTACAGGGGTACCTCGGGTTAAGAACTTAATTCGTTCTGTTCTTAACCTGAAACTGTTCCTAACCTGAAGCACCACTTTAGCTAATGGAGCCTCCTGCTGCCGCTGAGCCGCTGCTGCACGATTTCTGTTCTCATCCTGAAGCAAAGTTCTTAACCCGAGGTAATATTTCTGGGTTAGCGGACTCTGTAACCTGAAGCGTATGTAACCTGAAGTGTATGTAACCGGAGGTACCACTGTATCTGACTTTTAAAAAACATCTGAAGACAGCCATGTTTACGGAAATTTTTAATGTTTGATGTTTTATCATGTTTTAATATTCCGTTGGGAGCAGCCCAGAGTGGCTGGGCAGGCTCAGTCAGATGGGTGGAGTATAAGTAATAAATTATATTATTATTATTATTATTATTATTATTATTATTATTATTATTATTATAGCTCAAGGTGGTGTTCATACCTCTCCTCCTCCTCGCTTTATCCTCACAACAGCCCTGAGGCTGAGAGATGGTGACAGGCCCAAGGTCACCCCATGAGCTTCACAGCTGAGTGGTGATTTGAACCCTGGTCTCCCAAGGCTGAAGCAAACCCTGCACAGGCTACCTGCCTCTCCTTCACTCCTGCCAGCTGACTGCCCTACCTTTTGATTGCCCTGGGGAGGTCTAAATGGGCCAACCCATGGCAGGTTGATCTAGTGCTGTCTTGAACTGAACTATCCAAACTGGGCCAGATTGAGTCAATTCAGTTCTGGATCCAGGCTTCCAATAAGTAGAAGGCACACAGCGTATGTCACTGCTTCACATTTAAAGGCAACACCACTTTCTACACCTACATACCTCTGTTACCACTGGACTCAGCTCAGTATTTGGTGCCCTAATAAACAAAAGGAAGAAGAAAAAGAGAGGACTGCATTAGGATAGAACAAGATGTCTGTGTTGCTAGTTAAACACTGAATACTGAATTCAGGTTCCCTGGCAGGCCTGCAGCAGAGATACTTTTTTCTATGGGAAAAGAAGGCTGGAGTAGTCTGGAAATTGTGTTGTATGGTGCATAGTTAACTTACCATGCCAGAATGCAGCACAGGTAGACCTACAAATTAAACCCATGGTTACTGTATATACCCGAGTATAAGCCAACTTTTTCAGCACATTTTTTATGCTGAAAAAGCCCCTCTCGGCTTATACTCAAGTGAGGGTCCTTTCGGGCTGCTCCTTCCTCCTCCGCCGCCTTTGCCGCTGTCGGCGGCGGAGGAATGAGCAGCCCGAAAGCAGCCCTTTTGGGCTGCTTGTTCTTCCTCCACTGCTGCTGCCACCACCAGGTTTGTGATGTGGTGAACTGGCTTATACTCAAGTCAATAAGTTTTCCCAGTTTTTTGTGGTAAAATTAGATGCCTCGGCTTATATTCGGGTCGGCTTATACTCGAGTATATACGGTATTTCATCAAGGGCATTCTTTTTCAGATAAAGCACATGCAGAGGACCAGTGAGGGGGGTAGATCTAAGAGAGGGTCCTTCTTCCCAGCCATTTGGTGGCTCAAAATCACACACACACACACACAGAGAGAGAGAGAGAGAGAGAGAGAGAGAGAGAGAGAGCTGCTTTTCTCCCCAAGAGCGTAAAGATTCAGTGTGAGTGTATATTTTCTCTTGGAAATAAAGCAGTTGGGATGGGTGGGTTTGGGGCAGACAAATGGCTGGGACGGAAAGTGTTAAAACAACCAGCTCTCTTCCAACAGTCTTCTGCTCAGTCTGAAGTTACTGTCACATTCTTGGGTCACAATCCACAACCTAGCGGAGAGGATTCAGAGAGAGAGAGAGCTAGGGAGCTATCATCACCCACTCCTGGGGGAGATCTGGTCTTGCCTACTCCTATACCCTTCACCACCCCCATAAAAAATAAGACAAGAGTCCTTTAAACAATAGATACTGTTAATGAGCTCAGTTTCGGGGACATATCTGCATGCATGGTGAAAGTGATCACCCATAAACTGAGGAATGGAATATAAGAAAACATTGGTAAAGAGATGCTGGCTTATGACAAGAACAGGCCTGAATGCCTGTCTACATACCTGTAGTTGTTTTGGTTCTTTAGAAAGATTCGTAGAATGAACTCTGACTCTTGCCCTCCTTGTGATATTTCTGGAATAATGATGTAGGTCCCAGGTCTCAACTGAAATATCCCAGTGACATCTCGTTGTTTTATGAATCCCTTGTTGTAAACGGTGGTTCTGTCCTGAGAAGCAATATAACGTGAGAAGAAATGAGCAGGAATTCTGGAGAAACTATCACAGAATGTCATCCTCTAATTTTTAAAATACATTATGCAGGTCAATCAAGGGTAGAAATGAGTTGGAGAAGGGATAACAACTTGCTGATGATAGTACAAACTGTTAGACAGAAGAACAAACTGCCTCAGAAAGGGGAGGATTTTAAATGGAGTTTGGATGGCCCCTTATCAAAGATATTGAAACAGAGAGGATTTCCTGCGTTGGCACAGAACTACACTAGATGACCTTCAAGGCACATTTCAACTCTGTTTTTCTAATCTTCTGCAAGATCAGAGGCACCTAACTTAGTTGTTCTTCCTCCAAAAGTAAACAGCAGGAGTGCTGGTGAACTGAATTCATGGTCCCATAGGGAAAACACTCAACTAGGGATGGATGATTCAGTCTTGATTTCTCTCAGTTTCTCATTTTTCCAGTTTAAATTCAGTTGGCCACATTTCAATATCCCTTTGTGTACTTGGTTGTTGTTTTTTAAGTCCTCAGAAATGTACCATAATTTTGATGGGCATTCCTCCAGAAATTCACAATTCCGCAAGCCATTTTTTCTAATTTGGGTTTGTTATTTCACAATGCATACTTTTCCCTAATATGTGTATTTTTGTACTTGTTGGGGAGGGGATTGGGGTGGTGAATTTCACTGCAAAATTCAGACAAGCGTGGATTTCAAAGGGTGGCTACGTTTTTAGGTGTGCATTGCTTTTGGAAGTGTGAATTAGGCAGATTTGCATTAACATGAGAAGCAACTTGAATTCTTCTTCCATTGCTGAACTAAGGAAATCTTTGGTGAACCTCCATATATGGAACCCACACAAACACAGATTCCATGACCATATGCTTGCTACAGCTCTGGCACAGACTACGAACCTGATATCCATTCTCATAAGAAAATGTCGTATCCTGTCACATTTGTTGCTGTTCCAATATTTTCATCAAGCTGGAGCAATAAATAAAATGCAACAGCTATTATTGTGATGACACATAAAGACAGCATAATAAAAACCCTTACTAAACATATTCTTACAAATACACTGGAGTGTATAAATCCCATTTAGAGTGGTTTCACAGTGTGGCACAATAATTTATGAGCCATGCCTTTGGAAAGGGTGGGGGAGAATATAAACTGCTGTCTTGCAAAGAGAAAGCGGGGGGAGCCTTTTTTTTTTTTTTTAGGGGAGCATGGCAGGCATTTGGACTTTGAGGCACGATGGATTAAAACTTCAGCAAACCTAAATGAAGACACTTCTTTTGGACCTAATGGAGTCATTTATATTTAAGAATTTCTTTTGTCATTGAGACATTCAGAGTGCCTTTATAATGATGTTTATAACAATGTTTTCAACCAATCGTCCCATGTCTTTGTAACACAGGCTGAAGAATCATTGCTACAAACAGAAAATCTTTTCTCCAAGTCCCCTGCACTGAGCAACTGACAGTACATGCATCACCACACCTTTGTACTTCCCCCACTAACCAAACCTGCCATGTCTTAGATCTTTTAGACAATTGGAAAGATCAAGATCTTTGTCTAGGATGAAATGTGAAATAATTATTCATTGGACACAGTGTCCAATGTCATCCATTGTGTTATTGTCATCCATAACATCGTGGAGAAAGGCGATCTCTACAGCAACCACATCATGCCATTAGTTAGGGACTAATCCAGAATGCAGCAGCTAGACTGGTGACTAGGAGTGGCCTCCAGGACCATATAACACTGGTCCTGACAGATCTGCATTGGATCCCAGTACGTTTCCGAGTACAATTGAAAGTGTTGGTGCTGACCTTTAAATTCCTAAATGGTCTCAGTCCTGTACACCTGAAGGAGCATCTCCACCCCCATCGTTCAGCCCTGACACTGAGATCCAGCGCTGAGCGCCTTCTGGCGGTGCCCTCCTTGCAAGAAGTGAGGTTACAGGGAACCAGACAGAGGGCCTTCTCGGTAGTGGCACCCGCCCTGTGGAACACCCTCCCATCAGATGTCAAGGAAATAAGCAGCTACCCTATTTTTAAAAGACATCTGAAGGCAGCCCTATTTGGGGAAGTTTTTAATATTTAATGCTGTATTGTTTTTAACACTCAACTGGGAGCTGCCCAGAGTGGCTAGGTATGGGCGGGGTATAAATAATAAATTATTATTATTATTATTATTATTATTATTATTATTATTATTATTACCACTCCTTCCAGCCCAGTTCTTAAAGGAGTCTTATTCTCACATATACTGGCCATTGTGCTACCAAAAACATTGTATGCATTATGTACAAGAAGGGGTGGAGAAAGCTTTTCAGCACAAGGGATGCAACCTCTTGTGGGAAATCTTCTGGGAGCCACAAACAAGGGCTAGGCCAGATGATAAGAGGGCAGAGCAATGGATGCAAGTCTTACCTTCTTGCAGGGAGTTATATTCCAGCCATGCAAGAAGGTCAGAGGTTTCTACTCACAGACATGCCACACACCTCTCCATTCTCCTTCCAGGCAAGCAAGAGGCATCAGACAGGGACACAAAAGTGCTTAAAGAGGGCAGGTGGCCTGAGGAGAATCCCAGTGGACAGAAAGGGCTGGTGAAGGACCATCTGAAGGACAGCCTCTCCCCATATAAACCGTCCCAGACTCTGCGCTCATTATTTGAGGCCCTTCTATGTGCCCCTCCTCCATGAGAGGTCCGGAGGGTAGCAACATGAGAACGGACCTTCTCTATAGTGGCTTCCTTTTAAATGTGTCTGTGGGAAGGGAGGGGTATTGTTTTGCTGTTTCCCCCGTCCACCCACATTGATTCTAGCCAGATTGGGCACATCAACCGGGTCATGTGTTCTCATAACATAGCACTTGCCTCTTTGGTAGGAGTGAACTCTAAGGCAGCAGGGGCTCTTACTATGGTTCGGGGGGAGAAACTAAATCTACGGTAAAATGCTCCTGAGACCCCCAGACATGGAACATTTACAAGAATGCTATTAGCACTAAATATCCTTCTCGGGGAGAGTCCAGTTAAAATCTAATTAAAACCCCACATTTTTAATCTGTGCTTAATGAATAAGTTAACGAAATTGATTACTCAATTAATTATTTTAGTGCTAATTATACCTCTCTTGGATCAGATAACATTTCCTGTTTACTCTGTGCTGGTTCTTGCTGTTTCCTCCCCATGACTAGCATCAAGCAGACGTGTTTAATATATAAACCTAAAAAATTATAGGCGGCTGTGCTAACACCTCACCTAAGGATTATAGAATTGTAGAGTTGGAAGGTACCCCGAGGGTCATCTAGTCCAACCCCCGGCAATGCAGGAATTCTCAACTAAAGCCTCCAAGACAGATGGACAAGGACTTTTGCGCAGAGATCTTAAGCTACCTCTTGGGTTCTTGAACTCATTTCTGTGTGCTGGAGACTCTCCTCAACCTTTCTTGTCCAAGCCCCTCTTCTTATGGCAGAGGATATTTCCAAGGTCTCCTCACATTTTGGAAGCACCTTATCAGACACTGCAAGGGGCTACTTTCAAAGCGGGCTATAAGTAGGAATGAAACTGAGTTGTTCACAAACAAAGAACCTGTATTGATCCTTGACATACCGACCCTCATGGGCTGTGTCTGGAGGGTAGACTGCATACTGGAGCAGGAACAATGGCAAGCTGCTCCCTCTCCTCTCCATGTGTGCCCCACATTTCCTCCCCAAATCTGCTACTTAGGGTTAAGGGAACTTCCAGAACAGATCTGGGGCGAGTACAGGGAGAAGAAGGAGGAGGAGAAGTTCCATGGTGCAGCCATGGTTCTTTCACTAACAGTCCTTTCACTAACAGAATTGCCTCATGGGGTACCACCCCTGGAAACTACTTGCATAGATTAGGCCTCAGTAAATCCAGTTGAGAGTGCAACTGCCTGAAGGCAAGATTAACATTTTCTAAGTGAAAATAAATACTGACAATGAAAAGTAGGAGATGCTAGAGATGCACAACAGGAGAGACATAATTATTCTGAAAAAGATACCCCAAGAGCACTGCCAGAGACTGATATCTAATATGATCTCAAAGAAAAGCTACAAACAGGCTACTTTAGTGTAATCCCAACGAGACGTGTGAGGAAAACATGCCTTTAACTGCCTTTTAAAGTCCAGCTTTGTGGAAATGTGTAGTTCAATGTCTCATGCTTCTAACCCACCTTTATAGGCATGTTTTGGATTGGCTGCATTCCCCCCTCCCAACATCCTGAGTCTAGGGATGCTTACTTGGAAGCAAGCCCCACCAGTGGTCAATGAGGCCTAGTATTACAGACAAAATAAATTAGAACATCCCTATTGATTATGCTTACTGGCTCTTTAAAATATTGGAAACAGGGAGTGTCAAGAAAAGCCTTTCTTCTGCTTCTGCCTTGACCAAAGTTTGATTTCTGCAGGCCTCCGGGCAGCAGAGAAAATTGGTTTCTGGCTCTTAGTAATGAGAATGAGAACATGGATTGAGTGCAACTGTGTTATCTGGCAGTGACTAGTAGCTCAAGGTCAATATGGCGGCCTGCTTAATTAACAGCAACTGTGCAGCTCTGAGAATGCACATATTCAACTACTGGAAAGTTCCAGCCAGTTGAGCTTCTGACTGGTTGGGAAATTCTGGCCTGGTTGCTCAGCCATTCCCTACAAGATTGGGTTATTACTTTCCTCTATGCTTTACACATTCTTCCTAATGTCTGTGCTGTTTGTTGTTGTGGTGTGGGGTCAAGTACCTTGTAGATTAGACTAGGTCAATCTACTTAATTCCAATGTGTTGCCCTTTTGGTCAATTCAAGAAAGGTGGACACATTTTACTCCTATTAGCAAACTCAGGTGGTGAGTTCAGGCACCATTTTAGTCAAAACCAGGACACTGGGAAGCAAGAGCCCTATGGTTTTCAGGACTTCAAACGTTCATAAACCAGGCTGTTGATTGTCTACATGCTGGCTATATGCTGTATTTATAACAGTTTTGAATGCTTTAAAACAGGGGTCAGCAATTCTTTTCAGCAGGGGGCCGGTCCACTGTCCCTCAGACCTTGTGGGGGGGCCAGACTATATTTTGGAAAAAAAATGAATGCATTCCTATGCTCCACAAATAACTCAGAGATGCATTTTAAATAAAAGGACACATTCTACTCATGTAAAAACACGCTGATTCCCTGTCTGCCCGCAGGCCGGATTTAGAAGGTGATTGGGCCGGATCCAGGCCCCTGGGCCTTAGTTTGCCTACCCATGCTTTAAAATATTTTAAATTTTGTTTTGTGGTGCTTTTAGGGGCTGTTCAATGTTACACTTTGTGTGTCACTTTCTGAGGTCTTTTATTCTAGAATGTGCCACAGGTTCCACTTGCAACTTCACTTTACAATTTTCAACTTTTTTCAAACCAACAGAAAACAGAACCTCCAGCCAAATGGCTAAGGAAAGATTCTGCTCTTGCCTTGCAGCTGCACTCAAGAGCAGTATATTCCTGAATTAACATTCTTGAGCGTGGAATGAAGTGCCCACCTGAGGCTGTGTAAGCATCTTTATTTGTAGGGAGAGAAATTACCTAACCTGAAGCTTCATCCACACATGTATTTAAAGCACTCTTGAACTATTTCAGCAGCCATAGCTGAGAGAGCCAGTGTGGTGTAGTGGTTAAGAGCGGTAGATTTGTAATCTGGGGAACCGGGTTCACGTCTCTGCTCCTCCACATGCAGCTGTTGGGCGACCTTGGGCTAGTCACACTTCTCTGAAGTCTCTCAGCCCCACTCACCTCACAGAGTGTTTGTTGTGGGGGAGGAAGGGAAAGGAGAATGTTAGCTGCTTTGAGACTCCTTAGGGTAGTGATAAAGCGGGATATCAAATCCAAACTCTTCTTCTTCTTCTTCTTCTTCTTCTTCCCCCAAAGAATCCTTGGAACTGTAGTTCGTTAGGAGTGCTGGGAATTGTAGTTCTATGAGGAGTAACTTCATTTCCCAGGATTCTAGGGGGCAAACCATGACTGCTAAAGTGGTATAAATGTGCTTTAAATGTGTAGTGTGAGCACCACTACTTCAAGAAAACTCCTCTCCCGAGGCAATAGTACACATTATTACTTCTGAATTCTTTAAAACTCAAGTATATATTGAACCTTCTCATGGCTGCAGAAGGGGATGGAAAGAGATAGGATGTTTGTAGCTAAGGGAAAAGGGGAGTAGATCAATGGCACCATAATTTTTCGGCGGTGGGGTGAGATGTGTTAAGATCTCAGAAATAAAAATAATGGTATATTTCACACTAAAACTACAATCCTAAATATTTTCCCTCCTGAAACAAGTCCTATATTGATTAATTTAGGTAATTTCTTTTCTATAGCATGTTTGAACCATATCCAAACTACGTGAGTAAGTCACTACACATTGTGCGGTGGCTTGAATCCATACGAGTTATTCTGAGGATGGAAGCCGGGGGTGTGGTGGTGGTGGTTATTCTAGATTAATTAATGCAGAGTAAATGAGGCTAATCTTATCTACATCTCCTGCCAAAATATCCAGGAGTTCTGCAGTGGGTGTTGAATGGGAGAGACAGAGCCAACAAAACAGTTCTCATTCCAGCCTCTGAAGGACCCGGAAATGCAAAAATAGGTTTCGTTACATTTCAGAGACAGTGCTAAAGCTATCACTTGAAAATAATTGGGAAAAGGCAAAGCTATTCTCAAGGGGGGAAAGCAAAGAGATGTGGGCAGAGCTGGGCGTGTGGCGCATAGCTGTCAACTTTTCCCTTTTCTTGTGATAAATCCTATTCGGAATAAGGGAATCTCCCTTAAAAAAAAGGAAAAGTTGACAGCTATGATGTGGCGCTCGTCATTTGGGAGGAAGGATAGTTTAGGGCACTGGGTAGGAGGCAGCAATGTTCATCTCTTTCCCTGCCATTGCAACCTGGAATTTCCCAGCCATCTTGAGACAAAACATGGCTGGTTTTTGGCTGAATCCAGCACATGAGGGTAGAACAATTTATACAGATGGCCAGGCTCAAGCATGAGCAGAAAACCAGTTCTTGTCTGGTGTTATTTACCTTGAATATTACGAAACGAATGCCTGGAGGTTCTGGAGGTTGTGGACTCCTTGTATCATTTACAAGTTTCTGTGTCAGTGATACCACAACATTGGAATTTTTCATGTCCGGCTCCTGCACCTGGATTAAATACCGAGGATTTCTGGAAAAGGCACCTGTTGCGAAAAACAATGATTTCTGTTATCAGACACATGCAGCAGAGTAGTGTGGATCAAGTGAGACGTCCCTCCTTTATCGCTTCCTTTTACATCTGCCTGCTGCATGCATGCCTTCATAGGATCGTGGTCCTGTGGGAAAGGCAATTCCTTCAGCCTGTCAATGTCTCTAGCAGGCACTTAACCTGCCCTGTTGCAGGAAGCTAGACATTCAATTTAAAAAGGTAAAGGACCCCTGACAGTTAAGTCCAGATGCAGACGACTCTGGGGTTGCGGCGCTCATCTCGCTTTACTGGCCGAGGGAGCCGGTGTTTGTCTGCAGATAGTTTTTCCGGGTCATGTCACCAGCACGACTAAGCCGCTTCTGGTGCAAAGGTACACCAAAACCAGAGCAGTGCACGGAAACACCTTCCCACCAGAGTGGTACCTATTTATCTACTTGCATTTTTGGCATGCTTTCGAACTGCTAGGTTGGCAGGAGCAGGGACCAAGCGACAGGATCTCACCCCGTCATGGGGATTCGAACCCCCGACCTTCTGATCAGCAAGCCCAAGAGGCCCAATGGTTTAGACCACAGTGCCACCCGCGTCCCTTAGACATTCAATTAGTGGTTACTTTATAAGAAGCCCTGATCCTCAGTTCTACCAAATACAGGAAGGCAATACATTCTCTGCATACAGCCAGAGATCCCTGCTAAACAGAGATTCCTGAAGCAGTAGCATTGTTGCAGGCTGCAATCCTTATCTATCAGGTGGAGGCAATCTGCATCTCTTGGCCTAATTCATGCAGGTGACAAAGGGGAAGAATGGGTAGGATAAGACAACGGATTGACAGAAAGGTGTGAGAGAAACCAAAACATGGTCCCTAGCAGATTACGCCACAAGCTTGCGCAGCATTTTCTTCCACTCCTCCCCACCCTGCAGCCACATGTGCTTGCAAGATCTCCTCTGAAGGACCCCCAACTGCCCCACAGCATATTTTGAAGCAGTAGGGGGCTCTGTGGGGCAGGGAGAGAAGCAAAGTCTTATTGTGAAATTGAACGTCTATTCCACTTGCACAAAAACAACTTAGACTAAATTCTATACAATTACTATATAAAAATAACTAGTTGCTGGATTCTTGCAAATCTGGTTGCGGCATAAAACAATGATAAATTTCTGGATAGAGGAGGAACTGCACGTAAGAAAAATGAAAACATCTTATGTTTTACACCACAAGTAGTAGAACTTAATTTTTTTATTTTAAAGAAGCACAACAGTACAAAATAAAACATGTTATGGATAAAATATAAGCCCCAATGTATTTTTTACAAGACTGAAAATAGTATATAAAGGTTGTAAAGCATGAACATAAAAATATATATATACTTGGTGAGAAAACAGGAATTTCTTAGCAAGCCATAAAATTATGTTAGCAAAGAACTGAGGAAATTCTAAAGCAACACTGATTGAAGAGAAGTGTAAAGTTTCCATGGTTATGATTATGTGCAAATTAGCTGTACTGATTAAAGTGTGGTCTTTCTGAAAAACAGAGAAAATGGTTCAGATTCCACAACAGAATGCATACACCAATTTTAGAAATGGCTGTTATGTTATATAAATTGTGAAGACATTTGCTGTTTGTATGTTTTCACATGCTGTATTTTAATTTTTGTTTTCATATGGTGAATAATAACAAGTTTAACGAATCTAGACTTCAGATAGAAACCCTTTCGCACAATGCACAGACAACATGCCCAGGCTGCAATCCTAAATTCACTTTCATGGAAATAAGCCACATACAGTTATTACAAATATCCTAAAGCAAAACTTGAAGAGAATCCATGGGCTATCATCAAAATGTGGTCAGTCTCCAGACTTGCCATATACAGCAGCGGAGCAAACCAATTGGGCGCCTGGGGCGGCGCATGTGCCCTGCGCCCAGGGGCAGGGCCAGCTGCCCACAGGGGCATTGCTGGGTCTCCAAGGAGTCTGCCTGCCTCCTCCCAGTCAGCCGCCCTACAGCTGAGGGGGAGGCAACAGGCGGACGTTTTGGGGCAGGTGCGGAGCCTGTGGACGCTCAAGCCACCGCATCACTCCCAGGAGAGATGCGTGGCTCAGGCGCACTACAGGCCCTGCGGTGAGTGCTGCCCACCATTCTGCCACCTCCTTCAGTGGTGACACCAGGGTGGGCTGCACCTACTGCAGCCTCCTGGCTTCACCCCTGGCCATATAACCAGGACATCCGCAAATAAACAGTTGGCACTGCTTACAGAAAGTGGCTGGAGATACCAGATCCCCACCGAATTAAGTACTGGGACAACTAAGCAGAAAAAGGATAGGAATATGTAAATAATAGCATAGGGGGTTGATTTCAGTGGGCTTAAGCATGCCTAATTCTGTGCATAATTCTTATGCGATGTGTATATTTCAGATTTGAGATCTCGCAAAGAAAACAAGGTCTGGGATTGAAGCTGTAGGTTCTGTTGCTGAACAGCAACTGCCCTGCAACACTGAACATTACTTGGGAATCCAATGTGGAAGAGGAAATTGTAGCAGAACCTTGGGAACTGCAGTTAGTTAATTTCACAAGCATGGATCAAAAACTCAATTAAACAAACTGGGTTTATTGCCAGATCAAGTGTTCTGCTGAGGCTTGATGGACCTCATGATTATGGAAGGACAGAGGTCATAGGCAATTGTCATCTACAGATGTCTGTCTCCAGAGTGTAAAATTCAAGATTTATATGTTAGCACCCACTATGAGCATGTAATATTGTGCTACATCTTTATAATCAAGCCTGTGTTAATTAAATATTGGTGCAATATGGAAATATAAAACATTGCTATGTTTAAAATTTTACTTTTTCAGTTCAGGTCCAGATAAGAAATTACTATTTTGAAATGTACTGTTTGAAAAAAGAATAGGGAAATAATTAAGGAAGGATACTAATTTTTACCTTCTGGGGAGAGCCCTTGAACCCATCTGTCGACATGCGTTTGCACAGACCACATGTTGCTCCTCTGCACTCCAAAGTCTAGGAAGGTTGGCACATTATTGCAAACATGCAAAAATAAAAAATGTTCTTGGAAATCTTCATATGACATCCTGACGGAAGAGAAAATGAATTTTCAGACAGGCTTTGCATACTTCTACATTGTACAACAACTACACATATATTTTCAATCCTGGTTTTGCAGCCCTGAGGACTTGAAATATTTTTGAAATGGAGAAGTGGAATTTGCATGGTGCTAGAAAACGAATGGCAAAAACAGTTGGCAGTTGCTTGTGGTGAACAGCCTATAGATTGACGGTCCTTTTCTTAGATAAAAACTTTACCGATTGTAGTCTGGGGTTGCATTCATCAACCTATCGCTAAATAGAACTTTGCAAGAGCGGAACAACTTCTGCATGTGCAGTTGTACTTTCCTTCCTCTCCTCCCCAATCTGCAATCTGTTCTAAGGTTTCCCCCGGCTCTCTGGAGCATTTTTGGGGATGGCATGGGTCATGTGCTGTGGGAGGAAGGGCAAAGTCCCCTTGCACAAGTTGAAATTGTTCCACACAGATATTTATTGAGTTGAATACAGCCTCTCATCTTTAATATAAGTGTAGCAGGACCCTGAAAATAAGAGTGGCTCACTGCAAGAAGATTATTTATTATTAATTCAATTTTTATCCTACACTTTCTCCCGAAGAAGCCCAGATGGCAACATATGGAGATTATTACAGCTTGGGGGCCTTAAATCTAGAGCACAGAGAATCACAGAAAGACAAATTGTGAAAATACCAGAACTCGCCGTTATCCTTGTCTTCATACAGAGATTTCTTGTATTGCTTCGGGACTCGATCCCATTCCATGGAACTACAAAAGAGGACAAGCCCATATGAAATTAAAAATTAGGTTCCTAATTTGCCCAAATGAGGGACATGGGTGTGACCAAGCAGGGCCTGACAAGCTGGAATCCCTTTGGAAAGGTTCATTGTAAATACACCAGCAGAAGAGCAGTGAACACATTTCGGTTTATGAAACACAGAATCATAGAACCAAAGAGTTGGAAGGGACCCTGAGGTTCATTTAGTCCAACCCCCTGCAATGCAGGAATATGCAACTGTCCCATACAGGGATCGAACCTGCAGCCTTGGCGTTATCAGCACATTCTAACCACCTGAGCTCTCCACACCCACATATGAGCATAATAGAAATCAAGAGCACGTAGACAAATAAGGGTTACATGGAAAACAAAATAGAATATGAATACGCAGCTTAACTTTTAAACATTGCTCTAAACAATAAACAGCTAAAGAATAAACAGCTTAACCATTGCTAAGTCCTACATCGGCTCACCTAAACCCCACAAGCCCTCTAGTTAAAGCTTACTACATTTCCCCAGCTGTCTTAACTACAGGGTGACTCAGTTTAAGAGAAAACGTTACTACAGTCCTGCTTTAAAATTCCAAGAAGCAGGCTCCTGTGGTCTAAAACACATCTTACTAAAGAACAGTTCACAATCTTTCAGTTTGCGATTGAATCAGTTCATTTTTTTATTTTTATTTTTTAAAAAGAAAACTTCACAAGAACTTGCCATCCTTTTAAGGCATTTTTCTCCTAATATACACATTTTTTGTGTATTCAATTCTCCCTAATGCAATGCATCCTTTTTGCTATTTTCACCAAGATGTGCCTTTTTATGCACACGTTTTCCTAACAGGCACATTTATTTATTTTTTTGGCACATTGCTTGATTGGAGAACTGTAGCGCAAAATTTAGAGAAGTGCAAATTGCAAAAAGATCGTTGTGTTTTGGTTCACACGTTGCTTCAAAAAGTGTGATTGGCAAAAGCCAACAAGCTGTATGTAAATTATAAATGTCTGGATCTGTATTACTGAAGCCTAATCTTCTATAGCAGTAAACCATTTTGGACCTTAAGCTGCCTCCGTGTGGTGACTGAAACTGGGGTCAACTTCCACTGCGTGGGTGTGTCACCCAGCGCTGTCTTTAGCATATGCACCGCCGGGGTGCAAAGATCTGCCCAGCGCCCCCAAATTTAGTTTAGCCCCCAAATTAACACCACCACACTTAAATTTCTAAGTATTGTTTAGGCACCTACTTAGAAGAAACATCAGTTGTGTCAAAGGTGCTGCTGACCCCACTGCCACATAGCAGCTCAATACAATACGTAACATAATAATTTGATGTAAGAGTTAATTTCGCATGCACGGCGCCAGCACCAGCGTGGCACGTCTTTGGTAAATGAGCCCACAAAGTCGGAAGTCCTTTAGTGAAACAGTAGGTATACATTTTGGTAATACTTAGGTACAGTGGTACTTCGGGTTACATACGCTTCAGGTTACATACGCTTCAGGTTACAGACTCCCCTAACCCAGAAATAGTACCTCGGGTTAAGAACTTTGCTTCAGGATGAGAACAGAAATCGCGCAGCGGCGGGAGGCCCCATTAGCTAAAGTGGTACCTCAGGTTAAGAACAGTTTCAGGTTAAGAACACACCTCCGGAACAAATTAAGTACGTAACCAGAGGTACCACTGTATATATGTACAGTATTTTGTTTTTCTAGCTTGATCAAAATTATTTATTATTTCATAACAGGAGATAGTTAAGAGCTTAGGTAGCTTCAGCGGCGGGTGCCTGGCGCCCCCCAGAATTCAGCACCCGGGTGTCCTGCACCCCTTGCACCCCCGGGTAAAGACGGCCCTGGTCTCACCTCAGATCCCCAACATGCTTCTCTCTGCCACTCCATTTTATCCTCACAAACAGGTAAGTCAGGTTAAGACCTTAATAGCAGAGTGAAGATTTGAACTCTGGTCTCCCAGGTCCAAGCAAATTAGATTGACAGACTTGCATTGGTTTGCTATGTGTCATGCATTTGCTGTTCTTTTCGAATGTGTGATTCTATTTTGGATTAAAACTTGGCACAGATCACTTTGAATGTTCTGAATGCACCGAAGCTGCTTGATGGCAGGTTGCTAAAATACAGTAAACAAATCTGAATCTGATGCACTGATAAAATGCTACAAAAAAAAGAGAAGCTTGATAGAAATGCTCAATCACATGAAGACTGCAATATGTACATTACCATATGTATGATATTGTGATTGCTTTGGGGCAGCATTTTATCAATGTGCATATGTGTATCAGTACTGGGGGCAGGGAAAATCTAATGGGGGAGGGGGGAATAAATTCATTAGCTTGTCTCCCACCCCTGGTTCTGCTATGCATGAACGGATTGATAAAACACTGCCCAAAAAACAGTCATGTAGCTGAAAGCTGCAGTGTATGAACAGAGCTCAATATAAAATTCAGAAATTAAAAAAAGAAAGAGAGAGTGATGGATGAGCACATATGCATCACTTCTACTTTGGAAAGAAGACCAGAAATACAAATTCCAAGGAGAAATTCGGATGGGGTGAATTTCAGAAGCATCACTCGTTTCTTTCAATGCTTAGTTCTTCCCCCAAAGCTTAACATTCAGCCACGAATGGGCACTGAACAAATTGCCAGGAGTAAGAAGCTACACACTTCATTCTTATGTCCTGAAAAAGCAACTTTGTTGTTCTGGTGCTTAGAATGCCATACAATGAAGAGAATGAAACAGTTTCTGTTGGTTTCAATAGTCCTGGATGGCACTTTGGCATTTTGCTGCGAAAGTCAAAGCAGCACACACCACGTGCGCACACACTCAGGTGCAAGTGCACTCTCTCTCTCTCTCTCTCTCTCTCTCACACACACACACACACACACACACACACACACACACTGCCCCTAAGTCAAGGTGCACAGTAGCCAAGACCTGCCAAATCATTTTGGTGCCTGAGGCAGAAACTCCTACAAGCACCTCTCTCCCTCTGCGAGAATAAAAATGCAACAATAATAAATAACTCAAAATGTACTGACTTTTCAGGATACCCGAAACCAGCTGCCTGAGGTGACCATCTGACTATGCCTAATGGTACGGCTGACCCTGGATGTACTTTAATAAAGAAATAATTCTTTGCATCTTTAGCTGCTGATATTACCTCTCAGCAATACCACCACACAGACATTGCAATAGCTATCCAGCTGTGTTAATTCTCAAGCTGCAGTTTTATAATTAAGTGATAATTGTGTTGTATGCATAGCATTAACCAAGCAGAACTCAAGAATTGTATTGATCCATGCAGTTTAAGCCTGCTCCACCCAAATTTCAACTGTATTGAGATTAGAATTAAACTTTGCAAAACCTGGGAAATTACTATAATATACTATACTAACTGTACTGTACTGTACTGTACTATACTATACTATACTATACTATACTTCTTAGCTCAGCTTCAGTCACACCAGCATGTAGACACTAAAGAACACTATTCAGGAAAGATTACTTTAGAAGCCCAGAGGAAAAGAAGATGGCTATATAAAATCGTAAAGCAACTAGTATACTGTTGCACATATACTGCTCTTGTTTTTCAGTTTTCATTTGCAAATTCAACAAAGAGAAAAAATGAAAAATAAAGGATTATGAATACCGTACAGGAGCATATTTTCCAGATTTTTAGCTCTGTGGTAGTGGGTGAGGGCAAAATCATGGGACACCACCCAACCACTGGTAATTTCTTTCAAGTCTTATTGATCTCAACCATTTCATGCTTAAATCATTCGTAGTGGAATCAATGAGACATAAAAGTGCTTGATTTTGATAGACTGCACCTAGGGTAATTCTAGGGAATTGTTCTTAGGTGTGAGGAAAGAAGAAAAAGGAAATAGCATACCCAAAACGAGAGCCGGTTGGGAAGGGCCATGGCTCAGTTGAACAGCGATTGATTTTGCATACAGAAGGTTACAAGTTCCCTGGCATCTCCAGGCAGATCTGAGAGAGAACCCTGTCTGAAATTTTTGAGAGCTTTGGATAGGGTAGGCAATACTGAGAGAGATAGTCGGGTGGTTTAATTCAGGATAAAGCAGCTTCTTATGTTCCTATGACCAGAACATAAACTGCAGAAGATGAACTTTGGAGGTGTTGACTAGGGCCAATGGGGGTCCCCCAAAATGGAAAGTGAATTTGGCAGCGGGGAGCTGACATTTTTGAAATGGTTTTGGGCAGTAGAGGCACAATAATATTACTTTGATGGCAGCCAGCAGAGGCAGCTTTTCTCCCCCTCCCTTGTTCATCTTAAAAAATAATAGCTTGGCCACTGCCTGTGGTGGTAGCAACAGCAGCAATGAAGTCCTTTTTGATGGCAAGCGAGCAGGTGGAGTACAACTCAGGTGAGATCCAGCAACCATCTTGCTCTGCTGCTACTGCCTACCTCACATGGATGTCACCATTTTAGCCTCAGCAGCATCAGAGGCCAAGGAAGGAAGCTGCAGCAGAGCAGAAGAGTCACTGGGGAGCTGCCTCAGTCTGTCCTGCCTGTTCCTCCGAGGTTTGTCTGGGTCACAATCTGGGCAATCAGCAAAGAAAGAGGGTGCACAGTTTGGATGCGCTTTAAGGCGAACGGGGAGGGGTTGGCGAGCAAAGGTAGCAGGGGCAGCAGCCCCTAATGAAATAAAACTTTTGAAACCATACCGATCGCTCCATGCTCCAGTCCACTCCTTATGGCCATAAGGATTCCAAAGTCTAATTAAACGTTCCTTCATACCCATATAGGGAACCTATTAAGAAGAAAGAAAAAGTCAACAGTGGCATCTTGTATGTTGGGGGTGTTTTGTGGGGGAAAGAGACATGTGAAAGCTTCTTCTATTGTATTTTGGGATGCTCACTTTAGTTCCTAACTTTGTCTGAATCTAAGGAACAAAGGATGTGAACGGCCACACAGTGAAGTTGCTTAAATCCCATTGCCTTCAATAATAAGCCTTACTATGCACAAGATGGTAGGCAATGCAGCTTGTTTTTTTAATTATGTGGAAAATGCATTATTTTTGCAATACACAAAACAAAAACTGCCTAGTAAAACATGGGAGCAAAATAAAAATAAGTCCTGGAGCACTTATTAAGCACTAAATAAGTCCTGTACACTGTTGTAGCATGATTGAAACTACCTTATTCACACTTATGGAAACAGTATGTGAAATGAAACACAACTATCCTTAGAAATCTGCACTTCTCTGAATTTTGTGATGCAGTACTTCAACTAAATGTTTGTATATTGGGAGAAATGTGCATACAAAAATGTGTATATTAAGAGAATTTATTGGTGAAAACAGCATATAATAATAATAATAATAATAATAATAATAATAATAATAATAATTTATTATTTATACCCCGCCCATCTGGCTGGGCTTCCTAATAATATGTGTATATTAGGTAAAATGCGACCAAAATAATGGTAAATTTTGTTTGTTTGTTTGTTTGTTTGTTTGTTTGTTTTAAATTGCAAACTGATGCAGAAATCAGGAGAAATGACACTAAGATTAAAGATAAACTGAGATAAACTAAAATTGACAGATTCATTCATCTTTAACTGCAAGTTACCTGCTTGTTAACACGGAGCATAAAGCTATTAATGACTACTTGCCATGATGGCTATGTTCTGCCTCAAGAGGCAATAGGCCTCTGAATGCCAGTTACTAGAACTCAAATGTGTGGCAAGTGCTGTTGCACTCTGGTGCCGCTTGCAGCCTTCCCATGGCATCTGGCTGGCCACTGTGAGAACACACTGCTGGACCAGGTGGGCCATTGGCCTGAATCAGCAGGCTCTTCTTATGTTCTGATGATGCCCTGGATGGGAGCACTACTTTAATACACGTGGAACAGGAGTCAGCGAGTTTGGTCAGGTTTACAAAAGCATTTACAGTGGTACCTCTGGTTACATCCGTTTCATGTTACGTTCTTTCAGGTTTCTGCGGTGACCCGGAAGTACCGGAAAGAGTTACTTCCGGGTTTCGCCGCTCACACATGCGCAGACGCGCAAAATGACACCACACGCATGCGCAGAAGCAGCGAATCACAACCTGTGCATGCGCAGATGCACCGCTGCGGGTTGCGCTTTTTTCATGTTGCGAACGGGCCTCTGGAACGGATCCCGTTTGCAACCAGAGGTACCACTGTATTGGCTTTGGGTATGAGCATTCAGCTTCCTAATCAGGTTTCTTCAGGCCACAAATAAAGCCAATTATAACCTACAGACACAAGCAGGAAATTAAGATCTTCACATAGCCCACCTAGGACAAAGGAAGCAGCATCAATATGTAGAAACTATATTGTAGCTTCTTTTAGGAGATGCTGCTTTCTGTGCTCCCAGTTGTAAATAAATTCAAAACACGAGAAGCTTCCATAAATCTTAGAAGGTTCTCACCTTGAAATGTAATCACTGAGTTTTGGATTCTGTTCTCAGCTAGATATTAACAAGTATCTCTGCCTCTAACAGCCAACTAAATAATGTCTGTTCAGTCTTGATGTGCCTTTTCCTACTGAGACTTTACTCTTTTCCCATACATTTCATTTTCAAGTTGCCACAAAATCTTACAGCTGGTTTAAGTCACTGAACTCTCATCTATTTTTCCCCCATAAAACGATGCAGTGCCAATGTTGTCTTATAGGGGAGAAACAGGCTAAAATTTCAGACCATTCAATTATTGGGAGCAAGAATCATGAAATCAATTCTTCTTCTTTTTCCTTAGGGCCAAATCAGACATGCAGTCTGACTGCTCTCCCCACCCCACTCCCTGGTTTTCTGATGATATTGCATGGAGAATGTTCAGGATACAAAGACAGTCTGCAGCCATTTATGCAGTCCTGTTGGCTCTTGCTGCAGGTTTGAATGGGCTGCAGGATGTTTTCATGCATAGTCCAGTTCATGCAGTTCATGCAAAACTTGTGCAACCCCTGGACACAAAATAGATCACATGGGGGGAAATGCAACCATTTGTGCAAGTCCTTAGGTAATTTTGCCTTGGATATTTTGCTGGCAAGACTCTAACCAACAGACTCTCAAATGCACAATTACCTAAGAAAGTTGAGGAAGGGGCAAGACAAGGAGACAGGGCCTCAAGGGCTACGTGGGAAGCTTTCAAATGCTGCATTTAGCCTGGGGACTGGAGATTTCCCATCCCTGGGTTAGAGTAAGCCAAGAGCATCATGAGGTGTTTGTTTTTATATCTCTGTTGAGATAAATCATGGGCATATTATCTGAACCACTTTGGCTCCTAGTTTATAGTTAATGGTTAATGCATTATCACCAAAGTTTATAGTTTAACCAAAGTCATTATAATTATAAGGGTTTTTACATTAAAAAGAGAATAGGCTAAATCATAACACAATGAACGCAATTATCTCTTTTATTTAACACTCTGCATGCCACTGGTGTGATTTGTGCTCCTTCCAAACAGTAGTCTATGTTTGGGGTCTCCAGTGTGGTGCATCATGACTTCTTCATATCACCCCCCACAGTGCCTGCCAAAGCCCCCTCACCCTATCAATTCTTTTATAGAAAGGTTTTTGGCTTTTTTGAGGGTTGGGAGAGCTGTGTGTTAGTTGTACATTGCCTTCTTTTTCACTCGTGTTTTAGTAGAATTTCTGGGGTGGAGTGTCTTGCCTGTTTTGTTTGGGAGGGAATCTAAGCATTACCCAGTTTTCTCCTGTGAAATGGTGATTTTGTGGTGGCCCCAGGCCCGAAATAGTTGGAACTCCTGTTCTATGGAGCATTTACACCACCTGATTCCCAGTTCTTTCTCAAATGGGTGTGAGCATTATGGCAACTATTAACAACATATCATTCATAAGCAATTGTAGGCAGCGTATGTGTTTGTGTGGTGATGTGAGGAGTACTAAAGTTGCAAGGGAATGGCCTATGCCATCACTTGGTCCCCTTGGGGAGCTGACAGGGCCCAAGCAAAGCCCACAGCCACTGTGCCCTTTGGACAACCAGGTCCAAGAGCTTTCAGTTTAATGGTCTTAAAGTTTTCCCCTGTAGGGCATTAAAGGTAAAGGGACCCCTGACCGTTAGGTCCAGTCGCAGACAACTCTGGGGTTGTGGCACTCATCTCGCTTTATTGGCCGAGGGAGCCGGCGTACAGCTTCCGGGTCATGTGGTCAGCATGACCAAGCCACTTCTGGTGAACCAGAGCAGCGCACGGAACTGTCGTTTACCTTCCCGCCGGAGCGGTTCCTATTTATTTACTTGCACTTTGAGGTGCTTTCGAACTGCTAGGTTGGCAGGAGCAGGGACCGAGCAATGGGAGCTCACCCCGTCGCAGAGATTGACCCAGCCACCACTCCCTCCCCCCAGTTACCACCACTCCCTGCCCCCAGTTAAGCCCACAAGTGTAGGAAGGGGCCTGGCACAGATCATTTAGTCGAGGGCCCTGCAAAGAGAGGTATCTGTATAGTAATGCAGATGCTTAACAACGCACAAAGGTCTCTTGTTCAAAATAATGATCTCCAGTTTAGCTCTGCATAGGTATTCCATCACACAGCCCTTCTCTGTTTTGCAGAATGTTGTAGTTCCCGGAAGAACTACACACCATGTTAGTGAGCATTCTTACTGCTGCAGAAGGAAGGCAAGCCAGAGGATTAGTCAAGGTCATTGTCCGCTTTGGCCATTTCTTTTGTCCTTGTTGATATGAGCATCGTAAGTGATGATTCTGGGGGATGAGCACTGCACTCACCTTGAAGGCAGACCCACTTACTGCAGTAAATCCTTTGCTTTCTTTTGCCATTGCTGGATTATTACTTTCTGCCAAATTGATCTCCTTCCCCAGAAGATGATATTAAAATTTGGGGCAAGGGAAGGGTGTATGCTCGGGAAAGATAAACCTCGCAGGTGAAGAAAATGACTTCTTCATCCAGCTGTGAACTCTTGACCCTGCACTTTAGCATATTCTGAGCAATGTCTCTTTCACAGGACACTTTCCCACAGCAAGTGTTTTGTGGACTTGAGGTTGCTCATGCCTTTAAGTTTTGTACAAAACGCCACATTACACTTTCCGTATTAAAACACTGCCCCGTATTTCCTTCCTTATTTAACCTGGATTTTCTATTTCCTTTTTAAAAATTATGTGTTTTTTAAACATATTGGATTATCTGCAGAAATGGTAAACTGTGTTTAATGCTATCGGGTGGTGCTCTTGCATCAATACTTTATACCTCAGAATTAAATTAACTCCATGGATTCAGCCCACAGAAGTGTCCGTTCATTTAATTTGTTTCGGCCTCTTAAAACTTGCCTGAGGCCTTTTTCTGGTAAGTGGGTTATCTTCTGCCACATCACTGGCTGAACCAATGAGTGTTAATTATGGGCTCAGTGTTTCATCATTCTTGATAGTTTCCTTAAAAACGACTAACTGGCTGTGTCACCTTGCTAACTTTATCATTTCTTTACTTCTACATAAAGCCACCGGGTTTCAGACATTTCAGGAAGGCAGGAATGAAATTATGTGATCTCAGTGACGCATGGAGGTCTAGATTAGATCAACGGAATGTTACCTTCTGGTCCTAAAAGCAATGAATTATGAACATGGGGATGGAGAACAGCGGGCCAGCTGCCAATTAGGAGAGAGGGCTGTGGGAAGAAGACAATTAAGAAGGACAGAAATAAATGTTTCCTCTCTCACCTCTGCAGTCTCCACAACAGTGTAGGCATGACCTTGAACAATTCCATTCTTCTCGTTTACGTTATTTTCCTGAATGGAGAAAGGACACCTATAACCTCTCTAAAAGCATTAGCAAACATGTTTTCATTTGATCCAATGGATGTGGTTTGTTTGATGAGGGGAGAACCAGGGCCAGGGCCAGCCAAATACATTTTGCTACCTGATGGCAAAGGACACGATGGTGCCCCTCACCCATTCCCATGTACAAAAGTTGACTGGGGTGACGGTGGACTTTTCTTTTATTTCTTTCAATGCTATGTCCTCTGCACTTGAGGGCATCAGGCTAGTTTAGTGGGGTACAAGGCAGGCTGTGTGGTACATATAGCTCTGTCCTCCAATCAAAGGAAGCATTCAGGGGGCGCTCAGGAGGAACAGTAATGTTCCAAACCACAGCCCTCCCAGGATATGCCACCTGAAGCATTTGCCTCACTCTGCCAAATGGTAGGACCGCCCCGATGGAATCTCCTTTAACGGAAGGAGCTCAGTCACAACTGTTTTAGAGATGCTGCTGCTACACAACAGCCTGCACAACTTGTGACTGACATATACTCAGCTAAATGCAGACCAATGCTCTTTTGTTGCCAGATGCTTGACAGCCTCCCGGCTTTGTTGTCAAAGGCAGAAAAAACAAGAGGTTTACTGAGCTCTTGTTTTGTAGGGTCCAAGCATGGGCAGGGGTTAATGGGTACACTTTACTGGGGCCAAAGGGGTCCTGCAGATCCAGGGGGGAAATGTGGCTGGATTGTAGCTCACACTTGAGGATGCCTATTTCTCTGTATCTCTGTATCTTAATGGTGCGTCAAGATCCCAAACAACTCAGGCCCCAAATGCCTGAAAGAACGCCTGCTTCCTTACAGACCCCCTTGGGTGCTCAGATCGGCAGAAAGGGACCCTCTTGCTTGTTCAACCTCCCTCAGAAGCTGGTGGGCTGGGGTGGCCCAGGAAAGGGCATTCTCTGTGGCACTCCTAGGTTGTGGAACTCCTCTCCCAGAGTGGTACGCTGGGCACTTTCACTATATAGCTTTCAGCAAATGCTGAAGACACACCTCTTTTGACACTTGAGAGATGTTTATTTTTAGCACCTACCTTATTTCTTCAATTTAAAGTTGTTCTAAGCTGTTTTTAGTATTGTGTTTTAATTGCTGTAACTTGCCCTGGGACCTTGGGGGTAAAGCGTGGGTAATAAATTGTAGTAATAATAATAATAAGAGCACCGTGTCTTGTCAGAACTGTTGCAGCCCATGACACTGAGCATTTAAACAGAGAAGGCCCGTGAGTCTGTGTCCCCGTCCCTCCTCCAGAACCATAGAAATGGGGGTGAAAATTGAGTGGCACACACTACCTGGCTGCCAGGTTTACTTAGCATGGCTGTATGACACTTTGCTTGAGGGGAAAGCATTACAAGTCTGGCCATAAACCAACAAAGCAAAGGGATTCTGCATGCAATTTTGAGGGGAACAGGTGAACGAGACCGATTCTCGCTGCATCTTCTTATATTCCAGTTCCTAGAGGGGGGTAAAACAACTTCTAGCTTACCACTGGAGGAGTGACGCATCCCATGAGGCAACCTGACTTGGCAGCGGCCTTCACTACCTCATACAGGTAAGAGGAAGGGCGAGGAAGGTTCAAAGATATCTGGACCCCGCCTGTGAAGTCCACTAAAGCCTCAGAAATGTAGCCCATGTGCAACTTCTGATAGGAACCGTGCAATCTGGAAGAAGAGAGAAGACTTTGAGGTTAGGCCAGTACCAGGTTTAAGAAGGTCCTGTGAAAGGTGTCCTCTAAGACCAGCATGCCTCCCTTTTAAGCTTGCCAATGTTTTTTAACATTGGGTGCACAGTGAGGTGAGGAAATGGTCAAGACTGGTCGGAATGCCCATGTATTGGGGCCCAGAGGCATTCTGATGGGGAAAAGAAGGTGAGCGGTTGCATACCCTCCAACATTTCGCCAATGAAAATAGGGACGTCCCATTCCATAATGATAATTTTACTATTTATACCCCACACATCTTACTGGGTTGCTCCAGCCACTCTGGGCAGCTTCCAACATATATAAAAACATAATAAAACATTAAACATGAAAAAAGACCTTTCCTATACAGGATTGCCTTCAGACGGCTATGGGATCGGATAACTGCATACCCTCCAACATTTCCCCAATGAAAATAGGGATGAACTAAGGACAAGTGGGACATTCTGGGATCAAATCAGAAACTGGGATGGCTTCTCTAAATCAGGAACGTCCCTGCAAGATAAGGGCACTTGGAGGATCTGATGTTGCAGTCTCAGGTTCACTGCACTAGTTCTTTGTTTTTTTAAGTTTTTAAGTGAAAAGAAAATTGGCAGTACTACAAACCCCCCCGGGACCCATTCTTTTCAATCATGCTGGGTGCTGGTGCCAGGCCTGGACAGCTGGGAAGGAAAGAAGGTTATTTCATTTTATTTATTTGTAAGGTCATAAAAGAAAGATTAGGTTTGATGGATAGAGAAGATGAGGCAAGGAGAAGATACATTTTTTACAGGGACATTTCACAGCATGTGATCTAAAGGCACAAAGGCATGAGGGAAGGGAGTATACGGCGATGGCTCCCCCCCCCCAAAAAAAAACATTTTTTGTAGCATGTGAATAAGTACATCAGCAAGGTTAGTGAGTGGGGCTGTTTGAAACCGGCTGGAAAAAATATTCCCCATCAGGAAATGAGTTGTACTCTAAAAACTGCAAATGGGAAAAGGACGATTTTGACATTTTCAATTTTTTTATAGGAAAACAGGAATGACAGATAACTGTTTTGTGATGAAGATTTCTGGTTCAAAGCAATATGTATCCTTAAATTGCCAATTTAATGCAGGCGTATTAGAAAACCTGGTTGGCAAAGGGAATATGAAGCTGCCAAAGGGAGCAGGTTGCCTGCAGCTGGTGGAAAGGAAGAAGGGGCAGAATGGGAGAGGGATTCCCTCACACAACACCACATCCCACAGCTGCGGAAACACTTCAGCTACCAGATCACCATGGGTGTGTCACTTTGCATTTCTTAGTACATAAAGCATTGATCTTTCCTATTGTACTAAATTCAAGAGGGTTCTGGAAGCTTCTGTGTGTGAAAGAAACAAGCAGAAGGTTCATGATGTTTGGGTTATACCTTCAGAGAAGCTGAGTACAGCTGGCTTGAATTGGTTTTCTTATCTCTTCTGTCAAGGTCATGCTGACTGTCAAAATAAGGCCAGAAGGATCCTGGGTTTCACTTTCACTTTCTATCTCTCTTCCTTCTTGTGTGGTGTTCTGTACATAGTATGCTTAGTGTTAAGGTTTAGACTTATTATAAGTTATTGTAAGTTTAAGTGAAGTCTGCTGCAACTGGATTTCTTATGGACAGTGCCAATCCTGAATGTATTTGATTTCTGACCATTAGGCTCATTTGCCTTCAGTAGCAGTAAAGCTCTGCTGGATAAAATATAATCGCCTCTGGTCTATTTTGGGGAAATCCTGCAACGTGTTTAAGTTTTTAGTCTGCTAACGATACATCTAAGTTCTGCTCTGGATCAATATTGAGTAGAATTCCATGACAGACTGTAAATCTGTGGCCACACCAGGACATATATTACATTCTCAATGGGATCATGGGTATGTGAGCAATTAAGAATGGCTCAAACTATTCTGTACAGAGGCAATATTGGCCCTATGAGCTGGCTCCCATGGAAATCTCGAATTTAGAACCAGTGCTTGAATCTGACATTTGTTTTTACATTATCAGAGTTCTAGTCTTGATTTCAGCCTGGCAAAAACACTCAAGGTGCAAAGCAAGACCATAGAATTGTAGAGTTGGAAGGGGAACCAAGGGTCATCTAGTCCAACCCCCTGAAGTGCAGTAAACCAATGAGGGGTGTGGCCTGGGGAAAGTCCTGAGGGCCAAACGGAGAGAGACCTGGAGGGCTGCATTTGGCCTCCAGGCGTGAGGTTCCCTATTCCTGCATTGGACTATGTGTAAATCAGGATAGGAACTGACACACCAGTCCATTACTGGTCCCTGTCAATTTCCTATTTGTTCATTTATAAATCCCTTCCATTCTCATTCCATATTACTTTGTGATTACAGCATTTAAACATGCATGAAAATCCATATTTAAATGGTATTGAAACAGTTTAAGATGAAATCCATTAGAAATTGTACTGTTTCTTTTTTGAGTCAAGAACTGCAAGACTGAGTGGAATTCAAAGGGAAATTATATTCTAATCTGTGATTTTGTCTAGATTTGCGAATTTGGTTGGTTCTCTTATTAAAAATGCAAACTAAACAAAATTATCCTTTCTTTGTGAATTAGGATACTAGTTGGCCTGATCTATACCGCCCAGACAAATGTACAAATCAGAACATAGATAGTCTTCAGATCTCACACTTAATTGATTTTTGCTATGCTTTAGCATCAAAATGCATATTTTGAGCTAAAATATGCATAAGAGAATATACATTTACAGATGTATATTTTATGAGAAAGTATGTTAAAACGTGCATTTAAATGAGAATTTTTAAAAAGCAGATAAATGTAGAAACTGGGGTGGGGCGGATTTATGAATGGACACATAGAAAAGTGACACAGATAATCTGTGATAACTATAAAAAACTGATCTCTTTATTTCTAACTGTTATAAAATAACGATTCTGAAAAATGGGTACCTGATCCTATGGTTATATAACACTATTTCATGAAGCATGAAGAAAGTTAAAGAAAGCATCATAAAAATGGTCCTAAGATACACTGTGTTTGGGGATACTTTCGTGTTTTGTTCTGCAGTTTAATCTTGAAGTCATCCCTAGGCAGGCTTTGTACAGTGCTGAAATTTTGCACACAAACTCCCCATTGCATGCCACATTCTGAAGCAACCACCCTGGTGGCATATTTGCAATCTTCTAACTTCGAAAACAATTTGCCACTCTTGCAAAGAGATCTGATAGAGATGAGAAAGCATACAAGCAACGTTTGGAATTAAGCACGGCAGATATATGTACAACATGAGCACTAATCTCAGATTCCTTTTCGCTGTTGTTGTTGTTCAGGTCATTGAGCGTTCATCAGATAGTAACAAGACTGGCTACCAGAAGGCATCTTTCAAGCCTTGTTGCCTTATCTTGGGCTTTTGATTGCGAACGCAAAAAAAGAACAAAAGAACAAAAGAAAGAAAAAGGAAAGGAAAGGAAAAAGACAAATCGGAAGTGACTGTAGATAACAGGAGTACATGGCATTAAAACTCACAGTAAGCACACTATCTGAGTAACACAGAGACTCAGAAAATGAAATCCATGGCTAATTGTATTTTAAAATAATGTTCTCAACCTAAACTGACAAGAAAGGAATTTACAGTATACACAGGGGAAAACCTTGTTGCTGAAAATCTCATAAACAGCATCTCTTGCCATCTTAATGAAATAGCGATCTGGAATGAAAACGCTGCTCAGCAAAGTGGTACCTGAGTCAACTCTTTCTAAAGAATGCTTCGGTCTCTCAAAATCAGCACTTTAAGACCAGCTCATTACCTGACCTTTTGTGCTGCTGCCACACTCCCTGCTTTGTTGTTTTGCAGGGATGGGCTAATTGGAGTTGTAATCCAAAACCTCTGGAGAGCACCAGAGTTGGCAAAGATAGAAGATGGAGAAGGAATACAGGCATAGATTTCAAGATAGGGATTAGGTGGTTATCTAACCAGAAGCAAGGTTTTCCATCCCCATTCCAGTAACTAAGGCTATAGTCCTACGCTCACATAACCTGAGATTAAACCCCATTGAACTCAATATACATGTAAACCACTAAACTACACCAACAACATGTGGAGCTAACATTTGACTACAGCTTCTGCCACTGCAGATATACTTTGCGAGTGTTTGTTACTTATACGAACCACAGAATAGTTGTCTGTGATCCTCCTCAAGCATGGCAGCTTGGCACAGGTTCCTTTTACCTAAAGCATCCATCGCTGGGAGGTCACAATCATTAAACAGAGCATGAAAGAGAGAAAGGTTCTATGAGTATTTACTTGGCATAGGCTTTTTCAAGCAGTGGCGGCCAGAATTCATTTCTGCTCCGGGGATGAACGGATAAGTATTCTCCATTGAGAAAAGGCAGCCGGTCATCTATCACCACATCCAGCCAGTCTCCAAGGTACCAGAACTTGGGGAACAAAACAAAAACAAAAATAGAAGAAGGATAAGCTTCTTTTATGAAGAAGATGAATTCCTTCTAGGCCAGGTGTGGGGAACCTTTGGTCCCCCAGATGTTGCTGGACTACAACTCTCATCATCCCTGGCCATTCACTATGCTTGCTGAGGCTGATGGGAGTTGTAGTTCAGCAACATCTGGAGGGCCAATGGTTCCCCATATGTTTAATGTTTGATTTTGTTTGTTTGATTTGTATTTTTGTTGGAAGCCTCCCAGAGTGGCTGGGGCAGCCCGTCAGGTGCGCAGGGTATAAGAAACAAGTTTTTTATTTAATTTTATTATCCTAGAAAAGAGAAAGTGCCGTACAGTTAAGCTACCCTTATAGCATGCGTGGGTTGTCCACAGCTAGCACTTTCCCAGCACAGGAAAGCTTTCTGACTGAAAACTCTAAATGCCAATCCAATGAGTACACAGTAAACTGTGTTCTACTAGACAATTGGTCCTTCCCACTCAATATTGTCTACCTCAGAGGTAGTCAACCTGGTATTCTCCTGATCCTGTGGACTAGCACCTCCATCACCCCTGGTGTTATGTATTGAGTGGTCTGTGTTTGCCTGAGCTTGAGTCTGGACTAAGGATTCTGAGCCACTGTGTTCTGATTCGATACATGATATCCAATCACAGAACATTTCAGGATTTCGGCCTCTGCCATTGGCCCTTAAACTCTGAGTCATGATTCGCAGCTTGGAAGTTTAGACAGCCAATCGCATTGGGAGTGGAAGTGGCCCAGGCCTTCAGAAATGTATATAAGCAGTTGTTTTGACCCTGCTGTCCAGTTCTCTTAGTTCAGTAAAGGTTCTTGCTGTCATCACTGTGTCTTGCCTTGTGGGAACCCACCTACACTTCACCTACCATTGGCTATGGTGGCTCGGGAGTTGTAATCCATATTTGGAGGCCACATTGTTGGCTGCTCCTGGTCTATGGATGGGAAACATTTGGTGCTCGAGATGTTATTGAACTCTAGCACCCATCAAACACAATCAGCATGGCCAACATCTGGAGAGTCACAGGTTCTCCATCTCTTGGCAATGACTCTTCACAGTCACACTCTTCTTCAGACAGGGCTCTTTCTCAGCCCTACCTGAAGATTGCAGGACTTGAACATGGGACATTTCCTATGCAAAGCATCCGTTCTGCCACTGAATTGCAACCTTCCTCCATAGGGTCCTTTATGCCCCATGTGCCATTTGCCTCAAATGGTGTGTTATAGCTGCTTCTTTGGATCCAGTTCAGCCTCCATACGAACCACAACCAGCTCAGAAAGTCTGTTTCTCAGCCTCCTATGGACAGAGAAGCAGTTGACAAATTGTGATGTTATTTTCAATACTGGAATGCTTGTTTGAGCTTGTGAAGCTTTGAAAGTGCCATACCATTTTCATTCTTTAAACTGGGTTTTTTCCCCACCTGTCAATAAGCTCTTCTAATTGCAATTTAAATTACTATTTTTGTGGAGCATTTCATTGATTTGTAAGAAGCAATGAAAATTAAAAGAAAAAATGAGCTTAAGGGGACTGTCCCTCTGCCAACTAGGTGGCAGGAGGCAAGGTATTTGAAATTGCCAGATTTCTTTACTCAAATAGATTCAGAATTATGACATCTGTTTGGAAGAATAAAACACTAATAGAAAGAAAACAAAATGGAAGTATCCCCTTTTTTACTGGTTTTGCAAAACCATGCTTCCTTAGAGACAGAAAGGAGTAAGGTTGCCCCATCTGCTCTGCTGCAAGACCTCTTCCATCAGGTTCCACCTTCCCTCAACTGTCTCATAACAGGAGTAATTCCTACAGGCTGCGGGAGAAAGGGGAAGCAGCCTCTCTTAGTCTAAGCCACCTCGTATGTCAGGCTTCGGGAAATTGGCTTCCTCCCCCGTGTCGTGTCAGTAAATAAGCAGATCAAATGAAAGTCTTACCAGTTAGTTTCTTTAATAAACACAGCGAGAAACAAAAGAAAGTGGAGGGGAATGCTGCCCAGAGACTGTGAATCTGTTTCAATCTCTCTCTTCCAGTGTTTCTTCTGCTAGCTGTTCCCCACCCAGTATTTCCTAGCTTCTGCCTTCTGAACTATGCCCCTCTGCAAACCACTGTTCTAAATCTATACTGTCCTCCTCCTCCTCCTGGGAAGATTCAAGGTCAGGGGGAGGGAGTGGCTCCTACCATTCTTCTTCAGTGCACTCCTCCTCAGAACAGTCCCTGACATCATAGGGATGTTGTGCATCTGAACCCACAGGTATGATTTACTTAGCTGTAATGTTGCAATAATACACAAGTTCTCAGAGAAGGCTGGAAACAAATTATTTTCACACAATAAGGTCAATTGTCACCCAGTTCTCTGTTGATCTTCCATTGCAATTAACTACTGATTACATATAATTTGCTTTCCGATTTCCTTTGCTTTTCTGAAATTATTGGGGGGGGGGGGGTAAACAATATTCCTGTTCAGTTTTTTTAATAAGAAAAAAGAGAACAAAAGCCCATCAAATATTGATATCTACTGTAAAATAAGATTGCCATAGTAAGCTATCCTCTGTCTGTTGAACGGCTGGAAAGGAGTCTGCTGGCCACTTAAGCAGCTGGATGGTACAGGTGCTCTTCTAGCAAATTCATGTGAATGAATTTGCTGAAGTGTTTCAAGAAAGAAAGCAAAGATAGAGTTCGCTGGGGACAAACCAAAAGATCCATTTTTGCAATCATTAGCAGGTTAATGTAGTGTGTCATGCCTTTGCTAACAGCATGGGACAAAATCTCCATAGTTGCAGCATCAAGATATAAATTGATGTGTCTGGGATAAATTTGTCACAGTTGTGGCTATAACTTCCAAGGCTGGGGCCTAGGAAAGGAACAAGGGTGAACAGAACATGGCCATGTTTCAACATGAAAGGGAAATGAGGAATACTGGGGCAATCCTGTCAGATGCTTCATTCCTTCTTTGCTTAACAGCATGTTCCTAAGCAGAGATCATCTGAATAAAATGCAGTTTTGTGAATATTTGCCACAATATCCCAGCCATCCTAAAATCATGGCTCTAGTACCAGGCTGTTTCCGAAGTACAAACAAAAACGGGATTGTAAGCTTCCCAGGGTAGATCATTGGAGTTGCTTTGGTTTTGAATCCACATCTGTGATTCATGTTGATGCTGAGTAATAATTTCCACTCCTTATACACAGTGTTTTGTAGCATTATCTTCTTTTCCCTTTCCTCTGCTCCCTGTTAAAATGTAATTTTGGAGAAAGTGGCCATAGCTCAGTGGTAGTACGTGTAGGTAGTACATGAAGACAAACGGTCCCGGGTTCAGTGTCCAGTTTCTCCAGGTAGATCTGGATAGGTAAAGGACCCCTGGATGGTTAGGTCCAGTCAAAGGAAACTATAGGGTTGCGACACTCATCTCACTTTCAGGTCGAGGGAGCAGGTGTTTGTCTGCAGACAGCTTTCCGAGTGATGTGGCCAGCATGACTAAACCACCTCTGGCACAATGGAACAGCACGACGGAAGCCAGAGCACATAGAAATGCTGTTTATCTGCTTGCACTGGTGTGCTTTCAAACTGCTAGGTTGGCAGGAGCTGGAACAGAGCAACAGGAGCTCACTCCACCACGGGAATTTGAACCGCTGACCTTCCAATCGGCAAGCCCAAGAAGCTCAGTGGTTTAGACCACAGCGCCACCTGCGTCCCAGAGATCTGGATAAGACCCATCTGAAACCATGGAGAGCTTCTAGACAATGTGAAAAACATCAAGCTAGATAGTTCAAAGATTGGACTCAGCAGAAGGAAGCTCCCTTTGAATTCCTGGGGTCCTGGAGCCAGCAAGGGTTACAATCTAATGGAGATTCTATTGTTGAACCAGCCAGGCAAGCTTCTTGGTGAGTTAAGGGCAATAGTTGCCACCTAAGTATGGTCTTTAAGGGATGTGGGTGGCGCTGTGGGTTAAACCACAGAGCCTAGGACATGCCGATCAGAAGGTCGGCGGTTCGAATCCCCACAACGGGGTGAGCTCCCGTTTCTCGGTCCCTGCTCCTGCCAACCTAGCAGTTTGAAAGCACGTCAAAGTGGCAGTAGATAAATAGGTACCGCTCCGGCGGGAAGGTAAACAGTGTTTCTGTGCACTGCTCTGGTTTGCCAGATGCGGCTTAGTCATGCTGGCCACATGACCCGGAAGCTGTATGCTGGCTCCCTCGGCCAATAAAGTGAGATGGGCGCCGCAACCCCAGAGTCGGTCACGACTGGACCTAATGGTCAGGAGTCCCTTTACCTTTTCCTTTAAGTATGGTCTTTAGTATAACAAAGAAGTTGCTCCATGCCAGAGGTCAAATGGGCAGGCTCTCTCCCTCACTGGGTGGGTAGTGAGAAATACAATAGCCAGTGTGTGTGAGAGAGAGCTAGGCTAGAGGCTGCAGGCAGGAACTGAGAGAGAGCTATGCTTGATTTCGGATTGAATTCAAGGCTGTGACTATGGGAGAAGCAAGAATTTTGGGGGGCATTTATGCTGTGAGCCCCTCCATCTTAGGCTGAGGTTGCATATACGTGTAAATAAACCATATTTCATAAAGGCACCACAGTCCTGGTTGTGTTCCTCATTCAAAGCAAGCCAGATTCTGGGCACATGCCTGGAACTCCTGGAATCTCACACCATTGGTGATTGGGGTGGCTTGCAAGAATATAGTTATGGCTGGTGCCACTGGCCAAGGGCCCCTGATCTAAGGGATGCCCACTGCCCAAGCCTGACATACTGCCACCACCAACCTAGGGTATCTGATTTAAATGCAGAGTGGGAAATCCTATTGAATAGTAAGAATTCTATTCTTGCCTGTATGCTCTTTTGATTTAATATGCTCAAGAAACATCTACCAAAAAAGGGTGGCTGAAGTTTGAAACAAAAGGCAGCATTTGATGTCTCTCCAACCTTCTATACCTCCCAAATTATTTTTTAGCTTGAAACGGTGATCAAGGTAGCCAAGTTTAAATTTTGCATAACAAGAGCGAGAAAGGTTTTGGATGCAACTTGCATTTATCTGAACCATCAAAGTGAAAGCACAGCTTCAAGCCAGGAAAAACAATCCAATTTGTTCTACCTTTAATCATTGTTGCTGATTGGCAGAGAACAAATGCATGGAGACACTCGGAGTACCATCTTTCCAAGCTCTTTGATGCTGGAGGGCTTTTTTCATCAGTCAAAAGCTCATGCCAAACAGCTAGTAGCACGAGGCGGCTGGCCTATTGACTATGAAGGTTTAAGGTTGAAACGGCAATGCACCTTTGTTCAAACACCGCAGAAAGCAGTGGGGCTAAAGTGCAAACAAGAAGGCGTCTTTCAAGAGATTGCAGCCATTTTATCTGGATATTGGAAGATTTCCAAGGATCAAGAGTAAAGTTCACAATAAAACAGAAATCCCCCTTTTATTTGGTGATTAATTCAAGCTCTCCTGTTTCGCACAAAGGAAAGGAAAACCATGCTGTGGAGCTGTTAGGATCCCTTGAGCTACACAATTTTGTTTAATTTGTTAATTGCAAAACTTGTCAGTACCATTCTTTGTTGTTTTTTCAAAAGCACGCCATGTGATCTAGAAAAAAGGGTGAACCAATAAAATTGCTACAATTCCACAAAACCCCAGAGGAAGAGGGGTTGAGAATTTGATAGGCTAGGCTTCTTTCAGCTCCTGGCCGGGCATAATGAACTGCAAGCAAGAACAATGAAACCAAGCTAAGCAATGGCTTTGCCCCTAAGGCAGGGCTGGGGGAATTCTTTGGTCTGGTGAGCCAGATCTGTTCCCCCGCCCATCCCCAGGTGAGAAGGGCTAGCACAGCAGGGGCGTTTCATTGATTTTGCTGCCATGTCTCCCCCACGTTGAGTTCCCTGCATCTTACCTCTTTCCCTCTCAGTAACTTGCATCTACACTTAGGGTTGGGAACCCAGGTGAGCAATGCGACCCCGTCTGCACCTCACCGCCACCCGCCGAACATACGCATGAAAATACATCAGGTGCTTTATGACTAATCTCTGTGGATGGGGATGTTAAATCAGTGCTTTCCAATTTCTCAAAGTCCTTTGAAGTAATATAGAAATGGCAGGCACTATGACTGAAATAGAAAATAGGCTTTTTTATCTCTTTGTGGGAGGAAATGGTGCATTCTTTACCAAGTTGCATAAAAACTAATTATCAAGCTGTGCTGCGCTAGCAGCAACTTTGAAGAGATAATATAAGAACATTATGGACAAAGATGTTTGATTCAGGGGTAGGAATGTTTGGGTTGGTCTTTGTTTGGTTTAGCTTGATCTTCTTGTCAGAAGAAAAGTAGATGCAGGTGTACTGAGTTCCTGATAAGAGGATAGTGGGAAATATTTTCAAATACCATAATAAATTCTGCTTCTTAATAAGAAGACTGGAATGCTCTTAAATAATGCGTACAAGCTTTTCATGAAGTAATTCCAGAGTCTATTTTAAACCTTTATTGGAGAGAGTAATTCAAAGTTGTGTTGTGCTGAAACCTCTGGTTTCTCAAAAGTTTTTATTTCTTCCCAAGAGAGGCTACTTACTATATGTTGGAAGCTGCCCAGAGTGGCTGGGGCAACCCAGTCAGATGGGCAGGGTACAAATAAAAAAGTTGTTGTGGTTCTGCCTCATTCACAGGGTGTTTTAGAATTTAATAATTATTTTGGTGAGTTCAAGATGGAATGCACCTTATCATTGTGAGGTAGTCAAAGATGGTGCATGTGTGTGCCTTTTAATTTACATTAAACCAGGTGTGAGGAACTTTGGCCCTCCAAAGGATGCTGAATTACAATTCACATCATCCCTGGCTATTGGTCATGCTGACTGTGGCTGATGGGAGCTGTAGTTCAGCAACATCTGGAGGGCTAAAGGTTCTCACACCTGCATCAAACATTTCTCAACTGCTCTGCAGCCTCCCTGGCTGTTTGGTCTTCCTGATCTGAAAAGACCACCATAACATCATGATGTCTTGCTCTACCTAGCACAGGGTGCTAGATACCAACTGCCTGAGATTGCCGCACTCACTGATTTTGTTTTTGAAGGAACTCCTTTTGCACCTAAAAAAACACCTTTCCACACTGATTGTAATAAAAGTAACAAGATTTCACATTAAAGAAATGCAGGAAAAACAAATAGCTGTGAGGCACAAGGCAGGCAGACTCCCTGTTTTCCTGTTCTTACTGGAAAGCCCACCAAAAGATTACATGCAGTTCATCTGGGAAGGCTGTTGAATGCTGACCATTGGAGAGGTCTTGCTGAATGAAAGAAAAGGGCATTCACTAAAATGCTCAGCCATCTTGAAAGTGGGGAAGGCTCAGTTAAAATTCTGCAGCAAGCCTATCAGAACTTCATTGTTGTTGCTCTTTCTCTGATAATTTTCTACTGCAACTTTTTCCTCATTAGTTGATGGAGAGTGGGAGTGGTAAAAAAAAAAATCAGTATACAGTATGGCAAAGCCATATATTAAGGCAAAATGTATACAATAGTTAGGGTAGGTTATCCAGATGAATCAAACATCCATAGCTCTGCCCTATCCAGAGCGACACTATTACTTACAGTAGCTAGATCTAGTCCATAGTTGTGTTGACTGTAAAGAGGGCCAAATGACTTAAAATTGTTAGAATTTTCATTTCCCTGGAGGGACCTTTTAATTAATTATTTTATGTATATTTAACTTTTACATAATTTAATTAAGATGTTCTGTATTCTCTCTATATGCTATGTTTTTGCTCTTAAACCTACATTTTGATTACTGACTGTGGCAAGCATGAAATAAAACACTACTTTTAACCGCAAGCAGCTATAGGTTCTGGAGTTTCATCTGAAAACAAAATGACACAACGCCAACATACTCTTTTACATACCCGAAAATGAAAAATCCCTGCATAATTGTGTCGGAATCCTTGGTCTCTTGGAATCACGTTTTCCAGGAACCGTGGTTGTAAGGTCAAAGAACCAAGAGCTGCTAGAACCCAACAATCACCTTGGAAAAGATAAGACGGAGGTTGTAATTAATTCCACAATCAATCTACTACACCCTCTCCTAGCAGGCATTGATTTTTCCAAAGTTCATAATTACTTGGTTCAGAACATAAATTGTACAACTTGCAATGGTTGTCTATATTTGTTAAAGGAGAAACATTTCCCTCAAATGTTATTCACAGGAGTTCTGTTCAGGTCTAATTAGGCCCAGAAGGTATCCTAATTTAGCCCATGAGGCTGTTTTCCCCAAGCCGTGTCCTCCTGCCCTATGCCTGTTGTCATAGATGAAGTCCACCATGGGGCAGGTAAGGACACGGTTCCTTGCCAAAAAGAAGGGTTTGATCAACCAATTGGCAGTGCCTAAAAACTCCTGTGTCCAGGGGCATAGCTAACTGGCCCGGCACTGGGAGTGGTGGGAGTGGGGCAAGCTGCCCACGGGGGTGGGGCGATCCGTGCATGGGGCCAGCGTGGCGATCCGCCCAGGGGGGTGCCACACCCAGCTGCCTGTGCAGTCCGCCTGGCGGACGCAATCCCCACACTGCCATTTCGGGCAGCGCAGGGCCTTGAGCCACCACATCACTCCCAGGAGAAATGTGTGGCTCGGACGCGCTGCAGGCCAGGCCCCGCAGTAAGTGCCGCCCCTCCCCCTGCGGTGTGCCATTTGGTTACCCCCTCAAGGATGATACCCGGGGCAGACCACACATCCCACACTCCCCTTCCTAAGCCCCTGCCTGTGTTTTTCCCTGCGTGGCTTGATTTCAAACAACCCAGGTTTGCAGCCTGCAGCCTGCATGTTTAAATAGGATTTAAAACTGATTAAACATATAGTGAAGGGAAAAGAAGCACATCCCCATCTCTTCCTATGCACAAAAGGGCCAGACATCACTCTCCCATACATGTAAAGTAAGGGAACCAGCACAGACAGGCTGCAGATCACCACCTGATGATTCACAGGTTTATTTTTCATTCCCTTCTGGACAATCTTTTTTAATCACTAGCTCCCTCGCTGACATTTCCGCCTGAGCATCTCAGCAATGTGTCAAACTGAACTCTCTGTCTTCTTATCCAGACCTTCCCTCTCTGCCACACTTTTCTGTCACTGTTGAAAAATCCTATTATCTCCCCTACCTTCACCGAGCACAACTGTGGGGCCATCTTTGGCTACTCTTTTTCATTTTCTTCCCACATCCAGGCTGCTGTTAAATCATTCCACTCACTCCTTCATTTGCAGCCTGTACAAAATTTACCTTTTCTTTTCGGAATCGGCTGCGAAAAACCTTTTGCATATCCAGGTCATCTCTCATGTAGACTTTCTCCATTTTCTGCTCACTAGTTTCTCTCCTGCATCTGTTGCAATAATTTTCTCTTCCATCACAGTGACCAAATGACCCCTTACTTTCGGTCTCTGCACTGACTCAGTCAGCATCACTTTGCAGGGCGCTGGCTCACCTGTTTTCTCTTAAGGCAACTGCATTAACTTTATCTGTTCCCTCATCCCAACTTACTTCTCTCCTCTCAACCTCTGCTCTTCACAAGCCTGTTATAATTAGAGCTGAGCTGAAATTTCTCAGCAGGCTTTTTATTTCTCTGAGACCATTTCAGATATTTTTCTTTTTCTCATCCCTGTCCCTGGAAAAAGGTCACTTTACAGTATTTTCTCCGAAGTCTCTACCATTGTTTTGGTGGTGGTGTTGGCTGCCATTTTTCTCCCACAATGCCCCACAGCTATATAAGGTCTGCATCATGCGCAGGATGCAAAACAAACAAAACAGCCTCAGAGACAACAAACAAACAAACAAATGAAAACAGGTGAGGGGGGGCTTATGCTTTGGCACCCCGCAATGAACTGTTGGAGAATGTCTCATTTCCATGAAAAAAATAAGAGAAATGGTTTTGCCCACAGATAAGGTAGAAACAGGCTATCTCAAGACTCAAATAGCCCCTTAAACAATTAATGCAGAAAACAATGCTTTCTATAGCATTGCAATAAAATAAGTAGATGTTGTTAGGCTATAGTAACAGGTGCACTCTTGGTTTGCAGGCCTGCAAACTCCCAAGTGCCAGCATAGAATTTGGATCTTACCTATAGGCCCTTGAAGAATATCAAATCTGCTCACAGAATCCACAATCAAAAGAGGGCTCTGGTATGAGAGGATCTCCTTTAAAAGAGAATAACACACATTTCTGTTACTTAATAGAATGCTGATGAACAGCTGCTAATTACGTTCATTTCTTTATACTGTTGGATGAACTTTACTTGACACCTCCTTCCTTGTACTCATGTTTTTCTGTATGTCTGCTCCCCTATAACTTCAGCTGAATGCAATTGAACTGGCTCCCATGTAAATGGAATTAGAATTGCAGCCTTAGTTTCGAGTAGGTGCATTTAGATCTGCAGCCTTCAGTAGGAATGTGGCAGCTCCTATGCATGGCCTGAACTTGATTTGCTCAAATGAAAAATACTAAACATTTTCACTCTGTTTGCAAATATCTGTTCCCGGGTGGCTAACTTAGGATCAAAGCCAATATACATGTGGACAAATGCTTCCACTTTTCACCATAATGTGCTCAAGGGGAGCATGTGCACTTCCCTTCTATAAAAATATACCATCGCATATTGAGGAAGAGCTCACCCATTGCTCCTGTGGAAAGTGAGCACAGAGATGAATGAATCTGTCCATTTCAGTTTCTCTTGGTTTCTCATTTTTCCAGTCTTAAATTCAGTTCTCCACATTTCTGCAGAATTTTGCATTTTTAAAAATAATGGCATCAAATTTTCTTGATTATTATATTAAAGAAAATTTGATAGCGTTTTACTGGAGATTTTTCCGATATGCACTTTGGATTCAGTTTTGATGAATATACATGTTTTTACTAATGACTTTCCCTAATGATGCTTTTTTGTATGTTATGCACTGCTTTTTCCCATCCAGAACTCGCTGGAAGTCAGTTCCTTCACCCCTCAGGTGGGCTCCATTGCCATTTTAAGAGAATGAGGGAGGTGTTCATGGTGAGTTCCAGCACCTCCTTTTCTAGAAAGATAGAGCTGGTTATACACATTTTATGCACACTTTCTTACAGATTTTTCTACACTCAGTTGAATAATTGTGTAATAAAATGCAGAAAAGTGTGGATTTCAAAGGATAATTTTGCACTGGCCTGAGAAGTGCAAGTCAGGTTGTTTCATCACTAAAATGCAGACAAAGTCTCATCCTCCCCCATCCCTAAGTTCACATTCTGCTATTGCATATTAGAATTCACATGAGAAAGTGAAAATGCAAGTCCACCTGTGGTTTTGTGCCTCTATTTTTTGCCATGAACCATAACATGGGGAGTGATCCCAAGCTTAGAAAACAAAGTAATTACTACTGTTGCTAGATATAGCAAATTGCAGCCAGAAAGAGGGCTGCACAGAATAACAAGAAGTCAAGACCAATGAGCGGCAAGTAAATTTTATTAAAATCCAGCTTCCAAATTTCCCAACCCACTTTGAATGAAACTCTGGAGAGCAACAGTTCCTTTGTGGCCAGTAAACCCAAGAGAGAAATGTATTGTGTTTTTTTTACAAAGTTCTCTTCCTCTGATGTAACCTGTAGGAGATTGAATGTAATCAGAATCTTGTTCTTTTTCCTTTTAATTTAGATGTGTCATTTTCTCTGAGGAAGGTTCAAAACACATCAGGAAATTTGGGAACCAACTCCTTAATGCATTTTTCTTGCACACATTGATTTTGCTGTCTCCTTCACAGGTTTGACTGATAACTTGTCACTCTTTTCATTTTCATACTGTATACACAAGCTGATGTTGAAATATGGCTTTAAAGCTTCGAAGACATTTAGATGCATGCATGGTCTGATTGTCTGCAAAGACTGATTTGAGACCAAACACCCTACAGAGATGTCAGTGACCTGCATATTCCAGGGAAATTCTGTAGCCCAGGTGTTTTGTGACTGGCTTGCTTTTGGCCATAATCTTTTCTCCAACGACATGTACAGTCCAATTTAGGAAGAGGAGGATGCAACTGAGAATCAGAAAAGCCCAAGTTCTGTTTTAAGGTCATTTCACTATATCAGAAAATGGAGTGCTTTGCATGCCTCTTAACAACTCAGTTTATTAGAACTGAAAGAGACTTCTGGGGTTATCCAGCCCTGTTCTCTAAGGCAGGAAATTCTTTATGTACAGCAGCCATGGCAAATGTCAATCTGCTTTTTTTAAAAAGCAAACAAACCTCATCTTCATCCCCTCACCCTCAGGAAAAAATATTTTAATGCCTTACCACTGTGCTATGGTCCTTCCTAGAAGGGGAATAATTGCCACAGGTAGAACAGCCATATGCACCAGCCTAACCTCTTCTATTTATGCACTAGTGTCATAAATAGCACAGGGCAGAAAACTCCATTTGGGCAAAATCTATTCTGTTCTTTAGATTAAATAATAATAATAATATAATTGTAGAGTTGGAAGGGAACAAAAGAGTCATCTCATCCAATGCTCTGCAATGCAAGACTCACAGCTGAAGAATCCCTGACAGATGGCTGTCCAACTTTTGCTTAAAAACCTCCAATGAAGGACCTGCCAACCACCATCTGAGGTTCTTTCCACTGCTGAACACCTCTTACTATCAGAAGAGGTTCTTCCTAATGGTTAGTTGGAATCTGCTTTCTTGTAACTTGAATCCATTGGTTTGGGTCCTACCTTCCAGAGCAGCAGAAAACATCTGTGCTCCATCTTCCATGTGACAGCCTTGGTTTCCAGAACCTTGATCATCTTGGTTACCCTCCTCTGCGCCCATTCCAGCTTCTTTTACTGTTATTACATTTCTATGCTGCCTTTCTTCCCTCCAAGGTGACAAACCTCCCAGGGGATCACCCCATCCAAGCCTTGGACATAACTTTTAAGCAAGGTGGTGGCCTCCTATGCCTTCAGGCCATACCCCGGGATCTCAGTGCTTACACTTGAGAACATTGTGCAAGGAATCTGAAGACTGGGCTAATAATAACTACTCTGCGTGATTCACAGCTCTTTGGCACCCCAAGTTGCTATTTCTCAACACCACAGGAAGCTGCTTTTCCTCTTGTCAGTGTTGGCAAGTAAACTGGATGTGTTTTTATGGAGGTCGCTGTAGATTTGAACCCTAAAGTCCTCCCTCGCTCAGTATTACTGGGGAAAAAAGTCCATTTGTTTGCTTGTATTCAGTCAGCTTAATGAAATGGAAACAACATTTCCTGCCTGTGACTGCTTAATAAGAGAAGTGTCACTGCCTAGTCAACTGATTGAATTAGATGTAGATTTTGGCAGTAATTGATGTGTGCCGAGGAGAAGCAACATTAGTTACCATTTGCACAAGTTTCGCATCTGTAGCGCAAGACCTTTAGGAAAGGGCATGACTCATTGCACTGGAGCCGGTTTTCCTTTCCTAAGGCATAATCCAGAGAAAGAAGAAACTTCTCCCTTAGGTTTGATTGTCAGAAAATCTCTTGTGATTTTGTTAACCTTTCCCTACAATATGCAGCACAGCAAACTTGACTGAACCAACTGGAGCATGATTGTTAAATCTCTTTGTTTTGTCTGGTATGGTGCATGTTCCTGTTCTTTTGTTTTTTTAAGACATCTGGGGGTCTCTGCTACATTGTTAAGGATGGTGCATCAGGGACAGGGAAGGTGTCGTCGTTCGTTTATTGCTGCATCATCCCAGGCTTGTTGGATATAGGTCCAACAACATCTGGGGAGCCACAGGTTCACCCCCCCTAATGTATATGGTGCATGCTTATGTGCAAGACCTTAGACTCCAGATCCATAGAGACCTACAGACTATGCTCTTGCTTCCTTTGATTTGAGAACCTAACTAAAAGGCATTACCAAAAGATTGCTTGCGAGCTCTTCTGGCACAAATGGGAGACAAATGGACTGGATGAGCTTCAGGCAGAGTTTCTGGCTGATTAGAATGAAAGCTGCCCCTGTACCTTTAACTGTGATTTAATCTACAGATATAGAGGCGAAACTTTCCATGGCATGAATTTCAGTATTATCATCTGCTAACATCAGCAGATCAAGCTGTTATTTAACAGTGCAGGAGTAGGAGCCAGTAGAAAGATGGCAACCCCTATCTCTCCTAACCCTATATTCCCAAACCATACTGCAGAAGAGGCTAACCTGTAGTCCTGTACATGTTGTCAGACTCCAGTTCCCATCATCCAGAGTCAGCATGGCCAATGGTTAGGGTGGGATCAGGAGAGTTGTAGTCCAACAACATCTGGAGGACCACAGGTTCCACACCCCTGCCATGAAGACTGACCAGAAGCTCAAGGAGTGCCATGGAAGTTAACTAGGTGTGGAACTGCTCATCATCACCTGGCTAGGACTGCTCTGAGAGCCTCAGAAAAGCCGGTCTAAAAAAGAAAGAGTGGGATTTCAGTAAATTCAGCACCAATGCATTCAGTAATTTGCATCAAGTGGTAGAGGGCATGGATGTCTGGTTCAAGAAGGGCGTCAAAGATGAGTTTTGTGCTCCAACCCGGTTCCCCTTCAGGGACTCCCGTTATCAAATTGGCTCACTTTACAAGTCAAAACAAGTTGTTTCTAGCTGTCAGCACTGCCTGGCATCTGCAAATCAAGCTGTGTTCTCTCTGCTTTATGCATTACCACCAGCTATAAAGATCCCAGACTCTGAACGTAATTGGCAATTCTCTTGTTGATGCCTGAGATAAAATTGAAGCCCGCTTCACTCCTCAGCTGCTATATTGGAACTGGAATGGTGACAGCGGGGGTGGGGGGAGTTATCTGTCACTTAAATAACCAGATACTGCATGACTCAGAAGATGCAAAACAAGCAGAGACATCTTGGATTGAGGTGCAATTTTTCTTTACTGTCAGTTTGCTAAACCAACCATTAATGACTGGCAAAATTGGGGGGGGGGGCAGCTAAGAAAAGATATAGCCATAGGGCAAAAGTGTTAGTCTCACAAAAGTGGGCTCATTAAATTGCTTATTGGGGCTTGCAATTAAAATTAATTTCAATATATTGCTAATTTGTATAGATTTACATGCAAAACCTTTGAAATGTGACATAGTCCCTTGACTGTTACTAAACTTCAAAAAACAAGCATACCCCACACTCATAGATACACTATAAAACAAAGGGGAAATGACTCTTACACCTTTTTTAAAAAATAAATAAATCCACATCTACCCCCATCCTGCCCTCACTAGTACACATTTCAGTGATGTCAACAACTTGGATGAAGGAGAGGAAGGAGAAGGTATTTCATGTCTGAGCAGTGTTCTATAGTGGTTAGAGCAGTGGATTAGGACTCTTGAGGGTAGGGCTCAAATCCCCACTCATCCATGAAACTTGATAGTAACCTACCTCACAATGTTGTCTGAGGATAAAGCCTTTACATGCATACAGAGGAAGGACCATAGATCAGCAGTGCAGTGGTATTTCTGTTTACAAACTTAATTTGTTCTGGAGGTCCGTTCTTAACCCAAAACCGTTCTTAACATGAGGCACACTTTTGCTAATGGGGCCTCCCACTGCTGCCGCACTGCCAGCGCATGACTTTCGCTTGCTACCCGGTTTTGCTACCCGGTTTTGCTACCCGGAACACCTACTTCCGGGTTAGAGGAACTCGTTACTCGAAGCGTTCGTAAGGAGAACGGTACGTAACCCGAGGTTCCACTGTATTTATTATTTTTCCCTTCCCCCCTCCTCATTTTCTGTGACCGGTGCAGAAACATGGTGGCAAGGGGTTTTCCTCTCTTTCCCTCTTCCCTCTCCTCCTTCTTATTCTCTCCTCTGAGGAACACTGGGCAACCTGAGAAGGAGGAGGAAATGCCCCTTTCTGATTCAGAATTAATGAAAGCCCCTTTTTAGCATTCTTTCAATGTATGATGATATGACCTCAAATTTCCATTTGAAAATTGGAACAGGGTCTATCATGTCCACGAATATAGAGCTGTCTGCATGATCAGAACTCTATGATAGCCACCAACGTAGAGGATTAGACAAATTCATGGAAGGTAAGGCTACTATTAACCCTTATGGCTATGTTCTACTTCTACTGCTGGAAGCAGTGTTCTTCTGAATATCAGCTACTGGAAACCACAGGAGAGATCGCTGTTGCTTTCAGAGCCTCCTTATGGACTTCCCATAGGCATCTGGTTGGCTCTTATGAGAACACGATGATGGACTAGACTGACCACTGGCCTGATCCGGTTGGCTCTTACGTTCTAATGTGCATACTGTTGTATGCCCATAGGTACTGTTCTAACTTTCAAATGAACTTGTCATGGCTGGAAGTAGAAACAATATACACAATCCTCTTTTTCTACTCCACTTTTTAAAAAAATGCTTGGCAAGGGCTAATCACACCAGAGCTTGCAGTTAAATTTTGAGTTTAACTACTTTACTAGGAACATGGAGCCGATAGTCTGCTGTAAAACTTGGTGTTGGTGAAAGGCAAATATATTTCCTTCTCTTGAGTTCATAATTGAGGCATGCATTACTTTGAACTACCAGAGGGCACTGTTTGTATAGCAAGCTAGCCAGCACTTGTTTGCAGCTCTCTGTCTAAGGTAATGCCACCTCTAAAAGCTGAGCAAAATTTTGTTTGCTGTTTATTGTTGAGACAAGATGTCTGCTATTTCTCTCTTTTCATCTCTGCTCATCCTGGAAATAGTTCCTGCATGAATAAAGCCTTTGAACTCCAGAAACTATAGATGGTTATTCCACTCTAATTTACGAAAGCTGCAAGGTCTGCTAACACTTGGTAGCTACTCACAGTTGGTCTCCGCCACTCGAGTGTATATGGCTTCTTTAGAAAGGGCAAGTGTCCAATGGAACTGCGGTTTACAGGGAATGTCTCATCTTGAAAAAGAACACCATGATTCAGGCAGTGGTCTCTCAACTGAACAAAGTCCTGGTTCTTAAATTTCACAGTGGAAGTCACATTTCCTGCTCTCTCTGACTTTGGCACATCTGGCTCAGGTTTCCTTGGGTACATCTCAGGAGTTGGGTTCCTATTCCTTTCCTGAAATGAAGAAACAATAATGGTGAGGAATATCATTAACCACCATGTCTGAGGACTGGAGCCCAAGAAGGTAGAACTCCCAAACCACAGGGCAGTGAGTGAAATCTCATTATCTGGAAACTTATGTGGATACGTCTGGAATTCCACAAGTATTTGTGCCCCAAAATTTAAACCTTCCCAGAGCAGAAAATTAACAAAGGCTCACTGAGCTGCTGAGCTGCTCCTCACTCTTGCTGTCTCAAGGCATATTAAAATCTCTCATGGCTCTGTTCCTCTTTATTTCCACTGATAATCTCCCAAGTTTCCAAACAAAGCCCTCTTGACACTGCTGATTTCAGTAACTTCGCAGAACATTGTTTTGATCTATGAGATAGCCAAGGCCCAAAATTCAATATAGGAGGCTATTATTAAAAGTGTTCCTGAGATTTATGAGAACATTGGCTTTCCAGTTCCTTCCTCACATTTTATAAGCACACTGGTCACCTCTTACCAACTACAGTCACACCGCAATCCTGTAATTCTGATTGTCAACATCAAAGGGACTGATTAAACACAAAGCGGTGGAGCCTTTGTATATTCCAGGTTCCTTCCATGGAGCTTAACTCCCATTGAAAAGTATTAGACAAAGGAGAGTGTGATCCCACTTAGTGTGAGTGTGGACTGCCATACGGCTCAGAGGAGCCCTCCTGCTCCTCCTTTGAGCTAGAATAATTTCTCAACTGGAGAAGGGCTTGATGGTAGTGTGCCATTGGAGGAAAGGCTGGCATGCAAGCCCAGAAGGAGGAAGAGAAGAAAGCTTGATGGATTCTATGGTTGCAGCTATTTCAGCTGTGGAGACAGAGAGAGGAAACTTGCTCTAGGTATCCTTTTCAATTGTTCCATAAGGCTCTAGCCAGCTCCACCTTTTTAATGTTCTGGCCAATAAGGGGAAAGGCATTGGGATGCGTGACAAGCACAGAGCACACCACTCTAAATATTTGATTAAAAGGTTCCCATAAATTAAACAATTTTGTTTTGAATATATTTGAATAATTTGTGTGTCTTCGGAGGGATGCAGAGCACATGGTGGGATTTTATTTCTTACGCTTCAAACTTAGATGCCCAATATTCACCATCTACGCCATCTTGAGAAATATGGATGCCTTGATTTAGATTAGGGTGTTAACATTTATTTCTCTTATTCCTTATTGTTTGTTTGCTTTGTATATGGAACGATGTAATACCCTGCTCCTGCACCTTTGGGTTGTAAAATGATAATTACAAAAGGATTTAAAAACATAAAAATATAACTGACTGTGAAACATGTTTGCATTTTCACATTGACGTGTGATACTTCCTCACAGTCTTAAATCCTCCCATCATGATATTTCTAGCCACAGCTGTGGAACTCTCTGCCCGCAGAGGTGCATACTGCTTAACCGCCCCAATTTTAGAGGGCTACTTATTTCCATTCTTCCTAGTTACTCTTTTTTCCCATTCAAAAGGTGTGTTAGTCATGCATTTCAGCATCAGTTAATGATTTTTCAAAGGCTCCTCACAAAGGAATTGTCAGTGCTTTGGTGTACATTTCTACTGGTGTTCACATTTCTGTATGCAATTTTTCCTAAAAAGATGCATTTTTCTGGTCTTTTCATCAAAATATGTGCATTTTTATGCACACATTCCCAGAATACATACATTTTTGTACACTTTTCTTTTTTGTTTGCAAAGTTCAGAGCTGTGCGCATTTTTGAAGAAAGGCTACATTTTCAGTTTGCATATTCTGTGGCCTGGACTGAATTTCTCCCTTTTCCTAGCTCCTGGCCTTGCTTCTCATTTTAATAACAAACCCTATAAACCAAGAGCATTTCTGCACATGCTGTTTAATTAAGAGAGACTTTCTTTTTAAAGAGGGAATCAGATGAAATTCAGAAATAACCTTCCACTGACACGAAGAGCGAGCGTTCCTTTTTGGCTTCCATTTCTCTGCACAAAGGAAATAAATCTTACGTAATGTAGCATAACATGACAAGGGAATGGTTTCCCCTTAACAAATACTCATTTGCAACAGTGCTCAAGCCCGCCACATGCAAGGATCTATTTCCTGCAACAGTGTTCCAGCAAAACTGATTACTAATTCCACAACTCAAATTAAAACTAGCAGAGCTTGAAGGCTGGGACTGACACATGCGTTCGTTCTTCTCTCTCCCTCCCTCTCCCTCTCACCCCCTGCGCTGACGGGGAACAGCAAAGAGTTTTTATCATGTGAGCGTGTGTGTTTAATTACATTGTTTAACACATTGGGAATAATTTAGCAAGTGGAGTGAAGAAAATAAGGCACTTAGCTCTCCTCCCTTCCGCAGAACAGCTTCGTCAGCTTCATCAGAATGGTGTCTGGGTATGTACACGGACAAATGTAAAAGCAGTTGTTATGCATGATTAAAATTCACTGCTGGGGGAGAGATATGCTTCACAAAGTGTGTGCTCAAACATCAGAGCAATGCGTTCTCTTGTGCTACTTGCACTTAGGTCATAGCTGTCAATTTTTCCCTTTTATTGCGAGGAATCCTATTCGGAATACAGTGGTACCTCAGGTTACATACGCTTCAGGTTACAGACTCCGTTAACCCAGAAATAGTGCTTCAGGTTAAGAACTTTGCTTCAGCATAAGAACAGAAATCATGCTCCGGCAGCGCGGCAGCAGCAGGAGGCCCCATTAGCTCAAGTGGTGCTTCAGGTTAAGAACAGTTTCAGGTTAAGAACGGACCTCTGGAACGAATTAAGTACTTAACCCGAGGTACCACTGTAAGGGAATTTCCCTTTAAAAAAGGGAAACGTTGACAGCTATGACTTAGGTTCATAGGAAGCTGACTTAGATTTGTCTGCCTAGCCCAGAATTGCCACCACTTCCCTCGGGTCCCAGGCAGAGGTTCTTTCCCATTGTCTACTGCACTGCCCCTTTCTGAATTATATATTTTATATGTATAATTGAGTGTCTTGTTTTAAGGTGGACACCTGTCAACAGAAACCGAGAATGCAACAAATGTAAGAAGAGCCCCACTGGATCAGACCAAAGGCCACATCTAGTCCAGCATCCTGTTCTTGCAGTGGCTAACCAGATGAACGATGAGATTTAGCTCAATGGGATTTTGTTACTAGCACACAGTGCCTTTGCTGTGCCTTTCCTTACCACTCAGGCTCCCACCTGAGGTCTGGTGAGCTCCAGCTGAAAAAAAAGCCCTGTGTTGAAGAATAAGTAGAAGTAGATTGTCTGAAGAGACCCAAGGAGCAATAAGGCCTACATCAAAGTTTCAGCAGAGCTCATAATACTGGAACTGATGAAAGGGTTTTCACCATTGAAGTAGCAGCATATTAAAACCAGCACTTGGTATGTGCCAGGGAACTGGTTGTCCACACACACACACACACACAAAATCGTGTCTGAGATCAGAACAATTGCTATAACATATGCAAAATTAATCTTGTATGGTATTACCTGAATAAAGGAGTTGGTTAAGAAAGCCCACCATCTATGCTGCCAGATAAGGAATATTTGAACACTGCACAGGTCAACATATTGCTCAGATGGGTGTGTGTCAGATTAGATAATGAACTAATCGTTTTAAGATGCCAAAGTAAATTTGGAAAACACAAACAGGAAAGATTATATTGTGTTATGTACAGATCAGCAGCTTAAGCTGGGAGGAAAAGCAACCACTTCCCAGAGATATCGGTAACATAGGGCGACTTTGCACATTTCAACACGCTCAGTGCTTCTGCTGTCTGTTACCACACAGGGAATCCTATAATGTCGTACGAAAGTTGAAGCCTGAGTGCCCAGGCATCGTGTGAGGGCACAGGAGGCCACCAGCTTGCTAAAACTAAGGAGGCCTGGTCAGTGATTAGATAAGAGACAGCCTGGGGACCACATGTGCACAGCCTTGGGTGCCACAATGGAAAAAAGGTAAGATATCCAGAGATAGAAAGAAGACAAAGTCCTTACCAGAGAAGAATGGCAAACTAAGCAGTTGGACTATGCCGAAATGGCAAAACTGACCGGAAAGCTCAGGAACCAAGAAGACCAAAACTTTAATAAAGAATGGGGAAAATTTACAATTTACTTGAGAGACCACTGTAAGCATATGAAAAGATTAGCAGGATTGCAGTAATACTTGTAATGTAAAAATTACTATGAACGAAATGGAGAGATGTAAAACTTGGATGATGAAATAATATGCAGTTGAAAAGGTGGATAATAGGATCCGTGGAGAGGAAGGTGGGAAGTCTAGAGATTTGGAGAAATCTCTAAATAGGGGTATGTATTTGGTAATGTTATAATTCTACATTTGTAAAATCAAATAAAAATTTGATGGGGGGGAAGGTAATAAATAAAAAAGAAAATGAATATATATCTAAATACACCAACACACCCTTAGCCTCAATATGCAATAAGCGCAGTCAATCATCGGTTGCAACCTGCAGGAAGGCTTGATAAGATCATAGGCACCTGTCTTAGACTGAGTCATAGGATCCTAGAATTGTACAGTTGGAAGGGACCGTAAGGATCATCGAGTCCAACCTCTGGCAACAGAAGGAATATGCAGCTGCCCAGTGCGGAGATCAAACTTGCAACCTTGCTGTTATCAGCACCACGCTCTAACCAACTGAGCTATCCAGGTTGACTCTTGCCTAGCTCAGTATTGTCTACACTGACTGGCAGTGGCTCTCCAGGCTTTCAGGCAGAGGTCTCTCCCACCCTTATCTGAAGATGCCAGGGATTGAACCTGGGACCGTCTGCATACAAAGCAGATGCTCTCCCACGGAGCTATGGCCTCCTGGAGCATCCCACTTTGAGATCTGCAGCTGAAATGGCATCTGTTTCCTCACCCCTAGTCCTGTCATATACTCCTTTCCCTGTGATTCGAAACACAACAGGGGAATAAGGTAGAATCCCCAAGTTGCAAACTAGGCAAGAATCCTATTTGTAGGTGATTGCTTTTAACATCCATCTTTTGTACTGAATAGCGTGAGTGTGAACCAGCGCACCTTACGTGTATACGTATGCGCAGACACGCACAACTGAGCCCATCATCACCCATATGCCATCCCTCCCCCAGCCTTTTCATTCTGCTATAGCAGTTTTTGCAGGTGCCGGGGAACCATCTGCTATATATCCAATGGATTGTTCAGTTCGTTTTCGACGTGGCAGTGGAAATGTACAGCAAACAAAGACTGAGAACTTGTTTCTATAATTATAGTTACACAGCTCAATCCCCTTTCCATCACTTTGACAAAATTCTTCTGATGGTTCTTCAAATTGTATATTGAAGTGGTCTTCCCCTCCCCCATTCCCGTTCCTAGCTGCTCACCCTGGCCTCGTCTATATTACTTAACAAAACTGTAGCCAATCTAAAAAAAAGCTATTATAGCCGAAATAAATGAAAAGAGATGCCCAGTTGTAAAAATGTTTGTTTGTTTATTGCAACCCAAAGTGCAAGTCAGCAGTTCTGTATGGCTGGGAAATCCTGTGGAGAGCAGCAGATAAATTTCAGAAGACATCTGGAAATCGCAATTATAAACTGGAGAGTTTGATGCAAAAACTCTGCTGAGCAGAAATCAAACGAGGCTGAAGGACAACGATGGAGCAGACACTTAAGTTCTGGAACAATCATCAGAGCTGAAAGCGGTGAAAGAATCTTTGGAGACAGCTCCATTAGGGGTTGATATTAAAATTGTGACTGAAAAACAAGTGTCTTGCAATAACTGCAAACAACTAACAAACACACTGAATTGTGTTTAGTTTGACATAACATTATATGGGCAGGAGCAGATTGATGCCACAGTAACTGTACAATCCTACCCAAGTTCACTCAGAAGTAGGTCCCAATGAATTTCATTACTTCATGACCCTGGTAAGCATGTGTAAGTTTGCACCCTAAACTGATTAGTCTTAAAGGTGCCACACAGAACTGTTAACAAGGGAACTCATAGGCTTCCCCCCTGTGCACAGAGGGTGGGGGTATAATATTCCCACAAACAGCCTGAGAGCCAGTGTGGTGTAGTGGTTGAGAGCGGTAGTCTTGTAATCTGGGGAACCGGGTTCGATTCCCCACTCCTCCACATGCAGCTGCTGGGTGACCTTGGGCCAGTCACACTTCCTTGAAGTCTCTCAGCCCCACTCACCTCACAGAGTGTTTGTTGTGGGGAAGGAAGGGAAAGGAGAATGTTAGCCGCTTTGAGACTCCTTAAAGGGAGTGAAAGGCGGGATATCAAATCCAAACTCTTCTTCTTCTTCTTCTGTTGTAGAATAAGCTGAAATGGTATTAAGTGGACTATGACCTAGCAAACAAGGGTTGAAATTCATGGGTGACTTTAGATCAGTGACGGTCTCTCTGCCTAACCTTCCACAATGGAGTGTTGTGAAGGAAGTATGGGGAAGAGGAGAACCATGAATGCCCTTATACATTCCTTGCAGGAAAAGTGGCATATAAGAAGTTTATCTCCAGCCTGTCAATGAGCTAGGCTTTGGTTTCAAAAGGCAGAAAGGGTGAAAAGTCGATGAGAAGGCAGAGACAGAGAAAATACAATGCTTTGCAAAATAATTTCACTGAGGTGGAAAATAAAAGCTGCCTAGAGGAGGGAAGAAGAAATACCTTACAATACAACTATTATAGTGGCTTATAGACACACCAGATTTAAGGAGGGCCAAAGCAGGCAGGAATTTTAAAATTTTAATTCTAGATTTATTTATTTTTTAAAAATACACCTCTGATTCCTCCCTTGAACAGTTCCTATTGATCCACTGACAAGGAACCGAATTCTCTCCCCTGCCGCAACACCTTGTCATGCACCTGCACTTAGTGTGTAGTAATATTTGCAGAAAATAACTTCTAGGGAGTACCTGATCTCAGACAAACCTACCAAAGGAAAGATGCACCTGGTTCATAGGGTAAAAAAGGGCAAACTATGGAGGTGCCAAGGACTACTAGAAAACAAGACACAAGCAGGAAAAGTGCACCGAACAAGAGAAGAAAACAGCACCTATTTAGTACCTGGGGGATTCCTATTGCCTGGTGTTCAAAGAACTCACTTTTCAATCACATATCTGACTTCACTGACAGGCTGAAGTAGCCAGGCTGACTCATTTCACAGAAATGGCTCAGAAGGATACCTGTACATTTTGCCTCATAACTTTATTTCTAGGGCAGCTAGAGGCTTACTTAAAAAGAAAAGAGAAGAAAGAAACTCAAACTCTGACTGGGGGCACCAATGGAGGCCTTTGTGGGCACTGGGTTGGCAGCCCCCAAGATACAGGATTACAGCCACAGCCCATTGACTTAAAAAACAAACTTAAGGAGAAAACAGTTCTGCTTCAATTTAAGTTATAATTCCTAAGCATAATTACTTGAATTAATGCCCATTCAAATTAACTGAACATCTCCAATAAGCATGGTTATGATTGGACTGTTCAGGTGTTTGTTTAGCACATTAGTAAGGAAGTTCATATAAGTTATATGTTCTAAATAATTCTGGAGAGATGTTCATTAAAGCTTGATGCAACATTTTTGTACTTTGGTTCTGTCACACCCTGATTTAAAATCAATCTTAGTTCTAATTTGCAGTTTTAATGTCTATTTTGTTTGTTAAAGCTATGCTATTTCACCTAATTATCTATTATTTGGTGAAAGCTGTAAATAACCCACTGCTCCTACAATTACCACTTCATTAATGCCTCAGGAGATCAAGATCAAGCAAAAGATGTGGCTGTGTTGCTGCCATGCATCCCACTTCAGCAGTTCATGGTTTTAATCCTATTAATTTAGAAGGGATTTTCTCCTGATTTTTATTCATTAGATGTTGCTTGCTCCATTTCATATGCAAAACAGTTACCTTTCCTCACAGCATTTAACTGAAAAATTCAATAATTGTCTTAGAATGTTATTTCATTTGGGCCTCCAGTGCTTTTTATTTTGTTTATAATAGAGGTGTCCAACATAGTATCCGCCGACATCATGTACCTACCAGTATCTTCTATGGCACACTATAAAGGACCCAGTAAAGACCCCCTCAAAAATCCACAGTGCACAGGAGAATGTTTGCTCTGCCTCAGCCTATCCTACATTGAAATCCCCCCACCCTGACAAAAAATGCCCACTTTTTGTTGGTTGGCAGGCCTGGCCACCCGCCCTCCTATTCTGAACAAAGAGGTGCAAAGAGCTTCTATGGGAATGAGTCCTGCAGTGGTTTTTTGCCTTCTTTTTTCACTGATGAGAAGGTTAATAGGGCAAGCACAAATCACCATTTTATGGTCCTGTCCAGTACTTTTTTTCTATATTAAAAAAAAAGTTTAGAGGTACTCTCATTTTGATTCAAGAAAACCACCATTTTATAGTTCAAACCAGGAAAAATAAATACAGTAAATGGACAAAAGTACAAAGAACATGCATTACACCGGGAAAGGAAATAAAGCCGCCATTGGAGGTGGTAACAACAAAACTGATCAATCACCGTGCTAGATTCCAAGTCCTACTTCACACATTAAACGCTCGTTTCCATCTGAGACTCAGGAAACACCGTGACAGGAAATGAGGCCGCCATCAGGGGTAGCAACAGCACTGACAATTCACTGTGCTGGAGAAGAAACTATTTTTTTAAAATATATATATATAGTTTCTTCTCCCGTTTCTACCCCCAGAAAAAAGCACTGGTTCTGTCTTTTTTCCTGCTTTTTTAGATGCTTTACTCACCCCGTCACACATTGTGTGTTATATTATATAGCCGTTGTGTGTTATATTATGTCCCCATAGCAGCCATTTTGTGGGTGGCAAACACAGAACTTTCTCAGATATCTCCATATGCCCACTAGGGAAGGAGGAATCTGTCAAATTCAGCTCTCCCTATTTCTCATTTTTTAAAATCTCAAATTCAGCTGTACACATTTATGTAGCAATTTGCAATTTTTTTAAAAAAATCAAAGCATCTTCATGAAAACCTTTCAGCATTGTTGTACAAATTTCCCCAAACACATTTTTTTGTATGCAGTATTGACTAATGTTCATATTTTTGCAAGCAAATGCCAAGAAAATTAAATACTGTCCCATTTGGTTTCAAAAGAGGAAACTTCCTCAAAATGAGGTAAAAGGATGTTGAAATTCTTAGAAATTGTTTAAAACCACATTAGAAACTCAAAAGGAGTGTATAACACAGATCAGAAAAGGGACCATGAGGACCAAGGGAATGCCAGAGTTGTTTATGAGCAGAGCCAAAGAAGCTATCAGAGTCAAGAAGGCTTCCTTCAAAAAACTGAAGAGAACAAAAAAAACCCCCAAAGTTCAGCAAAAAAAAGAAGTGCAAGCAGACAATAAGTGATGCTGAAAAAAAGATTTTGAGAAGCAAAACATTAAAACTAACAACAAAAAGTTATTTAAGTATTTTAGTAGCAGGAGACCATCAAAGGGGATGGTTGAACCCTCGGATGACAACGAAATCAAAAGAATACTAAAGAAGGATAAGGAGATTGCGGAGAAAGTGAATTAATTCTTTGCATCCATTTTCACAACAGAAGATGTGGGACAGATCTCAGTGCCTGAACTAACCTCTGCAGGAGGTGGGTATGAGGAACTGAAGCAGATAGTGGTGATGAGGGACGAAGTTCTAGGCCTAATAAACAAAGTAAAAACTGACAAAATGCCGGGTCAAGATGGCATCCGCACAAGAGCTTTCAAATAACTTGAAAGTAGGTAACTTGTCTCACACCAGCTTCCATACCTGAAGGCTAGAAAGTAGCAAATGCAACACCTTTTCTTTTCTTTTTTAAGGGATCCAATGGAAAATGGATCCTGGAAATTACAGGCCAGTTAGCCTAACACCTGTCCTGGGAAAACTGGTGATTGGCCACTGTGAGAACAGGATGCTGGACTAGATGGGCCACTGGCTTGATCCAGCAGGCTCCTCTACTCTTCTTATGCTGTTTGAAACAGAAAGAGAAGCTAGATAGATGGAAGTAGCAGACCGTCCAACAATCCCTATTGCTTTCCCTCCTCTACATGCACACACAGAGGGTTTTATCCCTTCCCATTTCTTCAGCAATGCCCAGTTACTTCTGAAAACTTACCATTACATGGGAAGGTTCTTTACAGCAGGCTAGCCCCATCAAGATCCCAACAAGTCATTGCTTCTTCTCCTTTTCTGTATTCAAAGTCTCTCCAGGCAGCACAGTTCCCAACGGCCTGTCCTTTTTCAAAGCCAAACACTTCCAGTGCTTCTGTGAAGGTGATCTTCCAGTATCTGTGCTTCCGATTTTTTATGCTGTTATCTCTTCAGAGGCAGAAGGGCAAACTGGTTTCGCCCCCCCTATAAAAACCCTGTCAAATGAATATTTGCTAGCTAAATCCAACGAGATGACTTCAGCTCTGTTATATTGATTTGTATTTCAGCAGGCATGCGGCACCCCCTTAAGTAAACACCTGTCGGAGTGAACATGAAGTCAGAGCCAAGCCTGGGACCAACAGTATACAACTTCCTGCTTCTCTCAGGTGTTATCTTACCTGATTTCCACAGGTAGCTTGCCCCTCCCATCCTGCGGTGGTTAATGTTTCACCACTCACAATATTTTGTGAGTTTAAGATGTTGTTAGCAAACACCAGGCTTTGTTTCATATTCGTTTTCATGGTTCTCTCAAAGCTCTACCAGGAAATGAAGAAATATTTATGGATCTGTACACTAAACAATGGATTTATCATGTCATTGGACAAAAGAACCCACAAGAAACACACACCCCCATCCCGCCAAATACACTTCATAAATAGACATGTTCTTGTTAGAATTCCTGATCTATGATTGCAGTCATAGGATTGTTGTCTTTCACATGACGGTGTATGTTTTGACTCCACAGAGTGGGAAGTGACGGAAACAGGATGTTTGTGTTACTGTATTCCATTAAGTGGGACTATTGTCCTTTGGTTTTTTTTCTCTTTGCTGTCTGATGCTAGAGAGAGAGGGAGCCATGTTGCGTGTCGAGTTCCCACCTCCCCCAGTAGAAATAAAGACACATGACACCATTGATTAAGGTTAATGGGCTATAATTGGCCACAACTTTATTGGTTACAGGTAAGAGCGGTATTGGCTTAGGCATTGGTCCTATCCGACTATCCGGCTTCAGCCTGTTTGCTTGAAGACCGGGAAGGGTTAACACCAGCAGGGGGAGCCCTGCTGATGCACATCAACTAGGTACTCCCCTGGGGTCACCGCTCGGGGGGGCGCTTTAGGCCCTGACCTCCATAGGCTTCGGACGAGGCCACGCCCCCCCAGAATCCTTTAACGGACTACCCTTCAATATTTGGGGGAGGTGACTGTGTTTATATATAAATAAAGTAGATTAGCCAAAATGCAGAGTTGCTGAGGTCTGTCACGCGCAAGTTGCACAAACTCTGTGGATCCCTCAGTGTGTCGGTGTCGGTTGGCATCGGTCGCTGTGATGTTCGGGCTGAAGAAAGCTTTTGAAGCTCCTGAACGATCGACCAGGAGGGAGGGAACATGCCAGTCGGGCATGTGTCTCTGCCAGGGTCCTACTCGGGTGTGGGATGAACTCCTGACAGTTCTGACAAAGAAACAAAAAGACTAGGACCTAGGAGACCAGTGCTCACTGGGGCACCTTGGGCCAGTCACAGTCTTCCAGCCTAACCTACCTCAAAAATTGATGTGAGGATAAGAGGCATGCCACATTGAGCTCCTGGGAGGAAATGTGAGATAACAATACAAATGTAAGTTAATAAATAAACAGCATTCATATGTCTTGCACGTAGAAGGTCCCTGGTTCAATTCCTGTCATGACCTTATATTAGGAAGGAAGGAAGGAAGGAACTGGATAGCTGGTGATATCCACCTATTATTATTATTATTCCTATTATTCTTATTATTATTATTTACCGCCCTTCATCATATGATCTCCGGGCGGTTCACAAGAACCAATCAGAGTAAAAAGTGCTTGGCTTGAACTAATATAAGCAACTTCCTTAGTCTTCCAAATTGACTCAGCATGCAGTTTACCAGAAACCATCCTGTTAAGGCTTCCGGGTGCATCAAGCGACAGAACACCTGTGCCTTAAGAGAGAGGCAGCATTTCCGCAGTGCATCTCCCCGCTTCTGTTTAATTCCTCCTTTCCATTAAAGGCATAGGAGTGTCAACTGGAAATAAATATGCCAACCTTTCCCCAAGCTCAAATTTATTACATGTGAATTACCTTTGGTGAGCTGGATTCTTCCTCAACACCGTAGCGTCTATTAAGCGTTTGCTTGGTTCTAGTGGGGCCTATATCTGAAAAGCAGATTTGGGCCCCCAGGGTTAAACCAGGTGTTTCTCCCCCACACTCCTGCAAAGAGCTGTTTCACGCAAATGCAACATAAATAAAAGCTGATTGCACCAGGAGTGTGAAAGCCAGGCCTCCTTCATTCCAAGCAAGGAGCTCTGAGGTGATAAACACCAGAGCTGCTGCCAGCTCATCTTGACAGCATGTGCGCTCTGTTAATCACTGGCTCTCTGGGGAAATGGCAGGTATATTCCCCTCCAGGTGCTGTGATTCATTGTCTGGAACCGATATCTCTGCTTAAACGGTGGATTAACATGATTTAAGAAATATTCATTGCAAAGTTGATTAGAAAGCCCCATCAGCAGCCTGGCAGGGGATTCACTTAGTACAGCATGACTCCATTTTGTGATTGTCAGCATCTCCATAGATGGTCCATACAGATGTGTCCGTTTACATGGTGGTTTAAAAGTACTAGGGCTGCCACTCACAGTTTGAGTTTGGGGGTGAAGGGGGAACTTTTGGAGGGCCAAAATATGTCCTGAAGCCCACCCCTTCCTCAAATGTTGCAATATGCTCTTTGCTTGCATCTGTGCACTGCCATCCAACACACAGTTCCTTCTCTGCTTCATTCATTTATTCATTCATTCATTCATTCATTCATTCATTCTTACTCTCATTATGCTCTGCCTTTCTTCCATCATGAAACCAAGGCAGTATGCATGTGGCTTGCAGATGGTCACCTGTCCAGACACTGACCAAATCCCGAGTTGCTTAGCTGAAGCAAGCTGGTCCTCAGGGGCCTTCAGGCAATAAGAAATCTTCTGCCTATGATATGATCCCAACCAAACTAGAGAGCAGGTGGTCATGACGATACTAACCTGACTGTATTTAGCAGTGTGTGTGCATTTGCAAAAACATCTCCCCACCCCCCACCCCAAATTTTTATTCATTGGACCAGGGTGAAGGGCTTCAAACAACTTTCATAGGTATTCCACAGGGAGGGATTGAATGTTGCACTCACTATGTCAATCATTCCCTCCAGGCAAGCATTTCAGCTTGCAAGTCAGAACGGTCCCCATCTCCTCCCCCTGCATGTTGTTCTGGGGGCTCTCCTACCTAAGTCAATTTCAGGGGACAGGAGGGTGGGGTGGGGGGAGCCCCATTGCTCAAGGAGAAATCCTTGCATGGGCTTCTGCTGATGGGATTTGTTGGTTGAATCCTGCCCTTAGTTCTTACTTTAATAAATGGCAATCAAGGTTGGGTATTTTTCATTTAAAATGTTAAAGTAAACTCTGCTTGAAGTGGCAGCTTAGCTACTTGCAGCAGACAGGGGGCCCTTAATGTAACAAAACGCCGCAGGGATACAATTCTACATCATGATGTTGCATCATTGCAAAGGGAATTTTTAGAATGAAAGATGGCTTCTCCCAATGCACTGCATGCTGATCTCAGTAAGAAAATATCCACTGGAGGCTCTGGAACCAAAACTGCTTTTGGGGTTTCAGAATCTTTGAACAGGATTTCTGAGTTCATATACCCACTACTGCAGCCCAGATTTCCTTCCTTCCTGACACAAGAGGCTCAGGTGTGGGCTACTACATATTATGTGTTTAATGGCCATGGTATGTTGAGTGCTGAAGAGGAGTGAAGATATAGATGTTCAGGAGAGACTTTTAAGAAAATGTATGAGGCTTGTGTGCCTTCCAAACAGGGTGAGAGATGGTTCTAGGGATGAGGGAGGAATGGAATGGCAGAAGAAGTCTGGGAGGAAGTACAGTGGTACCTCTGGATATGAACGGGATCAGTTCCGGAGCCCCGTTCACATCCTGAAGTAAACGTAAGACGTGACCGTGCGTCTGCGCGTGCGTGGGTTGTGTTTCGCCGCTTCCTCGCATGCATGTGGCGTCATTTTGAGTGTCTGCACATGCGCGAGCAGCGAAACCCGGAAGTAACACACTCCATTACTTCCGGGTCGCTGTGGAGCTCAACCCGAAAATATTCATCCCAAAGCTACTTCAACCTAGGTATGACTGTAAAGGGAGCAGGAAGCAACTGAGCTAGCATAAGGCAGAGACCAAAAGCCACGTAAGAGTGCTTCTAGACAGGGGCTTGATTTGCAAATGTGTGATTGAGAAAGACATCTTTGTATCGCAGAGTTGGTCTGCCAATGGGCCTGATGCCTGAAGATAGCTCCCTGTAGACCTTGGTATTGGACATTGGCATCACATTCTCCCATAGCTGCCTTGCCAATATGCTTGTCCAACTTTGCGTTGACAGAGAAGTTGCTGATTATGGTGGAACCCAGGTAGACAAAATCCTCTACCACCTCAAGCATGGGATCACCAGTGCTGATGTGTGGAGTGCTGGCAATGTCCTGACCCAGAATGTTGGTCTTCATCAGGCTGATAGTATGGCCAAACTCCCTGCAGGAGAAACGGTTGATGAGTCTCTGTAAACTCCCTGAATTTGGAAGTATATAGAAAAGAAATGAAAGGAGTTGAGAGTTGGTGCAGGCACACTGCTGCTACCTTGTTTATTCCAAGTGCAGACTGACTTTTTAAAAATATAATTTACACTCACAATTAACTTTCACAACCTCTAGGTTGCACTGTGACAGCTGTTTAACTATGCATAAGGAAGGCGCACAACACATTTGAGCAGCCAGTAATGGATGCCTTTGAAACTGCAGTGACAATCTGGTGTGTGAAACAGAGCCCTTTGAGGATTCCTCATGTCATCTGTTTTCATATCCCAGCTGACTGTCAACCTCATCAAACTATTAATGGCAACTAAACGGTGGTGGATGCATTCATTTTCACCGAGTTTGACTTTTCTCTCACTGTATACTAATATTACACCAGCAAAACTTTGGGGTGAGAAGACAAGAAAACAGTCTTTTATACTTTCAACTTTCACAAAAACTTTCAGACTATAGTTGTTGACACAAAGGCCTGTAACTTAACTCAGCTCTGTTAACACCAAGGTTTGTGTTGTGATAGCTGGCAATAGATAATTTATTCTACAAATACTCTTTCGGTGGCTTAAATACAGATTGCAACATTATCAAACTCCCCCTGCCCCCGCAGAAAAAAATCCCTCTTTCCTCAAATTAATTACTGAATAAAAAATACTGAATAACACAGTTAATTGTGAACATTAGAATAAAAATTTCTAAATCCATGTTTGTGTTTGCT